TCTCTGGGCCTCAGTTTCCTCATCTGAAAAATGAAATGCCAAGTCAGATATTTCACAATGGCTCATGTTTGTATGGTGCTTTTCTCACTACATTGTTGGGAAGGGAGTGCTGAAAGGAGTATGGATCCATTTGACCGAGGAGCAAAAAGGCCCAAGGAGGCCGCAGGGGATTGCATATCGAGTGTCGGTGAAACTTTTCAAACTCCAAGGCTATAGTTTATACTCTATCACACTGACTCACCTAAACAAGCCAAGAGCAGGTATGTCATGTGGGTGGGGCAGGCTGCGGAATACTCACGTAGGACCAAGCAAGTATTAGCCAACTCTCCCCTGATCGGTTCTGCAAGGTCTTCTGTGGTAGAATGAGGAAGAAGAGGTTTCAGAAATCATTCATTCAACAAATGTTGTTTGGGGGAGCCTAACAATGGAAAAGCGGTGTAGGGGATATTGTCATACACCAAGATATGTAAGACTTGGGCCCTGATCATGGAGAGAAAAGCCTGGGGACATTTTGGGGAGCTAATACTCTGGAAGTTTTGCAACATTTGGGAGGGAAGGAATTGCAAGTGTCTTCCTTACACATGCTACTAATTAGAAAACGCTTTGGAAACCAAAACCTTTAATTCTCATATAGCTGTTTTTCAGCTATTTATTGATATTCAGCAATTTTTATCTTTAAAACTTATGTTTTACTGGAAAACTCAGAAAACTGGTTTTATTTACCTTGTAGACAGTTACATTTTTTTTTTAACTGTAACTAGCAGGTGGTGATGTCTGGCGGGGTTTGTAAGTTTCAAATAGAAGGCAAAAATGAAAGTCCAGCCCTCTCCACCTTTGTAATTTTGCATGGCAACTCTTCCCAGACCTAGATGAACTGCTCTGCTACCTTTGCTCCACAGAGCATGTTTCCTGGGACAGCTAGGTGGCACAGCATACAGAGCACTAGACCTAAGAGTTTTCAAGAAGACCTGAGTTCAAATCCAGCCTCAGACAACCACCAGCTGTGTGATCCCGGGCAAGTCACCCAACCTCTGTTTTTCTCAGTTTCCTCACCTGTAAAACGGGGGTAATAATAATACCTACCTCCCAGCTTTGTTGTAAGGGTCTAATGATAAAATAATCCCATAGCACTTAGCACAGTGCCTGGCCCGTAAGTGCTATATAAATGTTAATTATCATTATCGATTATTGTTATTCCTTGCCCTCTTCCTTCATTCTCAGAATTGTAACCCAACAGGTTGCTCATCATATAGTATGTTTAAAATGAGAAAAGGGAGGTCTCCTTAAGTTGACTTGCCAATGGAAATTGGGAATAAGTCTTTCTGCAGCCTGGAAGGGAGAGCAGGCAGAAATGGGATAGGTTGGTTGATTTGCCATGTGGAGGATGGAAAAGCCAGATAATTCTCCAGTTCCTTTTGGATTCAAATAAATAATAATTTATTATGCTCCTTCTATACACAAGGCATTAGGCTTAGAAATTAAGTTCGTCTCTCTCCATGCATGGTTCATTCTTCCTCAGTCTGACTTGGTTTACAGAGCAAAGGAGAGGAAGGTAACAACAACACTTCTATACTTCATCTTATTGACTCATCCCAATGTTCTAAATCCGTCAAGATCTTTATGAATCCTGACCATTTCATTTTATGTTTTATTTAGGCTGTTGCTACCACCGGGTCTTTCCATTTGACTTACAGCTAAAATGTTCTGTGTTGGATTGTCTCCCTTTATTAGAATGGGAGCAAAGTCTGTTTTACTTTTCTGTTTATATCCCTGGCACCTAGAGAGTGTTTTCCATGTAGTAGACACTTAATGAATGCTTTTTAAAAATCATTCCTTCATCTCACAATAGGAATTCCATCTATGTTTTTTTTTCAAGTCATTGATAAAAATAAATAGCAGAGGGCTAAGCACAGATTCCTAGAGTACTCCATTGACCTTCTTCCAAAATAGGGATGAATATTAAGTAGTTAAGCCAGAAGTTGAACCAGTCTCAACTCAAAATCTAGTGTTCTTTCCACTAAGCTATGATATATATATATATACTAAATATAAATATATATATAAATACAAAAATGTTAAAATAAATTAATTTTTAAAATTTATTTTAACATTTTTGTATTTAGCATTTTATTTTCCCCTAATTACATGTAAAAAACAATTTTTAACATTCATTTTAAAAATGTTAAGCTCAAATTCTCTCCCTCCCTCCTCACCACCCTCGTTGAGAAGGCAAGCAATCAGTATGGGTTATACATGTGTAGTCATAACATTCATTTAAAAAAAATTTGAGTTCCAAGTTCTCTCCCTTTTTCTAGCCCCTTTTCCACCCAAAAGCAATGATATATCTAAAAGGAGTGAGGTCAGTGGATCTGTTGTGTATCTCTTTAATAATAGAGAGACTTGACAGAAAAATGAATGTGTTTGGAGAGAGGATAGGCAAAGTAAAATCAGGAGTCTGTCAGAACACTAGGTAATTCCACTGTGGTTGGCTGGCCCTTGGGAGCCCTGAGACCTCTTCGGCTTCCATTCATCCCCTTCATCATTTCTATCTGATTGGGTGGAGTGTGATATGAGGAGTTGTGCCTACCAAAAAACCTTGAGGATAAGGGGACAGGGCCAATTGTCAGGACCCACTTACCCAAGATTCACAGTCTATGCCTCTGTGTAAATGAAGGATCATTCATTGGATTTCAAGCTAGAAACTTTCGAGATAATCTAGTCCAACCCTTTCATTTTATAGATGAAGTAAGGGTTCAGAGAAAGGATAGCTGGATCCCACAGATGCCAGTTCTATGGGGCACACATCAGCTCAGGTAGAATGTGAAACTCTCAGAAATTAAATTCTGAAGACTAAACTAGAAACAATTCCTGTGAGGAGTGAAAAGGGGAGTTTTCTGATGAGACTGATGTGGTTGCTAAGGGAATTAATTACCTAGCTTAGATGTTTAAAAGACATGGGAGCCAACTGCCCTTGATTCCATCCTCCCCTGTCTTTTCTAGTGGATTCTCCCCTCAATCACCTTTCCCCTCTTGCTAAACTTCAATCTCTCCCTATACTAAATGAGGTAACATATATAAAGGTCTATATAAAGTCCTATATAAATGCTAGCTAACATTGTCATTTTGTTCTTAATGGTGTTGTTCTTATGTACTGGTTCCTTTCCTGTGGTCTACAAATAGGCCAAGTCTTCCTCATTCTTAAAAAACAAAACAAAACAAAAACAAAAACAAAAACCTTCATTAGACCCTCAAGCTATTGTTCTATATCCCTCTTCACTTTCTCTACTGAGCTCCTAGAAAAAGCTATTCTCACTTGTCATCTCCACTTCCTCTCGTCTCACTTCTCAACAAATCTGGCCTCTGACCTCATCACTCAGCTGAACCTGCTCTCCCCAAAGCTACTAGTGATCTCTTAATTGCCAGATCCAATGGCCTTTTCTCAGTCCTCATCCTTCTTGACCTCTCTCTGCAGCCTTTGACACTGTTGGCCACCCTCTCCTCCTAGATACTCTCTCTTCTCTGGGTTTTCTTGACATTACCCTCTCCAGGTTCTTCCCTCTCTCTCACTGCTCCTTTTCAGTCTCCTTTGCTGACTAATTGCTATTCTGGCCTCTAAACGTGGGTGTACCCCAAGGCTCAGCACCCCGCTCTGTCTCTTCTCTCTGTCTCTGCCTCTCTGTCTCTGTCTCTCCCCTTCCCTCCCTTCCTCTCTCTCCCTCCCTTCTCCCCCTTTCTGACCCATTAGCTCCTATGGGTTTAATTATGCAGATGACTATGCAAATGATTCATCAATCTATATATTCAGTCTTAGTGTCTCTTCTGAGCTATTCTGAGTCTCTCTTCTATCCCAAATCAAAACTGCTTATTGGACATTTCCAACTACATGTCCCAGAAAGATCTTAAACTCAACACGTCCAAACCAGAACTCATTCTCTTTCCCCCCAAAGACATTCCTTTGATGAACTTCCCTGTCTCTGCCAAGAGCAAGACCATTTTTCCAGTTTCCCACATTGGCAACCTTGGCATTATCCTTGACTACTCATCCTTCCTTTCCCCATATATACAGTGTGTTGCCATATCTTGCCATTTCTATGTCCACAACATCTCTCTCTTCATATCTCTTCTGTTTGTTCACACAATGACCACCTTTGTTCGTCACTTCTCAATTACGTTATTGCAATTTTTTTTCCCAGTTGGTCTCTCAGACTCAAGTCATTCTCTGGACTTCTCTGTCTCTTCTCCAGTAGCCTTTCTCTGTCTCCCCTCACTGATGTGTTGCTAGCCTAGAACACCATTTCAGAAGACGCCTGAGCTAGTCATGCTCACTTCATTCCTGGCTTCACCCACCCTTTGGGCTTCTCTTGCTTTTCACTTGCTATGTGTATCGTCATCCCCTATTTGAATGTAAACTCCTTGAGGGTACAGGGTCTTTTTTGCTTGTTTTTGTGTTCACAATACTTAACACTAAGTGCTCTCTCTCCTCTCTTTCTCCCTCTCCTCTCTCTCTCACTCTTTCTGTCTAATCTATGTTTGACTCATCTATTTGTCTGTCTGTTTTACCTGTCTGTCTAATCTATGTATCTATCTATGTCTAATCTATGTCTTTCTAATTATCTGTTTAATCTATTTATCTGTCTGAGCTAAGTTCATCTGTCTATTCCACCTTTCTGTCTATTTGTCTATCTATCTGTCTTTGTCTGATTAATCTGTCTGTCTGTCTTAACTGTCTGTCTCTCTAATCTATGTATCTATCTGTGTCTTTCTAATCTGTCTAATCTGTCTTTCTATCTATCTATCTGTCAGCCTGTTTGCCTGCCTGTCTGTCTAGTCGATGTCTTCCTGTCCATCTATTTGTCTATCTATCTAGCCTATGTCGAATCTATTTGTCTGTCTTATCTATCTATCTGTCTGTCTGTCTCTCTGTCTATCTTTGTCTGATCTATGTATGTCTGTTGAATCTATTTTTCTGTTGATCTATCCATTCATCCATCTATCTATCTAGAAGTATAGCACCTTTCCCCAGTCTGCCTGTCACCCTTGCACAGGGTTCATGCTAATCTTTTCTGTATCATTCCAATTTTAGTATATGTGTTGCCAAAGCAAGCATGCCTTCAAGCATTTAAAGGGCTTTTATATGAAAGAAATATTGAACGGGGTCTGCCTCATCAGAGGCATGCTGATGGAATGTTTAACAAATGGCTCTCTTCCTGCATTTAAATTTAATTCACATTATTAACATTTTCTCCATCACTTTCTCAAGTCTAGACGATCAACCAAACAATAAATCAAGCCCCGAGTTGTAGTGTTTGTTATTTCCAAGGTATAGACGCTCACAACAAAAATTTCTAAGCCAGCTGGTTGCAACTGCCTCTCACACCCTCTGATTTGGGTAGAGCATTTAGGCTTGATATTAGGAAAACTTTCTAATCAGAAGAGCTATGCCTCTGGAAGTGGTGAATTCCCCTTCAGTGAAGGTCTTCAGGCAAAGGCTGGGAGAGCACTTGTTGCCTAGGTTGTAGAGAAGACTCCTGAGGTCCCAGTGGGTTGAGATGGCCTTTGTGGCCCCTTGCAAATCTGAAATTCTGTGATTCTGTGAAACTGAGGACAAGAAATGAGAACCGGCTTGGCCAAAGTCATTCAGACAATATGCACCAGAATATGGTTTTGAACCCAGGTCAAATGATGTCAAATCCATTGCTCTTTCCATGTGCATGGGTAGTGGTTTGTGCCTTGATGTATACATAGATATGCATGTGTACATATCTTTGAAAATGTATTCTGGGTTGTATGTGTCTATACCTGTGCATATGTGCCTGTGTATTCATGGCCAGCCCTCTCATTTTGTAAGGAAGAAACCGTGGTTTCAGAAAAGGGAGGTGACCAGAATCAACACATGGCGTTTCTGGTGCGTGCATACAATGCTGCCAAGAGGGATGCTCCAGGCTTCCCCTATTGGCTCTTGTTGTTAATATGCATCTGTATGTGCATACATGTGTGTTATAGCTCTAAGGTGATTTGGGGCATCCCAATCAGTCTGATCCAGCTTCCCTTCCAAAAAGGGACAGTACTCAGAATTTTTAAGCATTCAGGAAACCCCCTACCAGTGAACCTAAAATCTGTAGGATCTCAGACAGCTATCTAGATTTATGCCATAATAGAATAAGCAGCTTGAATCTTTTAAAACAAATGAAAACCTTGTAAGAGCCTCAAAGGTGGGTGGGGCTCCTAAAGAGGAATTAGGCACTTGAGGTTGATTGTAAATTAACCCCTCACATCCTGGATGAGCCCGCAAGGTTTAACCCATGTTCTGGGGTCATATAGGTCAGGGGTCAACAAATCTGACCCTGCCTGTTTCTAAGACCCCTTTTAGCTCTAAGGGGAGGACTTGACAGCTGGGAAACCTGGCTGGCGGCTCTCTGGGTCTGAACCTCACTGGACTGAGCAGCCTTGGCAAGGCCTAGGTTTGGGTTTCACAGATTCCTTTCTTCTGTTTCTCCAGCTCTGTCGAAGATGCACTGGACACCAGAACATGCACAGCCCCTCAACCAGTGGGCAGATCAGCACCTGGATGTCTCTTCTACCACTCCGTCACCAGCCCACAAGTTGGAGCTGTCCTCTGCGGGCCGTCAGCGATGCCACTACGCCTGGGCCCACGATGACATCTCTACCCTCACAGCCTCTAATCTCCTCAAGCGCTATGCTGAGAAATACTCAGGTGTCCTCAGCTCTCCTTATGACAGGCCTGCCCTGGGTGGCTATGCTGAAGCCACCTTTGGGGCCATCAATGGGGCCAAAGGAGATGTGGAGTCCTGGCCTGGGACACCCGGGACAGAGCCACCATACCCAGTTACCTCCCTCCATGAGGGTCTCCCAGGAACCAAGTCAGCCAGTGGGGGTATGGGAGCGGGGCCAGGAGGCCTAGGAGGGTCTCCTGTATTAGCCGGGAATCTTCCCGAACCTCTGTACGCTGGCAATGCCTGTGGGGGGCCATCTGGAGGGCCAGAGTATGGTCCTGGATATGGTGGGGGGTACCTTGCCACTGGGTACTGTGGGCAAGCTAGTGCAGCTTTGCCCCCACCACCTTCAGCAGGGCTCTTACAGCCACCTCCTCCCCCTGCCTACGGCCCCTCCAGCTCCCTGTACAACTACCCCTCAGGGGGCTACCCAGCCCAGCCTGGATTTGGGGGCCTCCCCCCACCCCCACCCCCTACCCCTTACCTTTCCTCGGGTCTGGCAACACCCACTCCCTTGCCCCCACCAGCCCCTGCCCCACCTGCAGCCTACAGTTTCCAGCCCCCCCCACCAGGGAGTGAGCCAGGCATTTCACTAAAGCGCAAGGCATTTGATGAAGGTGGGGAAGGCCGATACCACAAGTATGGTTATGAGCCCACTAAGCCCCCCATCCCCGATGGTCCCCCCTACCCTCCTTCAAACAACAATGGTGAATGCCAAGGCAACAGTTTCCGAGGGAAGCTGCCAGGGACCAGAGAGGAGGTATCAGGAAAGTACAGTGGTAGTGGGGGTCCTTCTCTTAAGGTGTTGGGCTCTCCAGCCTACACCCCACACCAAGAGTCCTTTGAGAAGTTCCCAGAGCGGGTGTCGGTGGAGCGAGGGCTGGCTCCACCATCTCGGGGAGGCTTTGCTGTCCCGGGAGAGCCTCCCACGGGTGTGGACCCTGTGGCTCTGGAGCTAGTGACCAGCAAGATGGTGGACTGTGGCCCCCCAGTGCAATGGGCTGACATCGCCGGGCAGGGCCCCCTCAAGGCCGCCCTCGAAGAGGAGCTGGTGTGGCCCATGTTGAGACCGGCCACATATTCACGTGGGCCTTGCCCACCTCGGACTCTGCTGCTTTTTGGCCCTCGGGGTGCAGGCAAGTCCCTCCTGGGCCGGTGCCTCTCCACTCAGCTGGGCTCCATGCTGCTGCGCCTGAGTGGGGCAGCCTTGGCAGCCCAGGGTGCAGGGGAGGGTGGGCGGCTCCTCCAGGCTGCCTTCTTTGCCGCCCGATGCCGTCCACCCGCTGTGCTGGTGATCAGCGAGCTGGAAGCCCTTCTGCCTGCCCAGGATGAGGCCCCCGCCTCTGGAAGCCTACAGGCCCAGCTCCTGGCTTACCTGGATGGAGGGGGTGGCACCAGTGGGGAGGGGGTGGTGGTGGTGGGCACCACCCCCCGACCTGGGGCATTGGATGAGGCTGCCCGGCGGCGCTTCGCTCACCGATTCTATGTGTCCCTCCCTGATGCATCTGCCCGTGGGCAGATCCTCCAGCGGGTACTGGCCCAGCAGGGCTGTGGGCTGAGTGAGGGGGAGCTTTCAGCTCTGGTGCGGGGCACACAGGGATACTCAGGGGGTGAGCTGGTACAGCTGTGCCAGCAGGCAGTGGCCAGAGCTGGGGCTGGAGCTGGGGGGGGCCTCCCAGGGTTGCAGCCAGCCCCCTCCTACAAAGACTTTGAGGCAGCCTTGGCCAAAGTGTGTCCCCAAGCCTCCCCCAAGGAGTTGGACTTGTATGCAGAATGGGACAAGATGTATGGCTCAGGACACTAATGGATGGGGGAGGGGGTGCCCCCTCCCACCCCTCTCCTTAGCAGGGAGCATTGACTACTTTGGTATGTAACCAGGCCGGATCAGGGAGGGATATATGGGAAGAATGTGGGGAGGGTGGGGAGGGAAGGGGAATTGGCATGAGTGTCTCCCTTCTGTGGTAAGGAAGATGCTTTGGGTCTGCCTGGTCACCCAGGGAAGGCTCAATGGACTCAGGTCTCTACTATTTATTACCCCAGCCCTGGGCTAAGTGACCTCTGGTCCCAGGAACCTTTCTTTCCATCTGTACCTCTTTTTTGTGGAGATAGTTGTTTTGTTTTCTGTCTTCCCACTGACTCATCTCCATCTTTCCCTGCCTCTCTCTTACTGCCTCTTCATGTCTTGTCTTTCTGGGCCTCTTTCAGGCTCTCATCCCTACTTTACCTCCAGATCTCTTCCCATTTCAATCAGGCTTACTCTGTTTATTTTCCCCCATCTGATTAACTGTCCTCTCTTTGCTTGTCTCTGTATCTCCCTTCTTCTTCTCTTGTCTCTTCATCTTTGACTTTCTGTCCCTAGTAGATAGCTAGAGCAGTTTTCACAAATAGCAGACAAAGGGGTCTCTAGCCTTTGTCCGCTTAAAGATCCCAGGAATGGGGAAATAATTCAATACTCTTTATTTCTGTCTCCTTCCTGGGACCCCTACTTTGCCACCCCAGGCTACCTTCTGGCCTGGGGGAGCCAAAAAAAAAAAAAAAAAAGGCCAAATAATACCCCAAGCGAGGGATTTTTTTTTTTTTGGAGTAGGGGGAGTAGCGTGTTTAATATTCTAGACCTCCCTATTATTTTTGTAAGGTTTGTAGAAGTTGCTGTTTTCTGTCTTTTTTTTTTTAATGACTCAGGAAGAAACCCCAGAAAGAATGTCTTTGAATTTAGCTGCTCCCCTATGTTCCCCACTGGGGCTGAGAGCAACTTCCCCCCAAAAAGGCTTAGGAAACAGGACTAGCATCAGACCCCTGGCCCTCCTCCCAACTCCCAGCCTTTCTGGAAGGGAAGCTGAATGTATTTCTGGGGCTTCCTTTCCAGGTCTGAGGCCATAAGTATAGGGGTTTGGGGTGGTGTGGCTGGGTTTGGTTATTTAAGGCAAGGGATGTTCCTTACCTCTTCTTCCCCTCCATCTTGGACATCCTTATATCCCCCAGTCCCTTTCTCTCTGCCTGTCTCCTGCTGGATTGTATAGAGAAGTTGTGAGTTTTGAAAAAGCTATCTGAAAAAAAGACCCAAACCCTACCCTGTGTCCTGGGACCTTCCTTATCCTAATTCAGAAGCTCTGTGTGCTGGTCATCTCTAGAGCTGGGAGAAGGAAAGGGTCCTGATGGTTTGGCAGGAGTTCAGGGGGCTCTAATGGATGGTGGTTAGGAAGGGATGATCCTTGAAAGTCACTTCATTTCACCTCCTGGGATTTAGGACCCCATCCTTCATTCAGATGTAAATTTGTGCTAAGATGTCTCTGGAAGGGTTTTGTTTTTTAGTTGGTGGGAAGAGGGAGGCAGCAGTGGTGCCAAGCAGGGGCTCATAAACACCTGGGCAAATAGTTCTCAGGGCTACCTTACAAGGTTCAGGGAAAGTTGAGTTTTCCAGAGTTGGAATGGGAAGAAGATTGGTGTCCTGGTTCTAATAATAAGGAAAATGCAGTTTTAGGGCCCTGGATTAGAGCGGAGGATGAGGAGGAGAGAGGGCAGCTAAGGATGAAGTGAAATATCTGTTTGCTTCTTCCCACCTATACCAGGGACTCCCAGGAGCAGCGTCCTAGGCAGCTTTGCATCCTGTCATGGACACTCCTTTCCTGAGAACTGACCACAAACTCAAGGGGTCTTCCCCACTCTGTCCATCTCTCAAAGTGCAAGCGATTCAGGGTGGGGCCTTCAGGTCCTTGGGTGCAGCCTTTTGACTGAGTCCAAGTTTTACAGAACAAATCCTTTTATGAAGGGGGTTCTGTGAAGTTTGGAGTCAGTCAAAGGGCCGCACTTGAGGACCTAGAGGGCCACATGTGGCCTCGAGGCCTCAGGTTCCCTACCCTTGGGATAGATAGTCCCAAAAGTGGATAAGAGATTTTAGCCTTCCTCCTGACTTTGGGGTATTTGTACTAATCTCCTCCCCAATCATTTCCCTTTCCCTCCATCTCACTGGGAAACCAGGCTTTGGGAATCTTCATCTCAGAGACTGAGATGCTTCCCTCCTCCCCACATATCCAGATGCCCAGGGCTCTTCTTGTGCTAACCCACATGTGCCTGTGACTGAGGGAAGGTGTTTCTGTGCCTTGGTCTATGGAACTAGGAATAGGGTCATTAGCCCCCAATGTCAGATTCTTTTCCTGATAATCTCCCCCTGCCCTGTCTCTGCCTCACCCCTATTTTCATTCTCCCTTCCCCGAATGCAGGTCCTCGATTACTTTTCCATTCCTGTTTCACACTATGCCCGTTGACCTACCCTCATCATTCCGGGTCCTCAAGACTCCTGGAGTGTTATGCTGGGATGAAGGATGCTCTAACTGGGACCTCTCCCTCCTAAATGAAGCCAGCTGTTCCCATGTTCCCCAAGGAGGTGGCCTAGCCTGTAATAGTGGCCTTTCTTGACCCAATCATCAAGCAACCTGAAATTAACCTAAGCCTCCCCAGTGGGTGTCTCTCCTGGTGTTTGCTCTTGAAAGAGGGGGAAGGGAAAAGACAAGGATTCCCACTGCCTAGATTAGGCACTATCCAAGCCGCAGGTCAGAGAGGAACATGGCAAAGGTCATTCAACTCCCCCAGTTTCCAGGCTTAGGTTAGAAGCCTGGTATTTATGTTTAGGCTGAAGCTGATATCTCTAGAGGGGATGCTGGGGCATCTCTGAGATCCTCCCTGGTAGGGCTGGAGGGAGAAAAGCTCTGGGCCACTCAGGATCTAGCTGCCCCATTCTGTTTCTTCATTCAGGTCATGCTTACCTGGCTTAGCAGGGTCTGTCCAGACCCTGGGGAGGCTATGTCCAAGGGCTTGCCCCATAAGTGGGAAAGGGAATCATCCCTCCCTAGTTTGGGTTCTCCCTTTCCTCCCTCTGTCTCTCCCTCCACCCCTATTTCTATCTAACACTTCTTCCTCCCTTCGGCCCTTCATTATCCTTTCTTTCCTCCCCTATAAATCTAGCCCTGTCCCCTGGCTTCTCAGTAACAGCAGGACTATTCGCATCACAGGAGAAAAAGATTTGCAGGTTCCCACTCAGACTTTTTTTGGTGGGGGACCAGGAGGGAATGAGCTAGGTCCTGGAGAGGTGGGTGGGTAGCATTGGTTTTACATATTTCCCACCAAAAAAAAACCCCAGCATCCAGGGAATTTCCCTCTGATTTGTGGGCTTGGCTCTCTGGCAGAGATATGTATGAAGATCCCTCATTGACCACTTCCTCTCCACCCAGGAGGCCCCAGGGATCCTCTCTTTTGCTGGGTACTCTTCCCCCCTCATATTATTATATTCCCCACTGTTTACCCCCAGGCCCCACTTTGCACATGGGGAAAGTGTCCCCTCACCCCCCCAATCCCCAAGATGTCTCAGTCTACCCATCTATACAATGGGGACACAGAGATACACCTACCTCAAGGGGAATTGGGTGGGGAAGAGGGCTAAAATATCTTCAGGTGACAGTGGAGCTGAAGATTTCAGGTCATGAGGGGGTGCTGGGAGGGTTTACCAAAGAATCCCAGGGGCAGGGGGTCTGGGAGGGGCCAGTGCCCTACTTTACCAACTGGTCCTTTTCTTCCTCCCCCCAGATTTTGTCAGGGGAGGAGGTGTGTAACTAACCATTTCTACCTCATTTTGCAATGTATTGTACGTGGGCATATTTATCTCCTATCTGACCCATGCTCTGGAGTTGTGGTCCGTCTACCTCAAAAAAGACTGTATTTTAAAGAAAAAAAAAATTGTATTACACAGTATTAAAAAAAATGATGTGAGGTGCCAGTGGTTTTCTTGGGGAACCCACTAGGGCTGGGGTGGGTGACATGAGTACTTGGGAAGTGCCTGGTCTTCATTGAAAGATTTATTGGGTGCCTACTAGTGTGCCTGGCTCTCTTTGAATTTGTCCTCCACTCAAGTCTTACTAACATGACTCACGTTGGTATTGGGGTTGCATTCTTGAAGGCTATGCAAACAGTTGAGTTAAGTGAGCTCTTGACAGGTCCAAGGTCTTAGCAAGCTTGAAAGTATGACTCCAGAGATAGACCATACATATCTCAATGAGGAGCTGCATTCAGAGGCTTATTGCCACAGAAACTCCTGAAAGACCATTGACTACATAATATGTTCTGTATTAGTGGAAGAAGCATTCACAGGGTCAAAATCAGATCCTTGAAGTACTGAAATGTTATTGGGTCAAGTCCATGAAGATTTCTTAAGCACTTGCTGTATAATAATAATAATAATAATAATAGTAATAATAGCTAGCATTTATGAAGTGTTTTCAGATTTGCAAAGTACTTTACAAATATTATCTTATTTGATTCTCACAACAACTCTAAAATAAAGTGCTATTATCTCGATTTTGCAAATGAGGAACTAGATGGGCAGAGGTTAAATGACTTGCCCATAATCACATAGCTAGTTTCTGAGGTAGGATTTGAACTCAGGTCTTCTCAATTCCAAGTCTTATGCTCTATCCACTGAGCCACCTAGTTGTGCCACCTCATTAATATCAATCAAGCATTTATTAAGTGCTTAGTGTATACAAATCAGCTCTTCATGTCTATTTCTTCTGTAACTAAGGAAGCAATACTGTAGTTTTTCAGGAGTAACTCTTTGTTCTTGGGCACATCCTTTCCCTGGGTTTTAGTTTCTCTAACTGTATATTGAAAGGTCAGACTCCATATTCTCTGAGGCCCCTTTCAGCCTATGGTTCCTAATATGGTATAAAATGAGCTAAATTATGCAACCCAGCCTATGACTTTGGGACTGAGTTCTGAGGAGGAGGCCAGTAAGAGCCAGAGTAGTTGTGGAGGGCTTCCAGGAGGAGGTGGGACCTGAACTAAACCTTTTAGGATAAGTTGTATTTAAATAATGGTGGGAGGAGCAGGCAATGAGGAGGGGTATGGAGTCATAGAATGTCAAAATTGGAAGGCACTTTAGAAATCTTTTCATATTACAGAAAAGGGAACAGGCTCAGAGAGATTTCAATTTGCCCAGGGTCTTGCAATGGCAGATCCTAGATGGAAACCTAGGTTCTCTGGCACCCAAGTCAGTGTCCTTTCCACTACAGTTTGTAAATACTCTCCTGATGTATCTCTCCTGTGTGGTTGTGTGGATATTGAGTGGTTAAGTGTTTCCCCGTGGGAGTGAAGTTCTGTGAATCTGTGCATACGGGTACATGTGTATGTGTCTGGTATATTCTACTTTTATTGGGAGCACTAGACCTTTATGCGTCTTATTTTTTTGTGTTTTTGTGTGTGAGGGCACATCTATGCGTGAAAGAGAGATGACCCTGTGTCTTTATGTGTCGGCATACACATAGCCTCTGTCCTCCCTGATGATTATGGTTGGACTCTGACACAACTCGACTGACCTCCTGCGCTGGGCACGGACCCTCCTCTCCCTCCTCCCACAACATCCAGCCATCTGAGCTAGCCAAGGGAACTTCCTTCCTTGCCATATCTTTTCTCTTTTCTTCCCAATGGAAGGAGGGGAGACAGGCTCACTTCCTTCCAAAGGCATTCACCAGCCCAGTGCTGAATAGGAGGTAGAGGGGCCTGAGGGAAAAGGGAGGGAGGAAAAGTAGAAAGAATGAAAACTAAGAGGGAGGAAAAGGGCTATACCAGCTGGATACTAGCTCTTGGATCACAAAATTTGCACCCGAAAGGAACCTTAGGGATAATTTATTCCAAATCCTTTGTAGAGAGCCGTGGATGAATTTCTGTTCATTTTTGGGAAAGGGAGTGTGAGCTGAGTGGAGACTATTGATTTATAAAGTGCTTTGAGATCCCATGGGACACGATTTGGTTGAACCCTGATGCTATCTGTGGGGCTGGAGAATGATCATCCATAATTGGGGATGGGCTTGGAGTGGGGAGAGAAGAGACCTTTATTTAACAAACAAACAAACCTATCAAGGATTCTGGGAAGGCCCTGCTCTGATGCCCCAGGATGACAGACAATCTTAGGTCACAGAGTGATAATAACTTTGGAATCTAAGGAAGCAACCCCAGTGCTTATGCGGACCAACCTCTGTTCATGTGGGGAAAAAAAAAAATCTTCCTACAAAGTCCTGGAGTTAGCTGTTGGGCAGAGTCCAACCCTGTGAAACCCTGGCCTAAGACAGAGCCTCCCACCCCCACCCCAAGCCCTGACTATGTTGTCCATCTCACAAAATTACCCTAGGACACAGGCCTCCCTGCTATTTCTCCTCAGTAGGGAACCTGAACGAAGACATGGGGTGAGGATACAAGAGAGTAAGGCAATAGCCTCAAAAGCCAAAGAGTGCTGTTAGTAGGAATAATGGAGTTTTAGAGGAGGGATTTTGTCCATGTGTGTAACTCCCCTCACTTCCACCATGTAAAGATGAGAAAATCAAGGAAGGGAACACGATCTGCCCAAGGTTCTACTGAAAGTAAGACAACTTTTGTCCCAGAGTCCCTTGCCCCACCATATAATCATGGAGGCCATATGCAGAGATTTGCCTAGGCATGGCCTTAGGGAGATTGGCATACTGATAGTCTTTTGTCCTCAAGAGGTTTTACCTAAGAGGAAGTATGGTATAATGGAATGCCAGTTAGGAGGCTTAGACACAAATTAGACACTTGTGTGCTGTGATCATGGGTACCTCATGGGAACCTTAGTTTCTTTATCTTTAAAATAGGTATAATAATTCCCATACCATCTGCTTCACTGGGTTATTGTCAGGAAAATTCTGTAAAAATGCCTACTGTCATAATAGGCAGAAACCACAGTGAAAACCTTTTGTGTCTCCAATAATTACTACCCTTATCCCTGACTGTAAGTGGATGGGACAGGGGCAGGGGTGGGTGGTGTTTTTAGGGACTGTAGGAGGAAGGCACTAGGGAAAATGGCCTTGGCCCCTTCTCTGCATGGAAATTTAGTTCTTTTTGATATAGGGATGCCATAGGATCTGACCCCTCCAGTACTAAAAGGCAGGGGGTGGTAGGGTCCTTTATCTCTCTCCGCCCTCCAACACCCATCTAGGCATAAAAGGTTTTAGGACTCTTAAAAAGGAATTCAACTGAGTTTCACTATTGTTGATCGGATGAGAGTGCAAGACAGGAAAAGGTAAGAGGGAGGGTAGGAGAGGCAGGAGACTTGGGTTCTAGTCTTAGTTCTGCCCTTAAGTTCATTGTGTTTCCCCTCTCTTGGCTTGAGTTTCCTCATGGGAAGAATGAGGAAATGGGACTAGGAAACCCCCAAAGTCTCTTTCGGGGCTAAATCTATGCTCTTCCAAGCTTCAAGGTTTCTACATTCTTTTTTGGGAAAGCGTTAAGGGGTGAGAAAGACGCAAAGACATGAGTGTAAGAGAAAATGGGATTGGCATAAAGATTACTGTTGTGTATGAAGTGCACTGAGATTTCAGGGGGACACTCCCAAAGGGTCCAAGAGTGTAGCCAAATGCAGCCATGTCCTGACGCTGAAAAATCAGAACGAGGGATACTTTACTGCTTGTAACAAAAAAAAAAAAAAAAAAAAAAAAAAAGGTGTGTTTCTAAGTGGAAGAGCGGGGGAGACCCAGGACAGAAGCCCCCCCGTCTCCATTCTCCCTCGGTGTTCTAAGCCTCCTCCCCTCACTGTCCCTCGAATTCCGAGCATTGGTCGGTTGCGACCATGGCGGTGCGGAGGCGAGTGCGGGCTCCGCTCTTGGCTCTAGTCTTGTTGGGGTTAGGTGGCTGGAGGCCGGGGCCGGCTGCGGCCGAGGACTCGATGGGCCCTCACATGGCGGTCCGCCTGGCCGAGATGCTGACCCCTGAGGAATGCGAGCTGTTCCGAGCCCTCCTGGAAGCTCCCGAGCCTGACCCAGAGGCTGAGCTGGCCCGACTGTCTGAGGACCGGCGGCCGCCAGACGAAGAGCCCGAGGGTGGCAAGGGGCTGCTGCGGCGGCGGCGGGAGGAGCGCGAGCTGCAGCCGCCCGACTCGGACACCGTGTGTCGGAAGGGGCTGGCGAGTTGGATGGAGGCCAAGGCGCCGGCCCTGGCATGGGACCGGGTAGCCCGGGCTCTGCGGCGCTGCGGCCGCCCGGACGTGGCTCGGGAGCTGGCCAAAAGCCTGCACCAAGAAGCCACGCTGGAGCTGCGGAAATTCGCGCTGCCCTACCACGAAGCGGCGGCGGCCCAACCGTCCCCAGCGCAGCCCCTGCAGCCCCGCGCTGTCCCTCCCGACTGGGATGCCTGGGACGCCTGGGATGCTCTGGAGCTGATCGTGGAGAGGCTGCCCCAGGCCCCGTATCCGCGCAGTCCCGCCGGCTGGGTCGGGCCGCTGGCCCTCGGCTTCTTCTGCGGCTTCATGGGCGCCTTCGGGCTCGGGATGCTGATCATTCTGCTCACGCTGTGCATTACAGAGACTGATGGGGATGAGAACCAGGGCAGGGAGTACAGGCCTGAGAGCCCCAGCTTAGTCTCCATGCCCCTCCTGAGACCCAGCGGGCCCCACTACCTGTGGGAAATAAAAACCCTTCCTTAATAAAGGTCATCTTGGTGTCCTCACCATCTCCTAGGTGTCCCAGAGCTGTAGGGACACACCCCTGGTCTGTAAGAGAAGAGGGTAACCACATCGTGGGGGAAAGCATTTGGTTTTTATGATTCTTAGTTTCCCAATCTGCAAAACGGAGAGAAGTCTGTTTCCTAACCAGACACCAAATACCGGTAGGATGTTTGGACCTTGGACAAATACAAAATAATCACACAATTACACACACACACGCGCGCGCACACACACACACACACACACATGAGGAAAAATAACACATGATGGTGTCTTGGAAATAAACCTCCAAAAACAATACAAAAGATGTTTGTTTATAAAACAGAAGTAGAGCATGAGTTTGAAAAGACTTGGTGTACTGATAATTATCTGGACCTAAATTCTTTCCCTTTACTCAGGTGAGGACATAAAGAAGTAACAGTTATCATTTAAATTCCCTATGCCATCATTCCAGCAAAAGCATTTCCAAACTGGCCTCAACAAATCATGTATTTTGAAAACTTAAGCTCTAATTGCAGGCCAAATTCAGGCTCAAGCAGGAAAGGGGAGAAGTAGCCTTGGGGGACCTTCAGGAGCAGGAGAGAGCAGAAGGGATCAGAACTAGAGCCCACTTCTTTCCCTCTGGCCAGAAGTAATGGGGGGGTTTGGGGGGAAGGGGAAACACAGGGGTGCTGAGTGGACAGAGGAGGGGGCAGCAGGCAGAAAACGGAAGAATTACCTACAGGTGTGTGACAAGAGTCATCTTTCAACAAGATAGTCTGAGAATTGGTATTGGGAACTAAACCAGTGAGGAAATTCCCTCTATCAATGAAGGTTGACAGCGTCTCTGACAACAACCACAGACAGGTTAAGTGACTTACCCAGGATCACCCAAACAGCATTTATCAGAGGCAGGATTTGAACCCAGGTCTTCAATCTTTTCCATTATCTCTTGTTATGATCATCACAATCACCTTGTGAGGAAAGAACTTGACCCATTTTACAGATGGGGAAACAAATGTGTCCATGGTCACACAGCTAAGTTGGTGACTCAGAGAATTAGAAACCGTCCTGTGATAGGATTTTAAAGACAGAAAGGACATCAGGGACCATCTAGACCAATCCCCTCATTTACAGAGAAGGAACTTGAAGTCCTGCAAAGGGAAATGAGTTAGGTGCTTAAGGTTTCACAGCAAAGTTAGGGACAGTCAAAACGTGAATCCAGAAACTTTGACTCCAAATTCCACTCTACTGTTTTTCCTATCCTAGGCAGTGATGTTGTAGACTCTTATTTTGGCTGTCACTATGGTCAATGTAAGTGTGCAGGGTACAGCCCTCTCCTTTCTTCCTCAACAGGCTGGGCAAAATTCTAAGAGTTTAGGCAGCCTCAACTGTAAGCTCAGCCTGCTGAGAATTCTCTTTCTGACCTTTCCCAAATAGTCAAATAGGCAGTTTATTGAGCATACTGGTGTGTGTGCATGTGTGCATATGTGTGTGTCTGTGTGTGTATAATAGGGACCAAGGCCAATTTAGCCTGTACCCATCTCATCCCACTAGGTGGCTTCTCACCTAGATCTCGGTGTACTTCAGGGTGGGCTCAGGACTGAACCTGCCTCCTCTCAGTCACCCCTGATGGGAGCCTCCTTCCCTCCCTCCAAGGTTGGGCTAAAAGGGCTCTGCTGAGAGAGATGAAGATTGACAGCAGTGAGAGAATGATAGGCCAATCCAAGAGGAGAGTTGAAAACAAGATTGACGTAACCCTTTATTGCAAATTCTAAAGTAAAAAGATGTACAGTACAAAGTAAAATCAAAATTTCAGACTGTGATCTTCCAACCCACTATACATTCTCATGTCTCAAGCATGCCTGCCTTTCTCCGCAGAAACGGAACAGGGAACAAGCCAAGAGGGAGGGGGAAGGAGATACAGCAAGGAAAACAATAGAGACTGTCTAGTTATCACCAACTGTGGAAGCAAGTGAAAAGAAAGCCATTTTTTTGACCTGCTGTTCTGATGCTGAGAAGCGGGGGCGGTTGGAGCAGTGCAATTTAAAATGGCTCTCATAATAGCAGCATTTATGGTACTGTTTCATCTTCCTCAGTTCAAGAATAGTAATAATAATACTTTTTGCTCTTCCCCAGTGCCTTTGCCTCATGGACCTCAAAGCGCTTTACAGACATTTAGTTGAAGCCTCACAACACCCCTGTGAGGTAGGTCAGTATTATTATCCCCATTTTACAGATGGGGAAACTGAGGCACAGAGAGGTTAAGTGACTTGCCCAAGGCCACAGAACGAGCCAGTGGCAGGAGCTGAGGGTGGAATCCAGGAGTCCTGTCCCTTTGCTGAAACCACTGGGTCACACTTCCCTTTACCTATAAATGTCCTATACACACACATACGTACACACATACATACAACACATACACCCACACCCACACCCACCTCGAGCTTCTCAACAAAGTCTATGTACAGCAGCAGCAGTGGGGAGCCCCAGGAGATTGTTCTGACTTTGGGAAGAGCTGGGCTAGCTACCTTTTGAGAAGGAAGACCAAGGCAACCAGGCGCTGAGTGATTTGTTCCATTCTGGTGCAAACCTTGCATCCTCTCCCCGATCCTGACCTGATGTCCCCACTGTGCTGGCCAGTTGTAGCCAACTCCTCAGGGAGTGTGAGTAGGTGCAGTGAGTGGGGTGAGGTTTCTGAAAAATGGACAAAGCTTTTTGCAAAAAACTTTGGGCACTGGGAAAAAAGTAGGCAACATGGTTGAAGATGCTCAGGGTTCAAGTCCTAACTGATGGCAAATGTGCCTCCATTGCAGAGCCTGGGGGCCAGGGAGGGCTGGGTGGCCGGGAGAAGAGAGCAAGAGTTGGCTTTGGGGATGGGTCCACCATCTACCTCCTTCCAAAACTGCAGCTTCCCAACCTGAACAAAAGCACTTGTTTTTGCTACTGCGTATTTCTGGACCAGAGACATGGCGTATAAGAGGGGTGCCCTTCACCTGGCTGCTGTAGAGTGTTTTTGCGAGTGATCTATACTCAGAACCAGCCCCGTTTTGTCCAGCTGTAGAAGCAGTGGTGGCCAGGGTCAGTGCATTGCATAGCAGAGGGGATGGGGAGGCTACTGGGAGCTGTGCCCACTGAAGAAGGGTGAAATTTCTTCCTCATGTAATGGGAAAAGCAGCTGAGACCAAACCAGCAGGACCAACACTAGTGACACCTTAGAGAACCCACCCAGGGAGGCTTGTAGTTTTTCAGGGGGTTCTGGGCCAAGTGAGGGGATGCACAACTGATGGGGGGAGGCATCTGAGTCGGGGTCATGTTTTCCACTCCCATCTTAATATGCTCCTCCCCCTCAAACCAGAGCCTTCCAAGAGACTTTTTGTCCTCTCTTCCCTCCCTTCCCAAATCAAATTTGCTACCATCTCATTTCCCAGACCCAAACCAGAACTCAAGAACCGGGACAGTCAAGCAACAGACACACACCAAGACGAACTTCCCTTGTACAGTAAAAAGGGTAATTTTTATTACGTTTCCTTTTGGCTTATGATAGTGATGTATTTGATCACACCTGCCTCAGACCAGCATCGGTCTCCATGCATTCACTAACACACTCATCATTCATTATTGGTCTTTTACAGGCTGATAGTTGTTTCGGCAGAAAAAGAAAAGGATTTTGGGTGAAGTGACCCCAGGGCTTCTGCCTTGGGGTCTCTGCTTAATTCTCCTCCATTGGACTCCCTATGCCAAACAGGGTGCATTCAGCAAGGATTGAGCGCAGCTCATCTGGATTTGATCAGTTTTTTCTACCCTTCCCCCAACTCTCATCTTGCCCTCTGCTTGGAATTCCTCAAGAGCAACCACAGTTGGAAGGAGAGAAGGGAAGGGGGGGGAGGGGTGGTACAGATCCACCGACAACTGCAATGTCTGATGCTGCTGCTCGTGGCTTTGGCTTTGCTTTTTAAATGGACAGCATCGTGTGTCTGTTTGCTTTTTTTGTCCTCTTTTAAAGGTGGATTCCCAAGTATAAATACTGCACCAAGGACCTGGCTACAAAAAATAAATATTTATATTATATTTATATATCTATATATATATATATATATATATATATGCGCGCAGTGGTACTGTGGATGCTACTGCTTTCCTGATTGGCATTTTTAGTTTTTGGCAAAGTATTGCCACTCACCTGCTCAGGGAAGACATACAAAAATGTCAGTAGTAATTCTCTCAGTTCAGTGCCCATTCTCTGTGGGTGTAAACTGCTGGTGATGGTGTCATTTGCTACCAAAAGGAGTGTGGAGTAGGGTGGAGGGTCAGAAGAGTTATTATTTCTTTTTTTTTTTTAAACAAGAAAAAAAAAGATGAAACTTCAAATGACAGAGGGAATGAAATATTCCCTGGGAAGCTGGGGTAGGGATGTCAGATACCAAGGCCCACGTGGTACTGAGGAGGAAGCCTGTTGGGAATGGGAATGGGGAATTTGGGCAAGGAAAAATAAGTCAAATTTCAGGAAAAATCTTATTATTATTCTCTAGTAGCTTAATGACATCATTAGCATGAGCATTCCATGTACCCGCCATGCTGGATATTACAACTCTGTTGCCCATCTCAAGACCTAAGAACAATTATGAAGTTTAGCCAAATCTTGCATAGAAGTGGTTAGAATTTATTGCACATTGGAACAAAAATAAACTTTTTTTGTCATTTTGGAAAAGACCATTAGCAATAAAAAAATTTTTTGTCTGTCTGGTTTGGGGATGTATATTGGCTGACAGCATCTAAGACCTAAGAAGAAAGAAAAGTATAAAAAATAAAAATAAACATGACAATGGCATAAGCCAGAAGCCATTTCCTATTTAATTTAGTTAATCTTTTGTATTTACAAAAGGCATGCCAATAAAATAAAATGATGATATATTACAGTATTTATAATTCTCTTAAAAAGTTTAACCACACGTCTCAGCTTTTGTTTTGTGCTGTTTACAATGGAACCTGTACATATGTATGTGACTATACAACCTAGTGGTAGGGAGGGTAACTGGCAGATAAAAATGACTTCCCATTCTTGTGTCTGGTATAATAGGACAGACAGCTCTGCTGATGACGCTGCTGGAATCAGCCTAGGAGAACTGAATGGAGCTCACTCCCTCCTCACTAAGTCCAGCCAGATGGAGAGCTCTGCTTATTGATTGGCTGTGGTTTGGTCTACGCAAAACAAGTCAGTTAAACTGTGAAATGACAACCTAAGTGCTTCTATTGCAAGGCAGGTCGGTGTATGTGTTTTGGGGGGATCTGTCCCCTTTTTCTGGTTCCAGAAGGCTGTATATGATTTGGTCCACACTCTAATATCTTTCTCCCTCTTTTCTTTCACTGGCACTTGGCTGCAGCATCTCAGTTTGAAAATCAAAAGTCAGCACAATGAGAAATCACGGGACTGAAACATTCTTTCCTTAAACAGGAAATGGAAAGGGATGTTTTTTGAGAGGGAATTCATTCTTTGGGTAAGGTAACCCTGCCCTGAAATCACAGGCCAGTGGAAATGGACAGCAGGAACTAAATGGACAACAAAGCTGGCAGAAACCAAATGTGCCGGGAGAAATGAGCTTCCTGGAGTAGGATTATGAAATCCCTTTCTCATCAACAGCGCTGCAGAGAGGAACCCAGATGAAATTAGGTGAAAAGGTGGCTCCTCTCTACCTCAGGACTTTTCAACTCCTGCTATACCAGAAAGGTCAGTGACAGCCCCGGGACAGTCCTGTTGCTTCTGTCCACCCCATTCCAGGGAGGTCAGTGAGAACCCCTGTCTGGTGGAAAATGTTATGGAAGCAAAGAAAGGTCATGCAGAGAGCCAGGCTGTACATACCACCCCACTGCAGAAGAGCCAAAAGACCAGGATAGAATATCTGAACCCCCCCCCCCCCCACCTCCTCCTTCCAAAGAAAGCAAGAATGCAGAAGGACACGATGCTAAGTGAAGTAAGCATTCCTTAGCCCCCAACCAAAGGTTGGTTCAGGTTCCCCAAATTACCAAGAGATATCGTGCTACTTTTCAATAGCACCTACCTCAATCCAAAATAATGCCTGTTCTCCGGAGCAAAGGCTGAATAATCATCAGAAATATTGCAAGATACAAAGGAACTGGTTTTGTTTGTTTCTGTAAGCCCTAGGATTTGGTTTTACAGTGATGCTTTTAATACAAGCCATTCGGTATCAGTATCCCCATGAGTAGGACATAGAGCAGCATTTAGGAGTTCATGTTTTGCATGTGCAACAATGGCTGTACGTCAGAAATGTCTGTGAAACATACAAACAAAAAACAATTCGGTCTGCTTATCAGTTTGGTTGGTTGGTTGGTTTGGTTTGGTTTTGACCTGGGAAGTGTATGAAAGACTTATAAGAATTGATAAGGAATTGGAGTGGGCATGGACATCTTACCGTTTTCTCCCAATACAGTGGCCGGTGCAGGGCTGGGTCCTGTCCCAAGGATGACCCAGTGCAGTGGACAGGTCATTAGTGTCCTGTGGTGTATGGTTCTCATGCATGACTTCTGATCACAGCATGCCATCATGCAAATCATTTCTACGCATTGAACGAGCACAATGTTTGGAATTGGCCTGAGCAAGTCCTCCTCAGCCTGAAGAAACCTGGTTGTTTTTCCCACCCATCTCCAAACCATGTGAAGCCCATGTAAAGAAGATGCGGTTAATACCAAAGAAACTGACAATTAAATGACATGGGCTAAATGTGTTTTCTTTTCTTTCTTTTTTTTTTTTAGCTGCTTAACTAATGTAAGAATGCAAAGATAGTTTGCATGAACAAACAAACTTTTAAAGTGGTGCTTTCTGCTTCTGAGAATCAACAAAATGAGAAAATAAAACCTGTTTGGCTGCAACGGAAATATGCTGGTCCCGGCAGCCTATTCACTGTGTCCTGTTTTTGTTTCCTCTTGGTTTTGTCCTAAAGTTGCATTGACTGATGTGAAAACATGCAGTAACCACCTGCCCGAGCATTAGGAAATCCGTGTGTCCGTGAGAAGGGTCCTTGGCCTCTGGCAGGTCACTGCTCAAGACGCGACCTTGGTATATGGGAAGCGGACTACGTCTGGTATAAGTCTCTGGGGAAGGGTCTCCACAGTTGTTCTGCACTGACAATAATCAGGAAGTTTGTAAACAATCTTTCACTTTCAAGTTTTAAATCTGTACAATATATAATTTTTTGATTTTCCTCTAACACTTGGATTCCCTGACCTCTTTTTGTCTTTTGGCTCTTTCCCTTCTTCCTTCTTCTGCGCGCTCTTGTTTCTCCTTGTCGGGCTTAGTTACACTGTCATAGGATGGAAGGGAGGCTGTAGAAGGGGTCCCCTCTTTCTTCTCCCGGTGCGTGACCCCATTCTCCAGCTTATTGGAGGTTAGCTTTCGGCTGATGAAGCCTCGCCTGGCTAAATGTCCCCGATAGGCGCGCTGAAGGACCACTGCTGACACGTCTTCCTGCTTGCGTCGCAGTGTGGTGGTGATGGGTTCATAAGACATTTTGGAAGGATTGGATGCTACGAACCTCTCTTCCATCTGCTGCCGAAGGACATCCAGCTCTCCACTGTCCCCAAGGACTCTCTTGGTAAAGGCAAAAAGGATGTCCAGGCAGTGGATGCGATCCCCACTTACCATTGGCAGATCCATAGCAATGAGCTCAATGGTGTTGGGCTTTGGGACACGAAGCGGGTGCTCTAAAGCATCAGCAAAGTCTGCCAGTTTACAATACTCAATGAATTGGGTGGCATCGGGGTCAAACTTCTCCCATATCTCATAGAAGGTCTCAAAGTCATCCTCGCTCAGAGGGTCTGCGCTCTCCTCTGTGGCTACACTGAAGTTCTCCAAGATAATGGCAATATACATATTGACCACAATCAGGAAGGAGATGATGATGTAGCTGACAAAGAAGAAGATCCCGACCGAAGGGTTCCCGCAGTCTCCCTTAAAGCCACTGCCTGGGTGCTCCTTGTCCAGGCTGCAGTCAGGTGGGCGGTTCAGAATGGGCAGCAGGAGACCATCCCAGCCGGCTGAGGTGGTGATCTGAAACAGGCAGATCATGCTATTGCCAAACGTCTCAAAGTTGAACATATCATCGATGCCAGCTTCGTGTTTGACGTAAGCAAAGTTAGACATCCCAAAGATAGAGAAGATGAACATGACCAAGAAGAGCAAAAGGCCAATATTGAAAAGGGCTGGCAAGGACATCATTAAGGCAAAGAGAAGGGTACGGATCCCTTTGGCTCCTTTGATAAGACGCAAGATGCGTCCGATTCGGGCCAATCGGATGACTCGGAATAGAGTTGGGGACACAAAATATTTCTCTATTATATCAGCTAGGAACATTCCTAAGGAAAAAAAGGGTAGAAGAAGACAAGTTAGAATATGGACACAATCTAGCCCTAATCTCCCTGCCCAGGCTCCATTAGTCCAAAGAAAGCCACAGCTAATTTATCAGCCCAATTTCCCCTGCCAGTCATAAGTCTCCTTAGAGAAAATATTCCCCAATTTCTCATAGGTTAAAAATTACAGCACCACTACAGTAAATGTGCAAACTGCCTTTCCTACAAGGAGTTTGAAATAAATGTCAAGTTTACCATCTCCTTCATATTTAGAACATCCTTGAGAGACAAGAAAAGGACACATGAGAATGGAATGGCATTCCTGGGGTTACAAGGACTAGGTCCTATGTAGACTAGACTCTTGTACCTAAGGGCTCAACGTGGTACCACAGTTAAATGTAAAAAATGCCCATGTTGTCAAAAGACACAAACACACTGTCAAAACATACAGGCCAGGTCTTTTCCCCTTTTTGTTCAGCCTGGGTAAAACCCTGACTACAGTTCTCTAGTGGTCTGTGTAACTGAAGGGTGATGGTAGAGAAATTAGAAGGGTAGAGAGAAAAAATATGAGACGGTGAAAAAGTCGGAACATAAAACCTGCATGGGAAAATCAGTTTCTGAAGAGCTTTCTCACAGAAGGTGATAAGTGATTTTTTATTTCTTCCAAGGACAAAATAAATAGGAAGAAGCTTCACCTGGGACATGAGAGGGTATAAATTAGAACAACTCTACCAAGAAACTGAATATGGAAGTGTGTTAACGAGGCGAAGTGGGAATTCCCTTCCTTGAGAGGATTAAAAACAATAGAACCTTCTCTTCTAGGAATGTCCAGAGGAAGGGAGCTGGATTGAGTGACTGACCTCTCCGGGCTTTTTCTAAGGATTCTGTGAAGTATGCAGAAAAACTGAATATGATCTAAGCCCAACAAAGAATAACCTCACTGCCCATAGTTCAAATCCAAGGTTTCTCCTGAACTCTTTTTACCTTGGGTAACATCTACTACTTTCTAATGCCTATGGGGTTTACATGGTGTCTGGTCATCAGGAGTCAGTTTAAACTGGATTTTTATTTTCAGGGAAGAGAGGCAAAAATTGGAGAAGCAAGTTAGCTTTGGGGTTATTGGAGCCAGCAGATGCAGAATTACAGCACCCACCACTGTTCCCAAGACAGCATTACCTGTACTTGTAGCTACCAGGAGAGGATAAGTAATAATGGTCAAAAGTCCCAAAAGTGGATGGGATAAGGAATGATAGCAAATAGTCCCAACTCACACGTCAGCCCCTCTTTTCTCAGCAGGACACCAAGATAAACCTTAAATGTCTTCTGGGTTGAGTCTCACTCCGAGAGCCAGGATTCAAGGCCAAATCTGAACTGAACCAGGGAAGTTTCCCCATCTTGTTCTAGTGAAAACCTCCAGTGGTGGGACAATATACTCAGTCTGCATCCTCTTCTAGCTCCTTATACTTCAAATGTTAGCATCAAGTCACCTACTCCAGGAATTTTTTTTTTTCTGGATTTTCCTCACCATTCTTTAAACCTAAAAATCTCTGACTAGATTGTTTCTCTCTTCATACTTCCCTTCAGCATTTTATACAAATATTTTGATGATGACATCTACTTTTTCTTCCCTATTAGACTGTTATGTTCTCTGAGAGCAAGGACCCAGTCTAATCTTTTCCTCACACCTAATGCCTGATACATAGCTCAGCCATCTCTCTCATAGATGCTCATGAGTTACTTGTTGAATGCAGGGAGTATAAATGTTTCTGAGCTGGGCTGGGGATCCAGTCTGTTCCCAAAATGCCAGAAGCCCTCCCCTCTTGATCCCTCTGGCTCACCAACAATGGAGAGGATGACCACCACAAAGTCAAAGATATTCCAACCAATAGTAAAGTAGTAGTGCCGTAAAGCAAACATCTTCAGCACACACTCGCATGTGAAGAAGATGACAAAGACCAGGTTGATCCAATAGAGTATGTTCTCCATCTGCTTGCTCTGAGTGTCTGTTTCCACCATCATCGTCACCATGTTGAGGCAAATGAGCATCATGATCACAATGTCAAAAGCTTGTTGAGTTACAAAATCAAAGACGACACCTTGGATATTGTTCTGAGGAAATGTGTAGAGGAAGAAAGAAGAACATAAAGATTCAGAAGGACCTTCTCAAGCAAAGGAAGCCTTCAACTAATAGATGTAGTACTGGTCACCCTACTCTACTAACCCAACAACTCTCCCCTTTTGTTTTATAGTGGTCTGCTCTGGCATCCTGCTAGAAGCAGCAGTTGCCCCATCTTACAAAGAGATTTCTAAAATTGTTTGGCTGTAAAAACTTCATTTCTACTCACTGACCCCATTCTTACTTCCCAATATCCCAAGAAGAACTTCAGAGTTGGAAGGGGCCTCAGTGGTCATCTAGCACATCCCATACCCGAAAAGAATCCCCACTACAACATACCCAACAAGTTGTCATCTGGCCTTTGCTTAAAGACCCACTAACTTCTGAGGCAGCCCGTCTGACCGGCTTGACCCTCTGGGGTCAAAGAGTAGAAATCCAGTCTCTTTCCTACACGGCAGCCTCCCCAGTTCTTGTAACTGTTCTCATGTGCCCCTTGAGGCACCTTCTCTAGGTTAAACCTTCTTAGTCCCTTCGAAGGATCCTCATATGGCATGGACTTAGGAGTCTTCTTTCCCAGTCTGGTTGTCTGTCCTTCTCTGGCAGTTCTCCAGCTATTCCCTCATCCTCCTTGCCCCTGTCTCACAGCATCTGGGTTGGAAGGACCCTCAGATGCCATCCAGTTCAGCTGGTACTTGAATAAAAATTTCCTTTACAAGAGGCTCAACAAGTGGTCATCCACCTTTACCTAAAGACTGCTAGAAAAGGACAAGATGCTACCTCCCAAGACAAGCCCCTTTCATTTTTTGCACAATTGCAAGCTGTTAGGAAGTTGTCCTTTCATTGAGTTTTAATGTGGTTCTCTAACTTCCACCCTCTCCTTCTAGGTCTAATCCAGGGGTGGGGAACCTGCAGCCTTAAGATCCCCACCCCCGGCCTAGTCCTTGGGATCAAGCAGAACAAGCCCCATCTCTCTTCCACGCGATAGTACTTTGAATACTTAAAGTGGTTATCATGTCCTTACTAAGCCTTTTCCTCTCCAGGCCCTTCAAAGGCCCTTCTTCGGCACTGTGTCTAGTCCCTTCTCCACCCTGGTCACCATCTTTTGGTCATTCCCTATCTTGTTAATGTCCACTCTAAAATGTGGCCCCAAGAATCTCACTTTCGTTAGCCTGGGCACTGCAGGCTGTCTTGGTGAGGTCTGTGGCAACATTAACGATTTGAATTTGCTCATCCTACTGCTCCCTATGGCACTAGCTTAAAAGAACACAAGCAACTACCTAAAGAAAATATATTCAAGTTTATTCTCTCCAATCACCTCAAGACACAAATCCCTACAAATTTCAAAAACAAGGTGGGGGAGCAGAAAAGTAGCTAAAAATAATATTTGAGATCAAGTTGGAGCACTCTGATGAAGCGTGTGGACACCTTCTCAGAACCATGTTTTTAAATGCATAAGATACATAGGATTACAAAGGAAACCAATTATACTGACATTTCATTATTAAAAATTAAAAAAAAACAAAAAACAAATAAATTCATGGATCCCAGGTCAAGAACTCCTGTTTCAGATGCTGCCTAGGACAGAAGTTATTACCATGGTGACTTTAATAAAAAGGAATAAAGGAAAGAACCTTGGGACTGTTGGGTGATGCCCCCTTTTTTTCCCCAGATTTCTTTTTTTATTTTTATTTTTTTTTAATTCTGAGCTCCAAATTGCTGGGCTATCTCCTGCTTTGGAACCAATTTAGCAATCTACCAATTAAGCGAAGCAGGTCGGATGCATCTTCTTAGATGTTACTTGCCTAATGATACCACCCAAAAAATCAACTCATGCAAACAGCTTTGATTTTAAGCCCACAGGGAGTGTGAACTAGCAGAGGCCTTCCCATTCTGTTGTCCTCTCTGCCAAAGGGCTGCCCACAGAATCTCTGCCAATTTCAAGAAACGGTCTGTAGAGATCAAAATTTGCTTTGTGGAGAAAAGCTGAAAAGACAATAACTAAAAAAAGATGCATTTTTGGATTTATTCTCCCTGCCAGTTCTTGCTCATCTAAACCCTTGGTCTTACCAGGCTCTTTGCCAGTTATTGTTAACGTGACAATTCTTTGCTCCATGATCATATTTCCCCACCCACCAACGAAAGGCTCAGAGTTGTTACCTGCCTCACCCACAGATCTTCTGGATGGAATGGTTGAGTGAGGAAGAGAGGACAGGAGAGAAATCATTGACCCTTTTCCTTCCTTCCCAGTGCCCAGGACACTTCTTTTCCCAACATGCATTGCCTTCTTGCCCTTAGCTCTCAGAATACACTTACAAGGGGCCTGGGGATGGGTTTCTGGGGTTTCTTTGAGCCCAACTTCTTCATGGCATTGTAGTATTTTTTCTGTTCTTCAGTCATAAAGATGTCCTGACCTCCAAAGTAAAGGAAGGAAAGAGAGCAAGAGCCATTACAACTGGTGCTCAAATACTGGACTTTTTATTCTTCTACTTTGAATCTCCCCCTAGTGTAGTTCTAAGGGACAAGGTGAAGCTGAGGTGGTCCTAAGGCATTGATCCTATTTAGGGAAAGCCTGGGGTGTCTGGCTTGGTCTGCCTTTTACTTGAGTTCTCTCAGATCCAACCTAGAGAAGACCTCAGCCACTATGCGGCTATCGAGTTCTTCCAGTCTCTAGGTGGTCAGGGGAAAGTTCTAGTCTTCCTAGAAACTGACAAGACTTCTCTGTACTGAGTACCTACTTTCAGGAGGGTAATGACTTTTTAAATAAGTACAAATGTTTTCACAGCCACATAAGTATATCCTGGATCTGCCTGCCACCCCTTCTAAGAGGAACATAGAATAAAAAGTGAAAACACATAAAAACAAAAGTCATTCTAAAGTTATAAGACTTCCCATGGCCCACTTAATTCAGGTAATATTTAATACCCCCAAAATCTATTTTAACAAAATAAATTAGAGAATTTCTAGGAATTTTTGTAGTTGAAGCCGGCTTATCAAACAAATGAAAGTCTTTCATAGAAGCCTGAAATAAGTGGTCCATAGTTAGCAAGAATAAATGAAACGCCTCAAACTGTACTGCAGCAATTCACAGTGCGTGGCACATAGTAGGTGCTAAATAAATACTTGTTGATTGATTGATTCCTATTTCTTATTCCTCTTCTATCACTTTTTTTTTTTAAACCAGAATGATTCTCTCTGGTTCTGATGGCCAAATAATAGGATAATAGGTAATTAAAGTGCTCAGGAGCTGACATGAGAAGGGAAGAGAAACAGAAAACTTGAATAATCCTCAAGCTGCATAATTAACCCCTGAAACACCAAAAATGAGTGTTAACGACAAGGCCAGTGAACAGGGAATTGTCACAGAAGGGGCTTTATGTCCCAGGCTGGGGTTGGGCTAGATGACCTCTGATCTCCCTTTCTTTCCAACTCCCAGGTTCTATAATTCTGTGCGTCAGGAGAGGCAGCTCCACTTGGGAGAGGCCCAGTCTTACGCTGGGCATACACATGACAGCTGAGAGCTCGGATGAGCAGGGGAGGGGAGAAGACCTATCTTTTTCTTTTGTTGATTGAAGTTGTCAATGATGACACCAATGAACAGGTTCAGGGTGAAGAAGGAGCCAAAGATGATGAAGATGACAAAGTAGATGTACATGTAAATGTTATCCTCATATTTAGGCTGTTGTTCTGCCTGCCATGAGACAAGAGAAAAATTCCAAAGTCAAGTTCCCCTCAGAACTGTGTGTGTGTGTGTGTTGGGGGGAATTACAGCGTTTCAATTGTGACGTATGAAAAGCAGCAACACCTGTTCTGCCCCTGGTCATCTCTATTGTGGGAGGGGACACTGCATGTTGTTTGTTCTCTCCCACTGTTGAACAAGGAAGAAAACTTTATGCTTCTCATCAGACTGGTTCAAGAGTTCTGGGGATAAAATGGACCTATCCTAACCAAGCCTCCCATGGAAAAAAGGGGAAATCTATTGGGAGAGACACTGCTGTGCTGGGAATGGGCTTGTGCAATGTGCCCTGGAATCCAGCATCCCACCTGAGCCAAGCAGGAATCAGCCTCTGAGCTCTGGGAGTGATTAATCAACTGGTGCTAACTTAGGTGAGTGATGGACTTTCAGGGGGGAAAACAGGATCTGTAGTTAACATATAATGTAATAATTTCCCCTAGATGCTAATCCCAGACCTTTTCAGAAACACTTCCTTAGACTAAATTCACTTTTCCTCTCCCCTCTTGCTTTCGGTCCAAACCAAAAATCATCGTATCATCTCACTCTTACCTTTCGAGAATCCACAGCTGCATACATGATGTCCATCCAGCCTTTGAAGGTTGCCTGACAAACAAAGGCCATCATTAGACTGTGCAGGCAGCAGCCCGGCTTGCTTTAGGATGGGGGAGGAAGGACAAGCAAATAGGCTGGAGTCTCAGGGAGCACTCAGGAAGGAAGAGTCTTGCTCTGTGGGAGTCCAGGTACATTCTGGCTTAGACACAACACTTCCCAACTGTTGGTTAATATGGTTCCCAAGGCGGTTTTGTTCAAGTCACTAAGTATAACCGAGGACAGTCTGGGAAAGAACTACATTGACACTTGGGTGAAGAATAGATGTTTCAGACTTCCAAGCACTCATGGATGGGAACCTAGACCTGGACAAAAAACCTAGACAAAAGGGGATATTTTGCTAAAATAAAAACAGAGAGAATGCCTACAAAATGAGCCTGGGGGTAATTTAACAGTGAAGCAAAGACAATGAGGTCACACTACTGTGCCTATGGAGGCCTGAGTCCGTGGCAGGATGGTATTCCTGAGCCGCAGTGGACACCAAGTCTCTGGATTAAGGGCATTTAAAAAATCCTTTGCAATAAATAACAGGGGTCTGAAAAATGCATGCTCATATTTTAAAAGCAACCTGACTACCCTCCTTCTCCACAAACACACTTCATCTAAGGCAGTGGCCTCAGAAACCTTACCACCAGCTCCTCCCTCCTTGTCTCTACCCATTTTGTCTCTAGTCAAGATCTAAGGGGGCAGCTAGGTGGTGCAGTGGATAGAGCACCGGCTCTGAAGTCAGGAGGACCTGAGTTCAAATCTAGCTTCAGATCAAACACTTGACACGTACTAGCTGTGTGACGTTGGGCAAGTCACTTACCCCCAATTGCCTCACCAAAAAAAAAAAAAAAATCTAAGGTAGTTATGAGACATGGTTAAGAGGTTGGGGGACAGGAAGAAAACCAGGCATGGTAGAATGAAATTCTGTGGAATTTTCTGTAGTAAGAGAAAACAAAAACTATCTGTGTGCACATCTATAAGTATGTATCACATATTATACACATACATACATACATATGTATATAGAATATATATACCCATTCCCTATCAAGGCAATCTTCCTTAGACTTTCAGTGACCTTTCTCTGGTGCTGAGCATGAAAGTGATTTTGAGTAACAGTTTCAGAACACAACCATATGCAAGGACACTGTCTTTGTAATTTTCCACTCTAGACATATATCTGCACAAATTATGCATGACTTTAATACAATTGATGATGTATACCAGGATCTGTCTCAAACTCTACTGCCCCCGCTGGATCTGACTTGCTTCTTGCCAGCCCAGAGAGAATGGGCAGCCTTTCTCTCCCCTCTTTAAACCACCATTTTATTATTCCTCTGTCCATTTTTTTTCTTAGTGGTTGCCAAACAGAAGAATGCTGCTGAGCTACAGGAGAGGAATCCCTTTAAATAAGATCTTAAATGTTAGAAGGTTCTTTGGGAATTAATGCTAAGTGACATTTACATTTGTAACACACGTTAAGGTTTTCAAAACCCTTTCCACACAGTTGTCTCAATGGATTCTTTCAACAAACTTGTGAGGTAATTCTTCAAATATTACTGCCCCCGTTTTACAGAGAAGGAAAAGTGAAGGCCAGAGAGGTCACAGAACTTGCTCGTGGTCACACTCGTAAGCGTCACAGGCCAGGTTTGAACCCAGGTCTTCTCTCTCGAGTCTAAGTTTAGAGCTCCTCCCACTATCCCATGCTTGCACAGACAGAATCAGGGTGTTTGCTCAGAGAGGGCTTTGGAAACCATGAAGTTGGTTTGGGCCTTTGACCTGAGGAAAGCCACTGGTGACCATGGCTCACGGATCACGCGTGAGATGGCCCCTGGAGGGGAGGAGCACCAGAACTCACCACCTGAAGAAGAGCCAGATAGCCCGCCCCTACGTTGTCAAAGTTGATCTTCACGTTCTTCCACCGGATCTCCGTGGAGTTTCCTTCCATGAGTGCTTCGCAGTCCGATTTGTTGTTGACTTCCTCTATCTCAAAGCGGTACTCCGCTGTTTCATTGAAGCAGTAGTGGTACTTCCCTGCAAACAGGTTCACCCCCATGATGCTAAAAATCAGCCAGAAGATCAGGCACACCAACAGAACGTTCATGATGGAGGGGATGGCACCAACCAGGGCGTTCACCACCACCTGCGTTGGAAAGGGGGAGAGAGCTTAGACGTGGAGGGAGGCTCCAAGAGCGCATTTCCTTATTTCCAGGAGGGGAATGATACTGGTCAGGAGACCATCGTGTTCTCTTTTGGACTGGTTGTGCCCTGACAGTTCCACAGGGAGGACTAAACTTATCCGGGCCTGTGAACTGTGTTTCGGGAGCATTTTCGGGAAATGTGCCACAATTTCAATGCAAATGAATTCTCCAGCCCAAGGTGTCCCGAGGCTTCTTTACCAGGCAGCAACTTTCTAGATTGACAGACTGCTCAGCCTGTTCTCCCCAATCCCATATCCTTTGTAAAATAGGGCCAGATCTGGGAAATCCCAGAGCAACGTCAAGCTTCCCAGCTGCCTTTAATAGACATTCCCCCACTGTAAAACAAGGTATGATCAGTCAAGATCAACCAGAGAACTGCCTTTTGAAGATAACAGTGAGTCAGTGAACAATACATAGAGTATTTTTGTGACTATGCAAGACCAGTTATCTTGTTTCAGGCAATAGCTGAGCATGCATATTTTGCAGGCTCAAGGAAAAAAGCTATATTCCCTCTACCGAACAGTCAGATGAAATTGGAACCATGTACTTTCCATAGGCTCTTTCTCCTTCACGGTTTCTGACTTCATATGCTGCTAAATTTCTGAGAGCTGCTTTTCACACAATGAGCCAGCCTTTGGTTCACCAGACAGTCTACTCCCTACCCCGTGTGATGCTGATGTCCCTTTGCTGGGTCCCAGTCAGATTTGCTTCTTCAATCTCATTTTTAAATGCCATAAAAACTCTTTAGGGAGCCTCTGATAGCTAACCAAAAAAGGGCATTTGTTGGTGACCAGCGATTGTAAGCCCCCAAATCAGAAACAAGGAAATAATCATTACTTTTCAGCTCCTAGGCCCTTTATTCTTGTTCACAATGTAGGTGACGAAAATAACTATCACTTATATAGCACTTTAAAATTTGCAAAGTAGCTAGTTATTATTTCCACTTTTTATGCCACTTTTCACTAGATGAATTCAAAGCACCCTAAAAAACAATTACATAGTAAGAAAAAAATACTCTGTTGGTACTCAGGGAGACCTAGACTCTAGTCCCTCCCAGTTTATTACTCAAGAAGATCTGAGATCAAATGTGGCCTCAGACACTTATAAGCTGTGTGATCCTGAGCAAGTCATTTCACCTCTGTTTGTTTCAATTTCCTCATCTGTAAAAAATAATAGCACCTACCTCCCAGGACTGTTGTGAGATCAAATGAGACGGTAATAGTAAGCACTATAGAAATGTTAGCTATCATCATGATCATCAGGAATGAATTGCTTTTCCTAGCTCTCCCTTAGAGGAAACGTAACCAGTTGCTTATAGTACAGATAAACCAAGTGTGATCTGCTTTCAGTTAACAAACCCAAGAAGGAATGTCAGTGACCTTGCTCTTGTTGTGGACCTCTGGGCAAGGCTTTCTTTTTTTTTTTTCTTATCTCACAGACTTTCTCCTCAGACTGCTCTGTCACTGTGCAGAATGTGAGGCCGAGAAGGGCCATCTGCTCTTTCCAAGGAAGAAGGAATAACCTTCTCCTATCACAACCTATGGACCTGATCTTCATATTAAAATGTGGGTTCTGGCTGTCTCCAATTTATATTCTCTGAACTGTTTGGGAGGTGAATATCTCTTAATTTTCTGATCAAAAGAATCTCTCCAGGATCCACTAGCTTCAGTCATTTGAATCTCATTGGTATAAAATTGTCAAATTAGTCTAGCCAGAGAAAACCTAGATAATTAAAATCCATAGACAATGTGCAAATCTCATTTTAACCAATAGCTTCAATTTTCCCTGTCACTAAAATTTCCTCGTTTCTTTTTTAAAACAAGAACAGCTAATAAATTATAAAATGGGTTTGATTTCAGTTTCACCTCCTCCTGCTGCCCTTGTTCACCCTTTGACAAAGGAATGACCGAGCAGGAAATGAGCAAAGGAAGAAACAGAAAAAAAAAGGGGGAGCAGGGAGGGAGCTAGATGCTTCCCAAATGGACTAATCAACCCCTAAACCATAATGAGAATAAGCTGCATAAAGATACCAAAATTTTACTTCAGGGCCCAATTCAGGACCTTGCAGCTGGTGTATGAGAACATAGCACTCTGAGATAGAGAACTTTACAAGTCTGTACAAAGCCCATCTAAGCGAAAAGTTACAAAACCCAAACCCATTGCTTTTTTTTTTTTTAACTCAGAAAACTACTTCTTTGACGAAGACTCCTCTGACTCGTCTTTAACCCAGTCTAATCTACACAAGCGTATAGAGGCTTACTTACCCCTATAACCTGTGTATGTACCACGGTTGAACATGTCCAAAGAATGGAAGAGCTTCTGGCTAATTCATTAATTCATCTTTCAGTCATGCTTATATTTTAATGGCTAATTATTTTTTTTTTCTGCATAAGACTTAGAGCTGGAAGAGCCTATTGAGATCATCTCATCTAATACTCTCATTTTAGAGATGAGGAAACTGAGGCCCAGAGAGAAATGACTTGCCCATATTTATAAGTGATGCTGGGACTCAAATATAGGTCCTTTGACTCCAAATCCAGGGCTCTTTCCACTATGCCAGTCTGTTTTTTAATAGCCTTTTCCCTTTAATCAGAGGCATGAAAGATATGGTGGACCTGAATGAAATTCAAATATGAACATACTATGTAAATACACACATTGGCACTCGAATTTATTGGCACACTCATTTACTGGCAATCAAGGAACCATTTTATTTTCAAATTAGCTTTATGAATAGAAGAACAAATACAAACAGAATTCGTGAAGTTGTTAATTGTTGTTCTCTATTCTGGAATTAACTGCCAAGCTATGATACATATAGAACTAGTTTTTATATTGTCTGTCTCACTGTATTGCACTAGTCTGCTAGTTCTTAAAGGGCAGAGAACCACGTTGACTCCTTATTCCAATTTCCTAATCCACAGGATCTAGTATAGTGTGGGGACACAGCAAATGTTAATTCAGCTTTTCCTGCTGTGATCATTGAATTAGGCACCAAAACATATTTGAACTTTTATTCCCTAAAACCTCCTGTGTGGCCATCCAGCCATTGATCCAATGAAAGTACTCTGTCTTTACATAGTCATTCATTCTCATTTCTTATAAACTTATCTAGATGTGGGTAGTGTTATCAATGATGATTAACCAAAGCCAGGTTATACCAAACTACAGACAGTCTTCTTATCTAGCTGATGCTACCACAATGAAATGTGTACAGATTATATTCGACTGATAATGAGATTAAATCCCAACATAGGTCATTGTTCTAAAAACCTTTTCTGTAATCTCTCTATGGTACTTAGCACATTGTGGATGCCCAATAAATACATAAAATCTGTCAATTTTTAACATCTGGCAGAGGGAACATGGCTTTCCAGTGCAGACTGTGCATTGACAACTGACAAAAATGCATGCATGTATCACAGCATTACTATTTTATATCCTCAATAATTTAGTAGCACATCAAGATCTTTAGAATGCAGACTACTATGAAGGAGAGAAAAGCAAAGAACTACACTGTGGATTTCCTTTGCCAATAGCACAAGCATTTCAAATTTCTGGACTTTGGGTTGAGGAAGAAGAGAGAAAGATAGAGATAGAGAGAGAGAGAGAGAGAAAGAAAGTAAGAAAGAAAGAAAGACTGAAGTCAGTTTCCACCAGATGGGGTTGGGGACATCTATTTCCTCTCAAAAATGAAAACGAAGCACAGCTGTTTTGTAAGGGTCAGAGCCCTGATTTAAAGTAGCACAGTGACAGTGGAGCCCATTGGTGGTGAGTGGGTTCAGGTGATGAAGATATTTAAAGATTGGAGGGGTATTTCAAAATTCTGGCTTAAAGGGAACGCAAACGTAAAAAACAAACACCCCCCCCCCCAAAAAAAAGCAATCCTCAAATACATTTGATTTTGGAAGTTCCAGTTATTACAGAGGAACTTTGACACCTGGCTGAGAGCCTATTGGCTGTATTCAATCTTGGCCTATGGAAGCTGCTTTCTAGGGACCTGCCAGGGGACTGCACAGTGAGTCTGAGTCCTCCCCATCCTTCCTCCTTCCACAAACACCCTGCCTTGTTCTCCATTCGGTATCACTATTTGCTGTATTTTCTCTGATGGTTGTGCAGAGGGAATGGAGGTTGCTACAAGACACAAGTCCAGCTAACCAAATGTTGTAGGGGATACATTTACAGAACAATTTCCACTGGACATTTAATATTTAAAAGTCCAGCTTTGGTGGAGTACACAGCTTTGTTTATATCATCTTTGGAGACAACCTGAGCAGGCAGTTTCACTGTCCTTATGTTCATTTGAATAGCACCACTAAGAAGCTTTCTCTAATTCTGAGCCTTCTGGCTCACAGATTTTGCCTGGAAGCTAGCAGGAAGGAAATGCCTGTTCTGGGATGGGGACTGGAGCGGGCTGGAGAGAAGGAGAGAGGAGTGAGGAGGTAGAAGACGGGGGCAGGGCCAATGAAAAAGCCTATTCGGCATTCAGATAACTTCTCAATGAGCCAGCAGTTACTGGCTAGAGAGCCAATGAAGACTCTTCTTTGAGACAGTGAAGTTGAAAAGCCTCTAGGCATTGGGATGTGAGAGAACTAAGGTCTATTACGCATTTTTCCTTAGCTTTCTGTATGTACTACAAATCTAATTCAGGAGAGCAGTTATCAGTCTACCAGAGTTTACTCTGTGGGACACCGTGGGACAACTGAGCAAACGTTCATGTATGTAATGTGCTGTATTTAAGGAGCTTCTGTTGGAAGTCCCAGAGCTGGGTAAAGGCTTAAATAGCCTACCTATCACATTGCTAATGCAGTCTATGTACCGCACTGACATCTCTTGAATAAGCTTGAGTAGCAGGGAGATCATTAACTCTCTTTTCCATGACTCTGAACCTCTGAGAAGAGGGCTCCAGACGCTCAGCGCCTTGCTCTACTCACTCACTACAAGACATTTCCTCTCCTTACAGAGGTTTAGCTCTGAATCATAACACTGAAGTAGAGACACATATTCTCTTAACTATAGGAGGAAGACGTGGAATATCAAGTTGACCAATTCAGACATTCAGGAGTGGATTCTAGTCCAATAAGCTGGTGGAGAACTAAGCTTCCAGAACCTTCCGTGGATTCATGGCAGATTACAAGATAACTCACGCTTAGGAGACCCAACTGTGACTGTGCTACAATAGGGAAATGAGGTTGCTGCAAATGGTATTTGGCAGGATAAACACAATAAACTCTACAAAGTAGACACAGTGAAACCTTGAGCTTCCTGTTCCTCTATAGGTAGGTCCATGGCATACTAGACAGTGATTCCAGGACAGGAAGCAAATTCAGAAACCCTGTGCTGGCAGACAGTTTCCCCAGTTTGCTTGCTTCATGTAGACTATTACAACTGTTTAATTTTCATTTTTGGATTCCAGAAGGCAAATCCAACCCAAATGGTCTTTATGAGAAATTCTGAAAATTCTCTACATATCCTCTGGTTTGCTCTCCTGCATGCATTCAACATCTGAATGGAAACATGAGTGTTTTTTGACCTCATGAAGGGTAACAGACCTCTCTGATATTTGCTGGGCAACAGCTATCACTCAAAAATCAGTTGTCCCAGTTGTCTGTTTTGGCTTTAAAAAATCAAATGAACTTTTTTGGAGGGGATAATGATTCAATGATTTGAGGGGACAACAACAACCAAAAAAAAAAAAAAACCAGAAAGAGGCATCCCCATGGAAGGAGCCTTGTTTTTCAGTTGGCAGGGTGATTACACCTTGCATTGTTTGGATTTGAAAGTGGAGTCTCCAGAAGCAAGTGGAAGGAGGTGGTTGAGAGAGATTTCTGGAGGACTTGCTAACGTCCAAGACTTTTGCATGGTGTTTTGTTGCTAATTTGACAGTGATAGGACAAGGGTCCATACAGCATGGGAAGAGTGAGGAGGGGGTGAAGAGGAAAGCTTTGCTATCAGACAAAGGCTACCAGTCCTCATCTGGACTGGGCTGAGAACAACAAGGTGCAATAAGAGGAATTAAATTGGGGAAGGGGGGGGAGGGAACCATCCATCTCTTCTCCCAGTCAGGCCGAATTCCACCCAGTCCCCAATTCCACTCCTGTTATTGTGGTTCTAGGCCCTCAGGAACCCCCTCACATTCAATGGCTTTGTTAGTGACTCTAGGCCACTGACCCTCCCCAAAGGTTTCCCTACACAGCTCTCTCTCTGAGTGAAGCCTAGACTTTTCAATGAGTCTTTGGGTTAGAATTCCCCTTCTTTGCACCTGGTGATTCTCCCTACTGAGTCAACAGCCCGGAAAGCCGTCTCAAGTGCTAAAGGAAAGCCAGGCCAAATGAGAACAGCCAATGTTAACATGTTTTGTGAATGGCATGTTGTTGTTGGGGGAGGGGAGGGGCAATATTCATGTGATGAGGCGGCTTAATGCAACTTCCCTTTTTAAGGGGAGGATGCAAGGGAGAAATAAGAGTGGAGGATCAAGTCAGCAGCTGTATCACAAGTTTGTTTTTAAATGATCTTTCCACCAGTGTGATCAGTTCTAGCATGCTTAAACAGTTTCCATTGGCATGCAGAAGGATCAGCTGCTCTGAGTATCTTACCCTCATCCCTTCAAAACGTGATAAGGCTCTTAAGGGTCTCAAAGCTCTTAGGGTCCTAAGGGACTTTATGGCACCTAGTTCCGAGTAGCCCAGGGCATTAGCTATAAGGCTGACTAAAGAGACCTACACAGAAACAGAAGAGAAAAAAAAAGGGAAAAAAAAAAAAGAAAGAAAGCAGAGGTTCCAGAAGGTTAGAATAAAGTCCCTAGCACTGATAACGCAGACTGGGCCCCCCAGGGTACAGGAAGGTGGGTGGCACCAGCTGCCTACTTCAACTTGACTCAAACGACCTGGAAGGAAAGGTGGTTGAGAGAGGCAGAAGTAAAAAACACACAGAGGGAAGAGAAAAGTGAGAGAAGGCAGCACAAATGGGTCAGAAAGGAAAAAAGAGGGCTGGAGGGGGAGGATAAGAGGGAGGAAATTCCATTGGAAAGAGAAGAGCCTGAAGAGATGACAAGAACCTTACCCTCGCCCTTTATAGTCTCTGCAGGTCCCAGAAGTTCCCATTAAATTAAGCCAGACAAATTTAAAGGTACCTATGAGAAAGAATACAGATAAATACACACACACTGCACCAGCTGTCCCCGCCTCAGTTTATTCACCACTGGTTTTCCAATAGGGATAATTTCTCTTAATCCTGGTGGTGGGGTGACCATGATAACAGTTGACAAAACACCATTTATTTAAGAGTTTGATGAGTTAATAAATGAACAAATAAAATATACCAGATAAGCAACATATCAGACCTAAAAACTCCCACTTGCAAAGGACCAGAAAGATGAGCAAACAGTGAGGAGAGTCCTAGCCTATTTCAAGAAACCTCACCCATCCCTGCTTCCTCCCCAGCCACAGTCAACTCTTAATCATCCAAGATGCAGAGTTAAATTGGATAACTGAATCACCCCTGAGTAGCTAGTCAAGAGCTTTACTCTCCCATTCTCAAGGTTCTGAACCCCAGGCCATGGAATTTTCAGGTCTAGGTTCTATCAGAATCTTATCATGAATTTTAAAACGGAGAGAGAATTTAGTGGTCATTTAATCCAATTCTCTTTGTCTTTTACGTAAGGAAACTGACGTCCAAGAAATGACGTGTCTAAGGTCCTTACGCCAGTCAGTAATGGAGCCAGGACTAGAACCCAGTTCCCTGGAACTCCCAAACCAATGCCCTTCCCATTACAAGTTATTTCAGGTGCAATTAAGCAGTGAAATGGCCAGAAAGGCAGGCAACAGGAGAAACAAGAGGTAAGAAAAATGTCTCTGAGCAATCAAGAGCTGGCTAGACATGGAGAAGAAGTAAAAAATGAGGTAGCTAGACCTCCCTGGACCATAGGTTAAAATAGTGTTAAAAATAGGTTTTCAGGTTAAACTCTCCCTCATCTCTCCAGCTGAGTCATACTTACCTCGATCTATACAAGCACCCGTACCAGGTACTATGGCACCAGGGCCTCTAACCACATGTATTTGACAGAGAGGCACAGACAGCTTCTAGGGCTGCACTGGTCCTGGATTTTGTCTATGGTCTGACTTTTGTTCATCGAGCTGGGAAACTGAATTCTAGCTGCCAGGGCTCTCACTATTATTTCTTAATTTGGTTCTAAGAAAAAAAAAACCAAAGAAACAAACCCTATTTTATACAATATAGGGCCATCTTTAATTTGTTGGGTTTTTTTTTTGATAGGGTGACATTTTAAGGCAGAGTTGGAAAAATACAGAGTAGTTTTATTTGCTGCCTTTTCTGTATTCTATGTTAGCATTCAAATATGTAATTCCTGTGGCTCTGGATTGAATGAAGACAGTTTTGGGTTTGGTTTTTTTTTTTTTTAAAGAAGGAATAATCAGAGTAGATGACTGGCATAGGTGGGCCTGGGGGAGGGAGAAATTAAGATCCCCAAGGATATAAGGACTCAAGGATTTACATTTTTTTTTTTAAAGTTATGGGACCTTTAATGAAGCAGATTTCTTAAACCCAGAATGTTCTAAGCTCCAGGAGGAAACCAATCGGTTTTCTGAAAGTTAAAAGCCATTTTACAGGGCTGTCCAAGGGATGCAAATAGAGAACCTGCCTCCTGCCCCATCTGGGGACAGAATCTTAGCAAGGCAGCTAAGTGAAGTTCTAAGGAGTTTAGCTGAAAAAGGAGTTAGGGCTGCAGAGGCTTCCCAAATATTACTGAAACCACCAACATCAGAAAGATTTACAAAGGACATGGTAGAAGGCCAGCACAAGATACAATGGTGCAGATTTCAATCTTGCCCAAGATAAATATAGAGGAAAATAGGGAAAGCAGAAGCACCAACCAATCCTTTGTCCTCTTTACCATCACCACCAGAAGGGGGCAATTAAAGTCCATTCAGTGCCTACTAGCCCCTCCATGCTGCCTAACCTAGGGTTTCCACATGGAGATAATACTAGCCCCAGTCATTCTCCATGTACTGGATTTTGAGAGAGACATTAATGTATGCATCTGATGAAATTTTTCTTGTCCCTACCAAGGCACCTGATCAAAGCTGACCCATAGTTGCCCTGTTTAACCACATCTTTATAAAAAGCCTACCAACTCCCTCCTTAGTGGTTTTCCAAGCAAGGCACACAGAACCCAGCTCATCAGGGTGGGTGGTTAAACCTAAGATAAATATGTCCACCTAAAGTGGGGAAAAGGGTTGGGGAAGCACAGAGACCAATTCAGAAGCTGCTGTAGATGACCTGTCTCCAGTTGCTGCTGATAGATTTGGCTGCTCAACTGGTCAGTCCTGTAGAGATTTATCAAGACAGATGGTGGTGGGCAAACACGGAGCTGCCTGGGTCATCATACAATAAGTTGAGAGACTCACTTAAAATCCTCCAAGTCTCCATACTGAGGCCTCTGGTGGAAATATGCAGAACACCACTTAGGCTGGCATAAGGAACAAGGAGGAGGCTCAAACCTAAAATGAAAGATCAGGGAACAACATGTGGGGAGTCTGGGGGATGGTGTAGGGCTGGAAAGATGAAGGGGATGCCAAGAGACTTCCACATTGATGTGAACATTGTTGAATGGAGAATGTTTCCATGGTTACCAGTTCCAGGAGATAGTTGGTATAATTTGAAGATCTCCAGACCCGAGCATGGCACACTGGCTTATCCCAGGGCTGAACACTGTTTTCTGTGGAGAAAGGGAACATAAACCCACCCCCACTCTCCCCACTGCAATGGGATGAAGTGTCTCCAGTGAAGATGATGATCTAATCACAAGTGACTCTGAACTCATGTCTTTGAGAGTCAACTGTCTTGTAGAGGAAAAGAAAAAATAAATTGGAAGTTACCTGGATTTCGTCATGACACTAAGAAAGAAAGTGGGTAAAAAATGAGATGTGTGGCATTCACAGTACAACAGCCTGGGAGGTCTGTCAGGGAGGAAAGGAAATCTGTTAGACATGATGAATATGGCGAGGGAAAACAGATTCAGACACAAAAACATCCTGGTGAAAAAGCAACGGGCGAAGGGAAGGCCTTAGCAACAGTCCACACATAGCTAGGGGAGCCTTTGAGAGACAGTGTACTGAAGCAGGACTTGAAACTTTTACCTGCTATTTTTTGCAGAAAAGTGCCAAGGGAGCTTCAGGCAGTCAAAGAGCACCTGCTGGGACGGTGCCAGCCCTGGTCTTCCCTGCCAGCTCCAATGTGAAGGTGGCAACTAAGCGACTCTGTGCTCCTCCCCTTCTCATGCTCTCGACCGGGTCCAGCCAGCCTGACCTTCTGGCTGCCCTCACATTTGGAAAGCCCTTCCCCTGCACCCCATGCCTTGTCCAGTTCCTTTAAGACTCAGCTCCAGGTCTGATGCAGCTTCTACCAATCCCCCGTGTTCCCTCTTCTTGTCTTCATTTCATATTTATTCAGGATATGTCCCTAAATATGTACCCATCTCCCCAGATAGAGTGTAATCACCTTGCAGGCAGGGCCATTTTTGTCTGTGTATTCCCAGGGCCCGGCACAGTGCCTGTGTATAGTAAATGCTCGCTGAGGGATGGATAGAAAATACTATGTGACAATCAGTAAGGAGGTAGAGAAAAAAATTTTTTAAAGGGGCAGTTAGGTAGTGCAGTGAATAGAGCTCTGGCCTTGGAGTCAGGAGGGCCTGAGTTCAAATCCAGCCTCAGACACCTGACACGTACTAGCTGTGTGACCCTGGGCAAGTCACTTACCCCGACTGCCTCACCAAAAAGCAAACAAATAAATAAAAGTAAGAAGGTAGAGAAGCTCCCTGGAGTTTGTGCTGGGTTCTGTCCTAGGATGATACAATGACAAATCAATATTCCAATGAAGCCTTTGAGCACTGTGTCTATTGGCTACATGTTTGTAATCTTTGTATCATTCACAGAACCTTGCACAAAGTAGGTATTTAACCAATATTTGTCAATGGAATGAATGAAAGAATGATGAAGTAGAGGACAGAAAAGTACCTAATAGGTAGCTATAATACCTAATGGACACCATTGGTCTTTAGTTAGGCACATACCTCTGAACTGTAGGGCTGTTTACCTACAAATGGCTAGAAAAGTGAGTTCAGAGCAGGATGGGACAGGGCAAAGAACTTACTTTAACCCATAACTTCTTGGACCTCTTAAAGGTCTAGAAAAGGGGGTCATTCTAAGGCTTATTTGGGAATTCCTATGGGCTCTAGACTCCTAAGGAGTCAAAACATGAACTGGGTCTCCATCGTCCTTCTTAGGATAAATCAGAATAAAGCAAAGAGATGGACCAGAGCTCCCTAAAACAGCCCAAAGTCACTTGGAAGGAGAACAGGCCGAGGCTCAGAGCAGATCACCTGAGTTCTATTGTAGTTGTACTTCAACTTCAAAGTTGCTCCAAGAGGGCAGAGCTACAGATTAGTCCATTATCTGATACACAAATAGGCTTGAAAGGAACAATGAAATCCCTTTTGCTGTCTTCTCACTCTGATGTGCCTTTATCCCATAAAACCATGACACTTACCACTAAGCCCAGTTCTAGCAAGAAGCTCAATGTCCCTGACGTTAGGCCTTCAGCATCAGGTGCTGAAATGGAACAGAACCAGATTTCTGGGAAGGAGGCCCTGGAGCCAAGCACAAGGAAGCTGTGGAGGTGGAGGAAAAAACCATTTCTAGCTCCCATCTCTGGGCTTGTTTCCTAAGACAGTCATTTCTATGGGCTTCTGTCTAGATCTAAATCAGTTCCTCGGGATCTCTCTCATTGTGTAGCCAATAAGACCTACAAGTTAACTGTACTGACCCAACTTCTACACAGCTTTGCTTCCTTGGCACTTTTCTGTACTCAGCAGGAAAGGAATTCTCCGCAGGCCCTGGCGCTGTGCCCTCTGCCATCTCCATTCACCCTTTCCTTAAAAGGTCGCTTCAGCTGGAAGAAGTGGGCTTCAGTTATTCCTCAGGAAAAAAAAAATACTTCCCCTGTTAATAAAGCCAACAAGGAATAAGTAACAGGGGGCTAAGGAAGAGCCATGGGCAATGTGACCTTCAACTGGAAAGAAAACATTCAAAAAATAACATTCAAGGTAATGCTTATTGTCACCCCAAAGTGGTCTCCAAGCATGGGGGGTGGGAAGTGCAGAATAAGAAGTCTTCTAATGTTTGGTCCTTAATGTGGAAGGAGGTAGTAGTAGGCAAGGAGAATGATGCGTCCAATATGACTTTCTTAAAACACCAACAGCCAGGCCAGGCCCTGTTTCGATGGCATACTCATTTTATAAAACCTGAGTATTGGGAAACAGCCATGGATTCATCAGCCACTGATTCCCCAAACTCTCATTTCAGAAAACAAATAGGTCAACTTTACTTTCTTGTGAAAAGTCTTATCCTTTCTCCATATGTATTGGATTATTCAGAGCAGCCTGGTGCAGAGAATCAAACTGAATGGATATCTACAGGCCTGGCCAGGAGAAGATCTCTGAGAGTTCACTTCTCCACTGCCTTCCTCACTATTCAGTTTGCTTTTTTTTTTTTCTTCCTCCCAATAAAAGAGAAAGAGAGAGAGAGAATTCATACTCATCTGGAGGCCAAGGACGCTTCTTGTCCTGTTTACCACTGGGCTGCTTTCTAGCCACTGCATTCTAAAACCAATAGGTGCAATTCCCAGCCCCAAACTGCTGCTCCACAGATCTTTTCAATGCCAGATATACTGAGAATAAGGGTTAGTTGACTTGTGCCCAAAGCATTTTCAGTTTTATTAAGTTCACAACTACTCCAACCCACCATTTTGGAGACTTCTGTCCCTTGAAAGTCCAACCCCCTCCATCCACCCTTACATTGAGCCTCCACTCCCTAGCCTGACCCGACCAGACCCTCCCAAGAAGAGTTAGGATGGCCCAGTTTCCCTATGTCTATTCCCTTGCTAGACAGGGTGGGAAGTAGTAAGTGAGATACGTACAGCCACAATGAGGAAGTCCAGCCAGCACCAGGCATTGGTAAAGAACTTGACAAAGCCATAGGCTGTCCACTTGAGCAACATCTCCAGGATAAAGATGTAGGTGAAGACCTTGTCCGCATATTCCAGGATGGTGCGTATGGTTTTCCTCTGCTCAATATAGATATCCTCGAAGGCCTGCAAGAGAAAAAGCAGCCACTTATGACTTTGGGGCTACCAAACAAGCAGCATTAGTCATCCTGCTTAACTGCATTTGGCCATACGAGCTTCTTTCTTTCTTCTCTCCTGCCTCTGCTATGGACCTTCTTTATAGGAAAAATGGTCTCAGCCTCCAGACACTACAAACATTATGGATTGCATTCATCGGCTGAGGGTATCTCAAAGAACCGGGAATCCTAGCACTTCCTTCTGACTCTTGTGTTTCCTGGAAATGAAGGAAGGAGGATTGGGAACTCCCATCTCATGCCACTGCAGAAAGCTAGACTCGACTCACTCCCCAAGAATAATGGGGCTGAGTCAAGCAAGTTCCCAATGCTTAAGAGAGGTGAGGGGAGGGTGTAAAAAAAAAAAAAACCCAGTCCCCCAAAGTAGAAAGTTCTTGCTCTGTTCCTGTATCTTATTTAGTGAAATATTCTATGGCTCTAGGGGATCAAAGAACCTTGGAGTTGGAAAGGACCTTGGAGAAATTTGATCTAACCCCTACTGAACAAGAATCGATCCTCCCACACATCCAACCAGTGTGCACCTAATCTCCGCCTGAAGACCTTTAGTGAGGGAAAACCCCACTACTACGTCCGGAGGCAGGCAATGCCACTTTTGCGTAGCACCAATGGGTAGGAAGGTTTTCTTCATGGGAACACTAAAGATGTATCTTGCACTTTCTAGCCACTGATCTTGGAGTAAGAGGAACAATTCTAATTTTCTTTTCTAAATGACAACCTTTCTAGTACTTAAAGGCAACTATCATGTTTTCCCAAAGTCTTTTCTCTCCTAGGCTAAACAGCTACACTTCCCCTCAACCAGTCCTATTATGGTCTGATCCTGAGGTCTTTCACCTCGATTGCCCTCCAGCTAACAAGGTCCTCCTTTTTTATTTTTTAAATCTTGTTTTTTCTTTATTTCGTTAAATATTTCCCAATTCCATGTAAGAAAAATTTAACATTCATTTAAAAATTTTTGAATTCCAAATTCTCTCCCTCCCTCCTGCTCTTCTTCTACCCTTTGAGAAGGCAAGCAACATGATATTGATTATATATAATGACATCCTTCTTAAAAGAAAACTCTGGACTGCAGATCTGGCCTGACTGGGGCAGAACACAGCAGGGCCATAATCTCCCTAGCCCCGGGCACGACGCTCCTCTCAATGCAGCCTAGGATTGCATCAGCCTTCCAGGCTGCCTGGTCACATTGTTGTTGGGTCACAGTAAACTTCTGACTCCATCCCCAGGATTTCCCCTCAGTGAAAGGACGATCACCCCTTTCATCTCCCCATCAGACACAACTGTTTCACTTTATGATCAAGAACTAGAAATTTCTTTATCCAATTATAACCACCTATCACTTCCATCTCTCCCTCTATTTTACTCTTCCTAACCCTTGTGTTTAATTGGTGTTTTGTATATATGTATATATGTATACACATTTAGATTCACATACATAGTATATGCCAGTATGATTACTGCTCGTCAGTCTCCTCTGGTAGACCATCATTCATAACATGGTCCTTAATGGTGGGTATACCCCAAGGATCTGTCTTGAACCCCATTCTGTCCTCTCCCTACCACTCTCTCTCTCTCCCTTTCAGAGACCTTATTAGCTCCCATGGATTTAATTACAAACTTTATGTATATGAAAGAAGGAAGGAAACAATTATTTATTAAGTATCTATTATGTTCCAGGCACTGTGTTGATATCATCTCATGTGATCCTGCTAATAATACTGGGAGGTAAGTGCTATTATTGTCATTCCCTTTTTGCAGTTGAGGTCACTGAGGCAAACAGAGGTTAAGTGACTTGTCCAGGGTCACTCAGCTGGGAAGTATCTGAGGCTGGGTTTTAGTCTTCCTGACCCAGGCCCAGTGCTCCATCCATGGTGCCACCAGCTGCCTCCTAGGTCTATATATGCAGTCCTGGTCTTTCCTACAGCTCCAATCCTGTGTCATTTCCATGTTGTTTTCCTCATGATAAAATAATTTACTTAAGGACAGAAGGTGTTTTGCTTTTGTCTTTGTATGTATATCTCTTAACACCAGCGTATAGCATGCCACAGTTGCTTGCTGACTGATTTGTCCTGCCCATGACTGACCGTCCTTTCAACCCTCTGTAATCTCCCAAGTCATCAGTCTTACTCAGGCTTCACTTTTCTCCCTCCTTTTCATCTTGACCTTAGCCAGTTCAACACTACATCGGCCTCTACATTCAAATCTTTTGTTCTCTTTATAGGCAGCTGGTGGCTTGGTGGAAAGAGTGCTGGGCCTGGAGTCAGGAAGACCTGAGTTTAAATCTGCTCTCAGATATTTACCAGATGTGTGATTCTGGGCAAGTCACCAAAAAAAACCCCCCCAAAACCCCCAAAAAACCAAAACTACTTCTGTCTGCCTCAGTTTCCTTAACTGTAAACTGGGTATATTAATAGCATCCACCTCCTAGGGTTGTTGTGACGATGAGATAATATTTGTAAAGCTCTTAGCACAGTGCCTGGCATACTGTAGATGCTATATAAATGCTTCCTTTCCCCCTCCTCCTGTTCTATTGCCACTTATGCCTTACCAAACCCCAACCCTGGAACACTCTCACCATCTGCCTCCTCAGCTCCTCCTCACATGCTGCAGGATGGAGGTAGAAGACGTCATGCAACTGGGATGATTGGATTCACTACAAATTTTGTTTTGTTTTGTTTTGTTTCTGTAGGCAATTGGGGTTAAGTGACTTGCCCAGGGTCACACAGCTAGTAAGTGTCAAGTATTTGGTCTGAGGCCAGATTTGAACTCAAGTCCTCCTGACTTCAGGGCCGGTGCTCTGTCTGCTGCGCCACCTAGCTGCCCCTATTCACTACAAATTTATATTATCTAATCTCAACTGGGCCCTCACTCTAGCAAAGCAATTCTTTTATTCCCTGTCTAACTGAGTTTCTATCCCACTCCCCACAGAGGCTGGTCCAAACTGGTTTTTTTTCCCTTATGTACACCAAACCACTTTCTTCCTTGATCTGCCTAGCTGAGGACTATACCTCATACTTTACTGAGAAAATCAACTCCACAAGCTCCCTCAGCTCCCCTTCTGTACATCTCAGGGCTTAAATCCTCTCCCATTATTTCCTCCTTCATTCCAGCCTCTGATGATCTGGCTCTTCTCCTCATCAAGGCCAAGTCCTCTATATGGACCCTTGATCCCACCCCTTTCAATCTCTCCCAGCAGACTGCTTTTTCAGTTATCCCCTTCTTTCTTTAATCTTCAATTTCTCCATATCTCCTGTTGCTTACAAACATGCTCAAGTATCCCCCAGGCCTAATAAGCCCTCAACAGACACTACACTTCTCTCAAGCTATCATCCTACACCTAAGCCAAACTCCTAGAAAAGGCTTAGCAACATTGCCTTCATTTCCTCTTCTCTCTCACTCCTCCATCTTTTGTAATCTGTCTTCTGACCTTACCAGTCAACTGAGACTGCTCTCTTCAAAGTGACCAGTCCTCTCTTAGTTGTCAGATCCAATGGCCTTTTCTTAATCCTTCTCCTTCTTGCCCTCTCTGCAGCCTTTGACTTTGCTGACCACCTCTTCCTCTTGGACGCTCTCTCCTTTTTGGGTTTTCTTGCATCTGCTTTCTCTTGGTTCTCCTCCTACCTGTCTGACTGCTTCTTCTGAGTCTCCTTTGCTGGATCATCATTCACAACATGCCCTTTATCTGTGGCTATCCCCCAAGGCTCTGCCCTGGATCCTCTTTCCTTTTTTTCTCTATAACACTCCTGGTAAGCTCATCATTTCCCAGGGGGTTTAATTAATAGCTCTATGCACATGATTCCTATACCTATATGTTCAGCCCTACTCTCATTCCTGAGATTTAATCCTGTTTCACTAATTTTCTATCTGGCATTTCCAATTGGATATTTCACAGGCATGTGTCCAATGTGTCCACATTTGACTGAAAGGTGAGAGGACACAAGATCCCACTCGGCTTGCTGTTTGTTGATTCTTAAAAAAGCATTTAATTCAGAAGTTCAAAACACTCCCCTAAAGGTTCTCCTACAACGAGGCATCTCCCACGCATATGGCTTCGATGTTACAAGATTCCTTGCTAGACACAAAACAACAGTAACAAGATTGACCCTCTGATAAGGAATATCAAATGAGGCCACAAACAAGGAAGAGGATGCTTGCCCATGGTGTTTGTCACTGTTGTGGAGGAGATTTGGGGTTCAGTCCAAATGAAATATGCTCCAATTTGCAGATGATATTGTGCCAATTACCTCAACCCTAGGGAGATTATAAAGCTCCCTAAATGAGATCCACAACCACTGAAAATATCTCAGTGTAACAATCCACATAGGGAAAAAGCGAGTGGGTAAACACTGCCCATTGTCCAGACTATGGTGTGAGAAATGAAAGAGTTAAGTTTCCACAAAAGTAGATAAGAAATCAGCACAGACAGGCTAACTTCTCCATCTGGGGTGGGGGTGGGGAGTGATAACACAATTCTAGGCACATAATGTATGTTAGGGGTGGGGCATATAAGGAAGATTGTAACCCAGAAGGATTAGGACCAATCCTGATCTAGAAGGGAGAAGTTAGGCAATTACTAACTCTAAAGATTGCTCTGGCTTCTTTTACCACATGCATTTCTCTCCTCCCAAGGAAGTGCATCCACTTCTCGCGAGAATCAAAATGGCGCACTTCAACCTCTTTAATAAAAAGTCTTTGAGACACCAGTCTTCGGGAACCGAATCTGGGGTCACCTTTATAACACATGGTATTTGGGTAATGAAGAAATCATTGAGCTGGTCCATCAATACCTATGTCTTGGACAGACGCTAGAGACGGTCGATGAACTAAGCCCAGAACTGAATGGGAATTAGACAGCCGAATTGCTTTTGGGAAATTTCAATGACCCCAATATTCTATATGAAACAAAAATGCATCTTTTCAACACCAATATGCACCACCAATATGTAGCTTTCCATGAAAAATCACAATAACTGAAGAATCAAAATCGCAGGTGACTCCAAGACAGAGGTTAAGTGTAAGCATGCTGGAGCATGTTGTCAATGATGCCTAAAAGAAGTGGCATAAAAGATTATGTATGAGATGTATGTTTTGGAAAGGAAGGGGCAATCACAGAGCAAGATCCCTGCTATACTCTGCTTTGATTAAATAATTTCTGGAGGGCTGTGGCCAAATCAGAGTATACCGCATTTTAGAAAAGGACCACTTGTTAAGAGTCCAGGGGAAGACAACCAGAATGGTGAAGAGCCAGGAGCTGGTGCCATCTGGGTATCACCAGAAAGGCCTTGGGATGGTTAGCATGTAGAAAAAGAGGTTCCCAGGGGAACGGGGGCTGCCTTCAAATACCTAAAAGGCTACAGAATGGAAGAGGCAGCTAGATGGTGCAACAGATAAGAGTGTTGGATGGAGACAAGAAGATCTGCATGTGAATCCTGCCTTGCACAGTTATTAGTTATGTGACCCTGTGGAAATCACTTAATCTCTCTCAGCTTCATCTATAAAATGGAGATAATAATATCACCAAGCTTACATGGTAATTGTGAGGACCAAATGAGCTATTTGTAAAACATTTTGCAAACCTTAAAATGCTATTTAAATTCTAACTATTATCGTGGTTGTTGCTATTGCAGAAAGAATTAGATTCCTTCTGTTCAGTGCCAGAGGACAGCATTAGGAACAATGGAAAGAAATTGAAAAGAGGCAAATTCAGTCTTAATGGAAGAAGAAGCTTCCTGATAATGATGACTTGCCAGGTGTTTTGCGGTGGGAATTCTGTGGGGAATATGGGTTGTATGGGATGGCTGCTGAGGTCCTTCCTCCTGGGAACATTCTGTGAACCTGAGGGATAAAAGTTGCAACACCCAAATGTTTGTCTTTTTATCCACGTGATGTTAAAAAATCTAGAGGATACCTTTAGGCTCCTGGGTGAATCATCTATGAAGAATTTAACTGAGAACATGGGTAAGAGTTGCACAGGATGAGAAAATATGGGGGAGTTCCAGTCCGCACTCCAGGAGGGAGTACTCAAATTGATGAGGACATAAATTTTTTGAAACAGTATACCAGTACAATGTTACTGCTCAAAAGATACTCAATTGATGCCTAAATGAATGACTTAGGTTAGGAGAAAGACGTGGCAGCCTTGCTCCTATCAATCCTATTCAATCTGAAAATCACTACTCAAGCTATCTTTTCTGCTCACTACTGTAATTATATCATTCTATTGCATAAAGCCTTCTCTTGACTTTTTATGGTTTCCCACCTCCCATCAGAATCCCCTACAACTTACCAGAGCACCACTGCTCAGCAGAATCATGAAGATGATGAAGGTCTCAAACCAGTTGTGTTCCACAATGAGGAAACAGGTTTTTCGTAGGATCCACCAGGACTTACCCAGTCCATCCTCGATGTTGACCTGGCAACACTTGAACCTCTGGACACAACCTGACACCACAGGGAGAAATATGTCAGAGAGACAGATGTTCCTGACCCAGGTGTACCTTTCTACATCCCAACTAGGCCATGTTTCAGCACACCACCAAGAATATAACGGCAGACTCAGAATGCCTGACTCAGAGACGAGTGTGCCCCACTCCACATAGCTGCCAAAACGATATTGCTAAAGCACAGGATTAAGCTATGCCTCTCCCCTGCTCAACAAATTCCAGTGGCTCCCTATTACCTCTAGGACCAAGTACACATTCCTCTTCTCTTTGCTATTTAAAGCCCCTCCCAATGTGGCTCCTTTTTCAGGCTTCACATACTCTATGGTACAGCTAGACTGGCCTTCTTGCTGTTCCTCACACAATAGTTCATCTCCCATCTCCATGGCTTCACTGAGTGTCACAACAAGCCTTTTCACAGGTGGGAAGAAGCAGCTGGAGTGACAAGAAAGGTGCAGCCATCAAGCAGGAATGGCCGCCATGGAATAAGACCTTCCCGCACACGGTTTTCTGCTGGTGATGTATGAACAGAGGAAAAGCTGAGAGGAATCACTTGGGAGAAACAGTGTTGGCTTTCCCTTTAAGGCCTGTGCTTTCCTCCTATTGCAGGCCACACCCTTCCTAGTATAGACTATTCCAATCTCTACATTACTCATACGTAGTTTAGGAAGGAGGCACTAAGCCTCCCTCCAACTCTTACATCACCATGGCCGTTGACAGCATCCATCCTCCAAATCGAGCCCTATCCAGACCCTTCCTCACCCTCTGTGAAGCAGGCATCGGGGTCCAAGTATTCCTCAGGTTGCTCCACAGGCACTTCCTCCACTTCTGGTTTGATATCAATGGTGCTCCCCTCAGAGGAACTGGTATCGTCCAGTTTCTAGTTTCACAACAAAAAAGAAGTTCAGATAAAAGCTCCCTCACTCCACACTGACAACTCCATTTGGCATACTGCATGGACCATATATCATATATAATTCTAATACGCATTAATATTCCCCAAACCCATTACTGGTAACTCATGATGGTCACACAATTACTGTGATGACCTAGGAATTTACTAATCTTCTCTCAGCTGGGATCAATAAAGCTGACAAAAGATGATGCCCCTCTCTGCAGCTAAGTTGCTTCCAGATTAGTCCCAGGGGTTCATGTCTAGAAAGGTGTAGATTTTGGAAAGCCTGCCCAATTTTAAAATTGTATAATTCTAGTCTTAGAAAGGATTTTACAGGTGATTTAGTTTAGCCTCACAATATGACCTCAGGTCATCTCTGACCTGGAACACCCAGAGAAGACTGGAATGGATAAATACAGGTCTTTTCTTAGGATGATCCTGCAAATCCCCAAATGAAGCTCGCCAAAATCCTCCAGAACCAGCCCAGAGCTAAAGCAGCCCATAAAGGAGGGAGAAATCAGGCCCCTTTGCCTTGAGCCCATGGCTTCCATGACAGGATAACCCTCTGGTTCTTACATCTTTGCTGCCCTCAGGATCCGACTCACTGCTGACATCCTCAGTATTGAGATTTTCAAAGTCAGACTCGCCCACAGCAATGGGGACCCGCACAGTTAGGTTGGGGTTGTTGATGAAGGACATGTGGTCCTCATCAATGATATACTTCTCCACACTGCTACCGATACCACTGGTGGTGCCATTCCCATTCTTCTGGTAGTCGCCATTACGGTGGATGTCGGCCCCAGTGTGGTTGGCAATGCAGTTGGCCTTTTTGTCATACAGCTCATCTAGTGGCTTCACCTCATCAGCTTCTCGTTTGAAGTGGGTCTGAACAAAGGCATGTACTTTCAACTTAATCCAGGCTACCCCCTTCTTAATGCGGATGACAGAGATCTGTAGGTTGTTCATTTCTCCATCATCATCTGTGGCAGCCAGGTTGTCAGCACTGAAGGAGCTTAGAAGCAAGGCTAGAAACAGATTCAGCACCTGTAGTGAGTGGGAGAAGAAGAGAGGTCCAAGGATGCTGAGCAGGTCAAGGTCAGTCCTTCCAACCACATTTACTAAATCTGTCCAGACTTGGGGAATCACAGGATTAAGTCAAACTAATTATTTTATTAAAACCAACTGTGTGGAGCACATGAACAAGTGCCAGAGAAAAAAGAGCTCCCTAATGAGCCTACAATTGTGTTTTCTCTTTATAGTGTCTTAAATAGACACTTATGTTTCATTAAAAATCACTCCTACAAGCTATCATTTTGTGTGTGTGTGTGTGTGAGAGAGAGAGAGAGAAGAAGGAGGAGAAGGAGGCGGAAGAGGAGGAGGAGGAGGAGGAGGAAGAGGGGAGAGAGAGGGAGAGAGAGATTATTTATGTATCCCTTACTTTCTTAGCCAAAATCCTTGAAAAAGCTGTCTTCTCTCTTTGCCTCCCACTTCCTCTCCTGTCATCTTCTGCAATATGGTTTCCTGCATGATCATTTCACTCTTTCAGAAGTTACCAAGGATCCCTCCATTGCCAGACCTGATGGCCTTTTCTCATTCCTTGTTGACCTCTCTGCAGCAGCACCTGACTGTTGACTACTCCTCTCCTGCTGGATCCTCTCTGCTCTCAGAGTTTTCATGACACTGCTTTCTGTGTTCTCTTTCCACTTGTCTGATCATTCCTTCTCAGTCTCCCTTCCTAAATCATCATTCACAATACATCTCCTAACTATGGGTATCTTCCAAGATTCTGTCTTGGATCCTCTCCCCTCTATATATACTCTCTTGCTTGATGACCTTATCAGCTCCCATACGTTTAATTATCCTCTCCATGCTCTTGAAACCTTCTCACCTCCAGGATCAAACATAAAATCTTCTGCTTGGCATTTAAAACTTTTCACAACCTACCCCAGCCTACTTCTCCAGTCTTTTGTACATGACTTCCCTCCATGCACATGGCAGGTTAGCCAAATCAGCCTTCTTACTGTGCCTTAGAGCCAGTATCCTATCTCCTGCTTCTGTGGCTTTGCCTGGCCTTCCCCACACCCCCATTCTCCCACTACAGGCTAGTTCTCTCAAAATCCCTATTCCTTCAGGGCTCAGAACAAGTGCCACCTTCTCCATGTGACCTTTCCTTATCCCCTTGGCTGCTAGTGGCTTCTTCCCACAATCACCCTGTCCCTACTTTGTATCTATTTATATTTGTACATATTATCTCCCCTGGTCAGAATGGAGGCTTCTTGAGAGCAAGGACTGTTTTCATTTTTGTCTTTCTATCATCAGCGATTGCTTAGCATATGGCCTGACACATAGTAGGTGCTTAATAAAATGCTCCTTGATTGATCTTGAAGGTGATGACCCGGCATGCAATAACTCAAAGATAGCACAGCCACCTATAAACTGAAAATCCTTCAGATAGGGATCTGGAGACAGACCAGTCCAAAAATCCTAAATCCTATCTACCTTAGGTATGGAGGAATTTTGATTTGATTCAGTGGAAGGAACACACATACACTGATGAAATCACAAATCTTTTAAAATACTGAAATGATATTCCAACTATCTAGAACCCAATCATCTAGCAATCTCACCAATTTAAGTGGTTTAAATGGAGAACAAGAAAGTAACCAAAACAGGCTTCTGAGCAGTCAAAATAGAAGTCACAAAATCTATACATTAAACTTTCTGAACTTTGCTCACAGGACAACTCCACTTGCTGTCACTTTCACTCTAAAAAGTATGGTGAACTGGTTTCCTAGTCTACAGCAGACAAAAGAGGATTTTACAAGTAGGCACATGGACAGCAGTAATAAATTAAAGCTGACAGCAGAGAAAGAGACATAAAACCATAAGAAGTTGACATAAAACCTTCAAAAGGGCAGATGTCTGGGGCCCCTGAGGCTAAGAGTACAATAGTCATAGTTATGGTCCTGAGTCATGAAGAAAGGGTGAAGTCATCTTCGGTATACTCTAGTTAAGAAAGCAAGGGAGTATATAATATATTTTGGAAGAATTTTGTTCAAAATCATTAAAATCAAGTTTTGGTACTCAAAAGGTTAGATCACCAGCTATTTGAAAAATGATGATTCATAACAATTGCTTTAGGGCATTTTGGGCTTCAGAGCCCAAAACTACTTTAGAGTTGTGGTAAAGCAGCTAAGTGATGGAGTTTTGAGTTGCAGTATCAAAGTGACCACATTTCTTGATTGTTCCCTCTCCTCTCAGAGGGCCACTACCCTAATTCAGGTTCATCCATTATCTCTCCCCAGCACTACTGCAACAGCCTCCTCCTTGGTCTCCCCACCTCCAGTCTCTCCCCTCTCCAATCCAGTCTCCACACAGATGATGAAGCAATCCTCCTTAAAGCATTGGCATGACCATATTACTCTCCTGCTAAATAGACTCCAGGGGTTCAACATAACCTCCAGGGTCAAATACAAACACCTGTTTGGTATCAAAAGTCCTTTGCAGCCTGGCTCCAGGTCTTGTAGACATCATTTACCCTTGACATACCCAAACCACAATCCAGCCAAAGCGGACCTTCTTGCTTTTCTTCACCCAAGACACTCCCTTGTCTGGGCTGACCCCATGGCTGGAATGAACTTCCTCCTCAACTCCACCTCTTGGAATGGCTCCGGTACCTGCCAGCCTCAGTTCAAAGGCCTTTCCTGATCTTGATAGCATTGGCCCAAGTGTGCACTCCACTGTTTTGACCTCAGAGAACCCAGGGTCAGCGCCACACCATGACAGGGCACCGGAAGCAGGATTTTAGTGGCAGTAATAAAAATGGCTTATATCTAATACATTTCTATAATGCTGTAAGGTTTTCAAAGTGCTTTCTACACAACAACCCCATTGACCCCATTTTACAGTTGAAGAACCTGGGGCTATGAGAGGTTAAATGAAAAAAAAAAAAGCTATCATGTATATAGCACTTTATCATTTATAAAGTGCTTTACAAATATTATCTCTTCTGATCTTCACAATAACCCTGGAAGGTAGGTGCTATTATTACCCCCATTTTACAGGATGAGGAAACTGAAGCAGACAGAAGTAAAGTGATTGGCCCAGGTGGGATCTGAACACAGGCCTTCCTGACTCCAGGCCAGTGCTCTATCCACTGTGCTACCTAGGGCAGTCACACAGCTCGCATCTAAGATGGGATTTGAACCCATGTTCTTGTGGCATCATGTGTGGCACTCTTCTATTACACACACTGCCTATAGGATAAGGAGCCCCTCTAAATTCTTAAGGGAACACAATTACTATAAAGAAGTCTGAGGAAGATTATTCTGGTAGCTGTGTGTACAGGGATCAAGGAGAACTGGCTAAAAGTCAGGAGGTTGCAGAAGAGTCTAGGCAGGAGGAGAGCACACTCCCAGTGGTGAGGACAGAGCAGGTAAACAATGAGACTAGAAAAATAGGACCTTAGAACTATTAAAAGAATTTTAAGGTCCCCTCATTTAACCCTTTCTGATACACAAACTCTTTCTGCAACATTCTTGATGCGTTCCATCCACCTCCTGGCTTGAACTACTCCAGTGAAGGGATACTTACTATCTAATGAGGCAACCCATTTTCCATTTGGTGAAACCCCAAAAAATACCAAAATAGCTTAGCTGAAAGGGTCTATTTAGGTTCCCTATGCATATAGAAAGCAAAGACTAGTAATGGCCACCATTTTGATTGGCAGTAGGAAGGCTTAGCATAGGGGGTTTGGGGAGCACAGGTAGTGAGTGACATCCAAGTCGAAGAAAAGAGATCGATAAACTGATACTAACCACCAAGTTGCCAATGACCATAACCATCATGAAGACGATGAGGCACATGGCCTGGCCTGCCACTTCCATGCAATCCCACATGGTTTCGATCCATTCCCCACACAATACACGGAAGACAATGAGAAAGGAATGAAAAAAGTCATGCATGTGCCAGCGAGGGAGCACACAGTCTTGGTTGATCTTGCAGACACACTCCTTGTAGCTCTTCCCAAACAGCTGCATCCCCACCACAGCAAAGATGAAGACAATGATGGCCAGCACCAGGGTCAGGTTGCCTAGAGCACCCACTGAGTTCCCAATGATCTTGATCAACATGTTCAAGGTGGGCCAGGATTTGGCCAGTTTGAAGACTCGGAGCTAAGAAAGAAAAAAAAAAAACACCAAAAAATATTATATCCATTTTCTTTCTTACCAACCACAGCTAAGACAACAGAATGAGGCCAAAAAAGAATAAATATTACTTATTAAGTGCCCCTGGGGAGCTCTCAGCACTTTATATAGAGCCTATTGGTAGGAAAACGTAGGTCATCCACGCCAATGCACAAAGGGAAAAACTGAGGCACTGAGCAGGGAAATGACAGGATTTCCTTTCACAATGAGTCTATGGGAGATATGGAAGTCAGGAATCTTGCTCTGAGGACTGTGTTCCACTGCTAGGTCAGCTTGCCTCATTTAAATCTAAACACAAACAAGTAATTTTCCCATGGATACTTTGCTTGAGAAGACAACAGGAGGGTCACAGGAAAGAGCCAATTTTGGGGAAGCCAAGGAACTGGCATGGTAAAGAGAGATTCCTTACCCACTTAAAAAATGTTAGGAGAAAATATCAATAATAATGGCCAATTTTCAGTGTTCATAGACATAATTTACCTGTACTATCCATTTCCTGCTTCACTAGTGTTTTCCTACTGAAGCAACTTGATATAATATGCAAAGTGTTAGACTTAGAGTCAGGGGGACCTGAGATCCAATCCCGCCATTAGCACTCAGTAGCTATGTGGTGCTGGGTAAGGCCTTTAACTTTTTTGCATCCCAAGCACCTCTCTCAGACTATGGAGCTGCAGTACAGGTATAGGTCTGCACTGGCAGATGCAGCTTCTGCACTAGAAGTTCACTACACCAATGAAATCACAGGCGGGGACAACAAAAAATTAATACCATGCCTTATTAGCAGCCTCACTATTATGTTGAACATGTAAAATTGGTAACATTTAGGGTTACATTTCTGAAAGCCATTCTGAGGATGTACTTTAAAAATCTAATTTTATAATGAAAGACAAAAGAATGGTCTCTTTTCCTGACTGTCAAAAGATCAAATGCCAAAACGAAAATAAAGCCGAAATCTTTGCGATGATAACATATGGAGCAACTTAGAGGAAGAGTCACTTATGAGTAAGGCAGTTCTACATCTGCAACAGGTTAAGGAGTGGGGGATCAAGAGGTTCAAAATGATAACAATGGATGTTTATTCGGTTCTTGGACACATTATTTCATTTTAGCCTCACTACCACCTTGTGAAGCAGGTACTTCAAGAATTCCCATTTTATAGATGAGGAAAATGAGGCTCAGAAAAGTTAAAGACTTGCTCAGGATCACATAACTATTAACTTTTGTGGTGGAATTTGAACTCAAGTCTTGTTGCCTCAAGTACTCTATACCTTATGTCAAGTCAGAAGACAGATGACCAGTAACTTCAAAATGAATGACTGGAACATATTTGGACAAGTTTTGAATTTTTGTTCTATGTTAAAACTAGGAAAAGCCAAGCCATAGAAAATAATAATCATCTGTTTTACATGATACTACCTATATGTGAATATTTTGGTAAAAATATAAGTGGCTATGATGTAAGAAATTAGCTAGAAGGAGACATCACAAATTGGATAATCTTTGCCTTCTGCTAGATACTACCTGGATCTAAACTGAGGAGCAGGAATAGGCTATCCTATGTTTGTGTTCTACATATCTGTCTGAGGCCCCCAACCCCCTTTATAGGGGGCTTGATTACTCACAGTCCTTGCCTCTCTTTTTTCTCTCCCAGGTATAATAAGAAATATTAACAAAGGAAGGTCTACACTGGATCTCAACCAAAGAGTCAATCTTGGAAACTATGAGAATATAACTCATGTCTTACTCTCCATGAGTTTGCTGGACTCCCCATCTAAAAGGACTTAAACATCTTCAATTTCAAATGCTAAGGCATTTCTCCAACAGACAAAAGCAATTTAGGGGAAAGTGAAGTAGCCAAAAATAGTCTAAGGATGTTCAGAGAAGATAAGAGTTGAATTTTTTATCTACCTTGGCATGTCGCAGCCTCTTTAAGGGATTCTTTGAGGATATCATTTCTGCCTGGCTAGGTTTTAGACAACTTTTCAGAGCAAACTTACCAGTTATTCTTTCAGAGACACATTTCTGTCATTTTACCATTATTTTATTAAAGAAAAAAAAGAATTCTTCTTAACCTAAAGATGTAGGAATCGAGACAAATGTTCAACTCAATTTAACATCTCAAATATTATTCAATCCTATGTTATAGGTGAGGTAACCAACTTGGAAAGATTATAAAACTTCGTCTTTTAGTAGAGAGAAATCGATGTCATTTAAGGGTGATGATTGTCCAGGGCAAGGGTTTCTAACCTAGGGTCCATCGATCTCTTGGGGACCCATGGATAAATTTCAGGGGGTTAGTGAATCTGAATGGGAAAAGAATTACATCTTTATTTTCAATTTTCAGTACAGCTGGTTTCCTTTGTAATGCTAGATATTTGATTTTATGTATTTAAAAACATTATTCTGAAAAGGGGTGAATGGGCTCCACCAGACTGCTAAAAGGGTCCATGGTACAAAAAAGGTTAAGAACCACTGGGTAATAACAAGAAATATCTAAGATCACCTTAAAAAATGGGCCTACAACAGAAGTCATGCTTGGCTGTCAATTTTATAGAGGGACCAATGCCTCTTATAAGGAATTACTAAAAAAGAAGTTATGCCTGTATCTTAATTTTACAAAAAACAAAACAAAAAACCCCCCAAAACTAAAAGACTGGATATTAGGCATGAAACCATAAGTTTGGGAGATCTTTGTAGTTAACTCAAAAGAAATTGGATAAAGGATTAAGGATTCAGATTGGATGAACTTGGAGGTTCTTTCCATCTCTTAGATTCTGGGGGTAGAGTATAATGTAGGAATTTTGTAGTTATCAGATTGACTTTTATAAAAGGTAAGAACAAGATATAAAACTTTAAAAGAAACTGAAGAAATTTAGAATACCAAACGGAAAGATCTCAGCACCGAAAGCCCCTCCACGTCTGCTAGACCAAGTTCCATTAAACTGAGGGAGACAATAAATCCATCAAAAATGTTCCAACCTTCTTGGAAATAATAGTAGGGATCCATGGCTATGAGCTTCAGAAACATTTCTGCTGTGAAAATTCCAGTGAAAACCTAGGGAAGAGGAGAAGAGAAAGGAAGGACAAGAGGGGAAAACAGAGATGTTTAAATTAGAATGCTTTAATTATTTATCTTTGAACATAAACTTGCCCAAGAAACACCAAGATGGCCCCTTCATTCAGTCTTACCTCTGTCATGGCCTAAGAGTACTCATCTGTACTTTGTATCTCAGAGACATCTGAAACCCGACACAGTGAAGAAAAAGTTTTGTCTTTTTCTCCTAAAACCTTCCCTCCACCCAGTTTTCCCTCTTTTGTTGGCAAGGCTATCGTTATCTCTCAGTATCTCTCAACCTTGAAAATTGGTCTTAAGACTTTACTTTGATTCAAATACATCATATTCCAATAGAGAATAATCTCCTTTCTTTATATCACCTTCTCAAATCCCGTGTTCACACCTATTTACAGTCAATTCACAGAGATATTCAGGCTTCCAACAGGATGGACCCTCTCCTACACCCTTACTCCTACATAAATAATGTAAAAGAAGTTGATGTGTAAATTTATGACATATTGAGATTCTTGACTGAAATATCAGTTTCCAGCATATAATAGCTTGCATTGTTGATTGGTGCTTGATATATACTTGGTCCCTGACTGATTAGGGAACTTGTATTACTATTATTCAGATAAGAGGAGTAATATTTTTTCATTAAAAGTCTAACTTCTAAAAAATATGTTGTTGATAACATTAGGACATTCTCCAAATTTCAAAGTGTCTCATCAAGGAGACTAAAATGTAATTAATGTGGGATAAGTTGTGCTGGAACGAATCGTAATATGTTTAAGGTGACATTATTTTACTAGAACAAGGAGACTAGAAAAAGGAAAGTCAAGAATACAGGATCATGAGTCAAGAGATATAGATCAGGTGGCATTTTGATCACTAGGAAGATCCCCGCTTGATAGTCTAATAGGTGGAATGTCCCCTTGGATGAACCTGTTTCCTCTGCTTTGCTTTTTTTCTGTTGACTAAATAACTTTCTGCTTGCTCAGCTGGTTTCCCAGGTATTATAATATATATCTGGAAGAGAGTATAGATTCTAATCACTAAAAAAAAGTGTATCCCACCAGGATAGATGAATAAATTCTGGTTTGTCAATCTGCTGTGAATTTGGTTGGGGTGAACCAATGGATTCATCCTTGCCACCAGTGATGCTTTTACCTTGGAACATGTCCTAATGTGGGTGAATAGACTACAATGGGACCTGTTCTTCATGATTTTTAAGGATTTGGTGTCTTTGTACTAATGGATGGCTCCCAACCAGGTCTTCTGAAAGACTGTGACTAGGTTGAGTTAAAAAAAAATGGGAATAATACTTCCCAGGGACAGATTTTTTTCTGAGTTATAAGCCTAAGAAGTGTCACCCAGGAGGCTATAGTTTTCGAATTCTGAAGTGAGAGGAAGACTACTATTTGCTAGTCTGGGGCAGAGTGAAGAAAGAAGAGCCAGAAGAAGAATGTACATGATGACTACAGTGATGGAAAAGAAAACTAGATTCAAATGTGGCTGAACTCAGATTAGACAGTGACCAATGTAGTTCTTTGAAAATAGATGATGAAACACATTTCCTTTCTCTCTGGAGAAAGGTGAGGAGTTCTGTGGGTACATAAAATTGCAAATACTGTCAGATATGGTTGCCATATTCGTTTGTTTTGCTCAATTGCTTCGTTACAAGAAAGAGTTCTATGGTGGGGTGACTGGGATGTGAAAACAAAAGGAAGCAATAAAACTTCTTTTAAAATTCCTTGGAGACCTAGAATCCTATGAACTTGTTTAAAATTGGGAAAAATAAAGGCTTAAGTGGGGCAGGAGAGTGTAAAAACAAAGGTCATAAAGGCAGAAACTCTCTCATTTGTAAATCTCTGGCTAACAGAAATAGATGTACATAGGCTTTTTATAATTTTGCGTGACATTATATGTCCTTAAGCTATTACAGTTAAATAAGATTTAGGAAGTATATATTTAATAAGTAATATATAGAACTGGTTAAAGAGGGTCCTATAATCTCCAACATACAGGCTGATTAGTTTTCACCTGGCACATTAAGAGTTCAATCCTGAGCAATCTGAATTCACATGAGCTGCCAAAGCAATGAATCCTCATCACATATAGGAGACTTCTAAATCATCCTTACCATGCTCTCAGACTATAGGCTGGGGAAGTAACTGAGGCATCCCCATGTGTCAGGCTGTGGGTCCAATTAGCTACAATTAACAGTCCTTTCTAAACTCTTCTATAGAACTAGACCTCATGTTAAGAGGGATTCTTAGAGAAAATCACAATGCTAGTGATATTTTCTTTCTAAATTGTTAAATATAAAACTTAATATAAAAATGTTTATATAATGCAGCAATTTTTTCCCAATAAAAAACAGGCCTAATTTCACTTACTGTGCTCCAAAACTCTTCAACTTCCCTCTGTCTTTGCAGGCATTCCATATTACCAGATATCCCCAAACAAGCATTAATGTATTAATTTCACATATTTCAAGTCCCAAAAATCTTCTGTAGCCAAATTGGCTTGGGAAACATTGGTTTAGAACAGCAGCACGCTTTTATAATGCTAGTTTTTAGGGACAAAACTAATGTTCCTTTTACATTCCCAACAAAGCACGTCAGGCCTTAATCACATATGATATTTTAAGGGACATTATCCAACTTGAAGTATAACCAAATCTATGCAACAAACTGTATTATAAGAGGATTCTGTGTTATTCCGATATTCCTATGATGCCACTCCCTAGAAATGATGGAAATCAGATGATTTATCTCCTTCAGTCAAATTTTTACAATTAATTTGAGTAGCATCAACTCAATTTGTTCAATAATGAAGATAAGCAGAAGCAAAATAATCCAATCATCACTTCTATCTAACTTTTGAATCCATTGTGTAACTTTTTCCCCTCAGCATATTTATCTTCTTAATTACAACTCTGGCTCAGGCTAAACATTATGATGAATTTGGGATGGATGAAATTCTGGTGGCTCATACCCTGGAAGGCAGAAGGAAACCATTCTAGGTTAAGTATTTGTCCTAAACAATTATCAGTGGGTAGTCAAGAGTTGACTGGGGAAAAAGCAAGCCACAGTACCATTTGGTATACAGTAGCACTCTGGTCTGTGTGGTATTCATTACTAAAACTCAGAAGAAAAATTATTTTGGAGGGCTGGGGGTACATTTAGAAGAGACATAGAGGAATCGGTCTTATAAATAGGATGAGAACTCAAGAGCCCTTGGCTCCGGTTCCTGAAACCAACCTAGTGTCCCATGCCTCCCTTCATGGCTTGGTCTGCAGCCAGTAACTTTAAGTGACATTTCCCAAGTTCTCCAGAAAGAGAAAGGAGTCAAGAGATCCCCAAATCTAGGAGTGGCTGCTATTACATCAGTTTTCCAATTAACTATCATTTTCTTTTCTACCCAAGTCTCTCATCCATAGTGACCAGCAGACAATAGAAAAGGGTTTCCAATGGAAAAAACAAACAAGTAAACAACCCATGTTTAAATGACAAAATCAGGAGACAGTGCTTTGCCTTACCAGATTTCCAACAGCCAAGACGTTTTCAAAGTGTGGCGTCATGGGATGATGCTCCATCGCCATAAACAAGGTGTTCAGGACAATGCAGATAGTAATGGCTAAGTCCACAAAAGGGTCCATAACGATCATGTTCACAATCTCCTTCAGCTTGATCCAGTATGGGTGGCATTCCCAGATGAGGAAAGTGTTGGCAAATTTGTACCAACATGGAGGGCACTTTCTCTGAGACTCTTCTAACTCTGTAGCAGGGCAAGAACAAAGGGAACTTCTCAATCAAGCAGTAAAGAAAAACGAAGTACACTTTCTAATACCAATTATTGGTGATCATAAACTGTAAAACTGAATTGACAATGCATGAGCTTCCCTGCTCCTCTATGGGGAGGAATTTGTACACTTAAAGATCCCAAATGACTTTACTAGGAGAGAACTCTCCCCTCACACAACTTTTGTTCCACTAAATGAAAAGAATTAGAATAACCTGCACAAGGCTACATATCAACACACACCAGTGATATGCTTTGTTGTTCAGTCATTCTCAGTCTCGTCCAACTCTTCCTGACCCCATTTGGGGTTTTCTTGGCAAAGATACTGGAGTGGTTTGCTATTTCCTCCTCCAGCCCATTTTACAGATGAAGAAACTGAGGCAAACAGGGTTAAGTGACTTGCCCAGGGTCATACTAGTAAGTGTCTGAGGCCAGATTTTGAACTCAGGAATATGAGTCTTCCTGACTCCAGTCCTGGCACTCTATTCACTCCATCACTTAGTTGCCCAGTGATATGGTAGTCTTAAATAAAACAGAAAGTCAATCAAATGAAAAAATAGTTATTGAGTGCTAAATGTGTGAAGGCACTGTATTAGGTGTTATGGGAGATATTGAAGAGTGAGATACTATGAGTTTGCAGCGAGAGACTGAAAAAATGTCACTGAAAGTTTCCCAATATTTCTCTACTCTCTCCCTCACATAGTCATTCAAAATAACAAAAATAAAGAGGGGAAGAAAAGTTCAGCAAAAGAAATCAACACACCAACCATGTCCAATAGTCTATGGAATGTCCAACAATCATCGTCTCCCACTTTTGCACAGAAGAGAGGGAGCTGAATTCTCATCTCTTCAATTGGGGTTAAGCTTGATTATTACACTTACTCAGAATTCAGTTTGGCTTTTTTGTTGCTGTTTTTCTCATTTATTGTAGTGATTATGAATGCTGTTGTATTGGCTCAGTGTGTTTTACTTTGTATAAGTTTATATGAGTCTTTCCATGCTTCTTTGTATTCTTTACATTCATTGTTTCTTACAGCAGAGGAATAGTCCATTATGTTCATGTACCACAATTTATTTAGTCATTCCTCAATCAACGGACATCTATGCTCTGTTTCCAGTTCTTTGCTACTACAAAAAAATACCTTCTTATTCGGGTATATACGAGACTTTTCATCCCTGACTTCCTTGGGTATATGCCTCATGGTGGAATCATGGTGTCAAAGGGTCTGGACATTTTAATCACTTCTTAGCATAATTTCAAATTATTTTCTAGACTGATTGGACCAGAACAGCTCCACCAACAGGGCATTAGTGTGATAGACTTTCCACACTCCTCCAACCTTGACTAATCGCAACTTTTTTTAGCTTTTACAATATGCTCAGAATTGTTTGGATTCGGATTTCTCTTAATATTAGTGACACAGAAATTCTACATCTGTCTCCAAGCCATAGTAATGGCTGTCCTTTGTGTGTGGAATGCTTTCTATTCTCACCTCCACATCTTAGAATTCCTGGCTTCCTTCAAAACTCAGTTTAAAAGACACCTTTTGTAAGGGGCCTTTCCTGCCCATCCTACCCACCCCCAGCTACTAGGGCCTTCTCTTGAAAGATACCTTCCAATTCTCTGTATGTTCATATAATCTTCTCCATTAGAATATAAGTTCTTTGAGAGAAGTAATGTTTTTGCTTTTTCTTTGTATCTTCAGTGTTCAAAATAATGCCTGGTATACATATATGGTAAGCACTTAATAAATCCTTGGTGACTGAACTTTCATATAGTTGTTAACATTTTACAATTTTTTTTGAAGAACTGTTTGTTCATATTCTCTGAAGAATGGTTTTTGATTTTATATGTGTGTGTTAGTTCTCTCTATATATTGTGTATTAGCCCCTCCCCTCATTTATTGTTTCCCTTCTTATCTTACTTGCATCAACTGTATTTGTGCTAAAAGTTTTCAATCTCATGTAATCAAAATGTGATTTTTTTTGTGATTTCCTCTAGCCCTTGCATGGTTAACAAGTGCCCTCTCTTTGCATCCTCCTCCTCCACCCCACCCCAAGATAGCTTTGAAAGATTCCTGATCAGGTTCTCTTTTAATATTGCTATGAAATGAACTTTGATATTCAGGTTGCATATACATTTTGGGCTTATTCTGGTAAATGGTATACACTGTTGGTCTAAATCTAATTTCCACCATACAGTTTTTCAGTTTTCTTATTGAGTAGGGAGTTGTTTTGCAAGTAATTTATGTCTTCCTGTTTACTAAACACTGGGCTGTTAAGCTCAATGTTTTCCAATTCTTCCTTATCTTGCTTATTCCTCTGATCTTTTGTTCTTTAATTGTTACATTTTTATAGTATAATTTGAAGCCTAGAAGAGTTTTTCTTCCTTTACTCCTACTTTTTTTCTTATTAGTTCCCTTAAGATTCTAGATCTTTTGTTCTTCTGAATGAATTTTGTTATTATTTTATCTAGCTCTACAAAGTATCTTGTGAGTAGTTTAATTGGTATAACACTAAATCTATAAATTAATTTAGGTAGTATTGTCATTTTTATTATGCTGGTGCAGTTGAACCATGAACGCTGAATATGCTGGGAAGGAATTTCAAGCAGCATGAGCAAAGACACGAAGTGGGAAAGCCTAGTATAGTTTGGGGAAAATGTAAAGTTTTCCAGCTTGGCTAAAGTATGTATAGAGGAACAGTATAATACAGATTACCACATCTCAAGAGAAATTGAATGATAGGACTACAGAGTTGGGAATTTATGTTGTGGGAAACAGGGAACCACTGAAAGTATCTGAGAAGGTAAATGGCAAGTCAAAATTGTGTCTTAAGAACATGAATAGAGCAGGCCTGTTCATGAGGAATTTCAGGGAGAAAAGTAATCATGGAAAATGGAGAGGTGCCAGAAGAAGTTAGAGCATCACTCAGTCAACAAGCATTTCTTAACTACCTACTATGCCCCAGGCACTATCCTAAGTGCTGAGAATACAAAAGAAAGGCATAAGACAGTCCCTGCTCTCAAGCATCTTACAGTCTAATGAGAGAGACAACATGTATATAAGTATGTGTGGAAAGAGGAAAACAGGAATACACTGGGGGAGGAGAAAGGGAAATAATGAGAGTGACAAGTGGACCTCTATACAAACAAGGAGGAAGGGATGGGCAGAGGGCCTAATATTTAAAAACAAATGTAACCATGGATTATGTTTGATGGAATGATATTCCCATCAGGAAAAAAAAAAACTCTTACTGCATTCTGTACTCTGTGCTATATCAGAATGATGTCTGGTCTGGAATTTAAGAATTTAAGTTTTAGAATTTAATCTGGATTTTAATCAAGAATTTAATCTGGAATCTGAAATTTAAGTTTAAGAGGGACACTGATATGTATAATGTGTCCAAATGGGGGCTGAGCAGAAGGGCAACACAGTTGGAACAGAAGGGCTCTACACAGAGTGCTGAACTAGAGTCAAGAAGATCTGAGTTCTAATCCTACCTCAGACACTTACTAGATAGGTGACCCTGGACACATCACTTAACCTCCCTCAGCATCAGTTTCCTCATCTATAAAATGGAGATGATAATAAAAGCACCTACTTCACAGGGCTGTGGTGACCATCAAATGAGATAATATATGTAAAGAGCTTTGCAAACCTTAAAACACCATATAAACACTAAGTATTAAATGCTATTTGTTATCTGTGACCTTGACCAACTTCCTCTTTGGACTCATAGATAAGTGTCCTTCTGTTGAATGAGGGGATTTAATTAGGTGATTTCTAAGGTTCCTTCCAGTTCTAAATCCTATGATCCTAAATCTGGAGGTCACATCATACAAGGAATGGTACAAAGAATTGGGGATATTTAGCCCAGAGAAGAAAAGGTGTAGGCAGGGGAAGGACATGATGGCTGTCTTAAAATCGCTGGAGAGTTGTCACATATAAAGGGAACAGACGTTCCATGTGACTTCTGTGGGAAGAATTAGCACTACGTGTAGGAGTTACTATGATGCAGATTTTACCTCCATATAAGGAAGAACATTTTAACAGAAATTATCCAATGACTGAACAGGCTGTTTTGAAGAGCAGCAAGCTTCCTATGAACAGAACTGTGCAGGCAGAGAGAGGCTGGATAACCCTGTGTCACGGATACTTTGAAGGGGGTCCTGTATTGGGGAAAACTGGATAGAAGGAGCTTTAAGGTGTCTTTCATACTAATCCCTTGTCATCACTGACAAAATTCTATAGAAACAGGGAATTTTGTTAGGATGTGTGAAGTAATGGAAAGAGTCTTGATGTGAAAGCCCTATGAAAACTGTAAAAATGCCAAACCATTGTCAGGCATTGTTAATAATTCTTCTTCTTCTCTATCTTCTTCTTAGGCCTTAGTCTACAGAGTCAGCCATAGAATACCTGACCTAAACACCAGACAGTATTCTCTCAAAGGCACAGTTTTGAAAGCTGAACTGTCCTTGGAACAAGATGCTATTTCTATAAGAATGAATTTATAGGCTTTCTTCTCCCTAATGCAGATGAGTGAATCTGGTATTTGGAAAAAAAAAAAAGGTTCTCTATTATTTGACCAAGAACAAATCAAGTCTATCTTTCTTTATTCTGACCATGAGGTACCCATGGTAATAGCTTTATTTTAAGTGAAGTGGTTCTGACTGGGATTTCTGATTGGCTGCTAGTTGCTAGGAAAATGGTTGCCTTGGTTCGACAGATTTTAGGGCCACAGTGATGCCATGTGGGAGTCTGCGTGGGGAAGGAAGTCTGTTAAAAAAAAAAAAACAAAAAAAATTTTGCTTTGGCTTCCTTTCCATAGAACTCACCCCTCCCCAAGGTAAATATAGTTTTCTTCTCAAAAAAGAAAGGAAAAAAAGGTTCTCATTTCCATAAATTCTTATAGTACATATTTGGAATCTGGGTCCATTCCCTTTTTAAAAAATCTCTAAACGTCTGCTGTTTGCTGGCATGTGGAGACTGGAGATTGAAGTGGTGACTTCTCATTTCAGAATTGCCATAGTGCCTGGGGAGCTTGGGTCTGGCTCTTTGCCAACTCGAAAATGGAAGTAGGTGTTCCCATTTCCTAAAGAAATATAAAGGGGATTCCAGAGGGTATCCTTGTCCGTGTTCATTGGGAATGGAGATTTTGCAGCCCAGGATAATTTTCCCTGCTTCTGTCACAATAAGAGCATTTGGATTCTGTGAGTTGGGAGAGAATCCAGAGGGACTGGGAGGTTTATTAAATGACTCACAACCTTGCAAACAGTCACTCGCCCCCATATGCTTGGGATGGCTAAGAATTTGGCTTGGAGGGAATGGGCAAGCAGATGTATAAGTGAGATGATTCTCTCACTTAGCCTTGGATATTTTCAGAGGTGGACACAGCCTCTAAACCTAGTGGGAAGGAGAACCTTGGCTATAGTCATGGCTGCCCAATTCATTCAGGGCCATGGCTTGGGAAGGTCCCAGTCAGACAGGTGATGGCAACATCAGCTATGGCAGGATACCTTTGGATACTCTAATAAAAGATCAGCAATAAGAAACTCTTCTGCCTCTTATCCCCCATTCTTCTTTTCACTAATTTCTTCCTTTCTACTATGTTCCTGCCTTTAAGATGCTTCCATTTCAGTAGGGAGATATAACATGCATACAGATAAGTAAATAGAGAGCAATTTTAAGAGGGAGAGGGCATTACGAATCATGGAAGTGTGTGAGAGTGTGTGTGTGTGTGTGTGTGTGTGTGTGTGTAAGGTCAGGTCAGAGAAGGTTTCATGGAAGTGATACCCAAGCTGAGCCTTAAAGGAAAGATGAGAAGGGAATACATTCCAGGCACGTGTAAATACAAAAAGGTGGGAGATGAAATGAAAAGTCTGAGGAATAGCTAGTACTACAGTTTGGCTGGAAGGAAGAATGTATAAGAAGAAGAATAATGAGAGAAAAGGAGAAAGTTAGACTGAAGCCAGACTCTGAAGGGTTTTAAATACCAAACAGATGAGTTTGTATTTTAACTGAGAGGCAAGGAGAGAACTACCAAAGGTTTTTGAAAAGAAGAACAATCAAGTCAGACCTATTCCACAGAAAAGTTATTTAGTGGAGGCGAGGTTAGTGAGGGAAAAGACTAAAGGAGACCAATCACGAGGTTTTTCTTCCAGGAAAGACATGATTAAGACCTGAATTAAGGAGGTGGCTGTGTGAGTATACAAAGGACGACGGCTAGTATGAGGACAGTCAGTCAACAAATACTTGCCAGGTGCCAGGAACTATAATAAGCACAAAGAAAAGGCAAAAAACAGCCCCCATTCTCAAGATGCTTCCAGTTCCAGAGAACACACAAACAGCAATATACAAACAAGATGTATGCAGGATAAATGGGAGATGGTCAACAGAGGGAAGACAGCAGCCTGAAGAACTGGGAAAAGCCTGTTCTTGCAGAAGGTGAGATTTTAGCTGGCAGCTTGAAGTGGGGCCAGGAGGTTGGGGCTGAGGAGAGAGAGAATTACAGGCATGGGAGACAAATGAAAATGAATAGAGTCAGGAGATGTCCTGTTGGAGAGGAAGTCACTTGTCAGCAGATTACTGAGTATAAGGTGCAGGACTGATCGAGGCAGAGAATGAAGAGGGGAGGTTAACTGGGAAACAATGGGCACCTCAGCAGATAGCAACTCTGAGTCACAGGCATAAAGAGGGCATATTAGAGTTTGAACATGAAGCAAGCCCGGGGCTCTTGATCACTAAGGGCCTGAAGTGAAGGCCTTTAATGCCCCTGGCTCCCTGAGGCTTGAGTACCCTGGCAGATATGAGTCCCCTTTGGCAGAGGCCCTCTACACCTAGTCAGCTATTTTTTGAACCTAAGTGTGGGTATTTATATTGATCTCTCTTAAATTTTTGTCATGTTAGATTTAGTCCATCATTCTAACATTGGAATGTCTTTAAGCAGGTTAGGTATGTCTTTAACCAAATCACTGATAAAAAATGTATAAAAAATTTGAAAGAAAGAAAAGAAAAAATCTGGCGAAGGAGCCTTGTGACATATGACTGACTATTCTTCTGCTGGAAGACTGATGACATCATAAGGGGAAGTGCCTAGGCCCCTCTTTGTGCACCAGGCAGTGTCACATAGGACCCACCCCAACACACAGTATTCTAGCACTGACAGTAGTGTCACTGCAGGTACAGGTCTAGCAACAAATTACTGCTATTAGTTTCATCTTTCCTATTCCCACAACAAATATATTGATGTTACACAGCTAGTAAGTGTCTGAGGCCAGATTTGAACTCAGGTCTTCCTGACTCCAGGGCTGGTGCTCTATCCACTGTACCACCTAACTGCTCCTCAAGTACATCTTAAGGGGAAATTCTAATGGTCATAAGTAGTCAGAAGAAAAGGAATGTGGGAAGGATGCCATCTTTCTACCTTTCTTTGGTTCTTTGGTCTGCATGTGTGCACGCGTACACAGTCTCACACACACACACACACACACACACACACACACACACACACCCCCACCCACCCATGTGTGCTTACTCAGACTGCCTGGATTTCAATAACAAAGTACATACCTTCTACTAGCGTATTTGTAACAACACTCATGACACTGTTGACTCTGTCCTTCCTTCCATACGAAGCATTCAGCTGGTTCATAGAGACTAAGAGGGATCCAGGGCCTTTCTTCTTAATTTCCACCTCAGTTGTTGCCTGCAAAATTACCAAGTTGGGTGAGTGGGGCCTTTTAACACCGAGGGCAGGCCTTACTGGGCAGACACTCCAAAGTGTTAGCATGGGTTTAAGCCTTTAATTTCATCTCCTAATCTGGTCTTAGAACTCTATATGCTACATGAGCTAACTCTATTGACAATGGGTCTTCAGCAGTCTTTTTTTTTTTTAAGGCAATTGGGGTTAAGTGACTTGCCTAGGGTCACACAGCTAGTAGGTTTCTGAGATTGCATTTGAACTCAGGTCCTCCTGACTCCAGGGCTGGTGCTCTATCCACTACACCACCTAGCTGCCCTTTCAACAGTCTTTAGACCAAGGAGACTAAGTTGGTTAGGGGTCCCCTGGGAAATCTGTTTCATCCTCAGGTGAACTCAGGAATCTGGCTACCCAGAGACCACTGTATAGTGAACAAAACTTCTGGGAAGAAGGTAAACCAACCTAGTTTCTTTGAGAGCCATCAGACCAGCTTTTGCACCTGTTTAAATAATTTATGAGCTAGTGCCAACAGAATGGATGCCATGGGTTTTCCATTACCCAATCTCAAAGTATTTGGTTAGAAATGAATTAGCCTTGGATATATGTATAATACAATGAATTCTTATATTATGTAAATTTTTCTTAGTTTCCATCTCAGCCTTTGATCTTACCAAATATCATTGGTTTCACTTCATCAGCATGGAAAAACTAGAACTACTGGCAAATTCTTGGTCAACAACACTAGAGCAATGGTTGCTATAACTATTATTATCAAGTCAACCCATCTACGATATATACTTTAATCTGGAATATAAGGAAATATGCACAAAATAAACACATTTTTAAAAAGTTATTTAATTTTTAACAAAGGCTACAACACTTATCTTACTTTTCCCCTGTGGCTAGGAAAAGAAAAGAGAAGGTTCTAGAGGTTGCTGCCAAATCCAAACCATGTAACTGAAGCTGCTCAGTGATCAAATACCAACAAAATTAAAAATTCTAAGAAATCCTTCATCAATCCATTCTCCAGAAGCATGTGTTTAATGCCCATCCCATGGGCAGTATTAGTGTGGTAATGGGTGGAAAAGACAATAAATGTGCACCTCAGTCTTCCTTTTTAGTGTACTCTCTACACCCCTGACCTTTCTGTATCCAAACTGGCTTCCCTGGGTGGCTCAAGATCCAACCAAGACGTCTTCTGGTCTTGTAGCTCATGTCCAGCACAGTCTAAGAATCTTTAACAAGTACATCCAAAGTACAGAGAAGGGAAATGTTTCCAAAGGGCTGGAGGAGCACTGAGTAGAGTCAAACTGGCCCTTACTGTGTGGAATGGAAATAAAAGCTAGGCTGCAGCAAAATGTCTTTATTCTAACATATGCATTAGATTTACTTTTTCAGGTCAATAGGAAGATATTTTCTAGCAGATGTTAGGTTTGTTATTTATTATTTGTGTAACTTTGGGCAAATGACTTCATTTCTCTGAGGCTCAACTTCCACATGGATAAAATTGTACCAGAGGCCCTCTGAGGTCTTTCCAGCTCTACACACATGATCTGATGAAGGAAAATTATTGCCTCTGGAACTCAGGCTATAATAATGTTCAAATATTTGTATGCTTATGAATATGTATAATAAGTGTCAAAGGTAACCACAAAGTGAATTTCTCTGAATAAATCTTCCTTCGCCACTCCTAGCATCTGCACTAAGGCACAAGATTTCCAGAGCCACAGAATCAGGGTAACCTGATGATTAGCCTCCTCTTCTTCCTTCCCTTTTTCTTCTATTTTTCTTTTTTTTTTTTTAGGCAATTGGGGTTAAGTGACTTGCCCAGGGTCACACAGCTAGGAAGTGTCAAGTGATTGGTCTGAGACTGGATTTGAACTCAGGTCCTCCTGACTTCAGGGCCAGTGCTCTATCCGCTGCGCCACCTAGCTGCCCCCTTCCCCTTCTTTTCTAAAACAGTCATTTCAAAACGGCCATAGAAAGTAGGTCCAACTCTGATTACCAAACTGTTACTTCTAGACACCTATTACATTAACAGTAATTCGTGTTCACGATGATAACCCTGAAGTACCAGAAGATCTATACTGATCAGCATGGGAGCTCCATTTTTGACCTGAGCTGGTTGGTCCCTCCTTCTAGGTTGGTAGCCCCCTTTCTCTGAGGGGCTCGTCAAAATGATGCTGAACTTAGTGCTGATATTGGCAGAACCCACTGCAGTTCAGAACCCCCCAGGTTAAGAGAGCACTCTCCCTGGTGGCTAGCAGTACACAGGTGTGTACCACTACTCCCAGCAATTGTACCCCTTCTAAATGAAACTGAAGAAATTTTACAGAATGAATGAATATGTGAAGTCACCTGCTACAGCCCCACAAATCTGTTTCTGATCAGAGTAGTCATATTTGCTTCCAAAAGAGAAAGAAAGAACTCAAAATTTTTAGAAAATGTCTTTACATGCAACTGGAAAAAATAAAATACTATTTAAAAAAAGAGAAAGAAAGTAAAATCACTGGGAACTCAAATTCTTCAGTGATTTTACTAAAGGACTTTCAAGAAGAGAAAAGCTAGAAAAGTAATATTTCAAGTAAACAGTTCCCATTTCTTCCAACACCAAATGCCAAGTTTTCCTGAAATATAAAAAGCCATCAGAGTTATTTCCTACCGACAGGGATGGGGACTGGACTTGTGATTTCATCATGAGAGGCAACTCTGATGAGGGAACTCCTACTGATACAAGTTGGCATTTCCTCTGAAACACTTTTAGAGAGTTGTCTGAACATCGAGAAGTTAAGTGACTAGCCCAAGGACACACAACCAGTTTGTGTCAGAAGTCAAACTTGAACTCGGGTCTTCCTGGGCCAGCTCTCTATCTGCTATGCCATCTGGCTTCTCTCTCTGTTTCCTAAGATATTTTGCAGATGGCAAGCATTTGTATTCTCCCCAAATTTTAGTAGATTTCCCTGGGGAAACTCAGCTTGTTTTTTTTTTAAATAAGTTTAGATTTCAAACTGAAACTGGTAAATGGAACCATCCCATGGTTTTTTGTTTTTTTTTTTTTGCTTCAGAGTTGAAATGTGTATAGCACTTCAGACATGGCATTAGAAGTCAACCAATGAACCACATATACAAATCTTTCACAAAAAGTGATTGACTCCTTCGCATCATCCCTAATGATCCCATCCTTTACTCCAGTCTCTGATGCAAAGGTGGCCCTTCCTTTGCTAACACCATGTACCCTCGATTCCTTCTCCTCTTTTCTTCCCCAGAGGATGGTTCCTAGTACCAATGCCCCTATCTAATTTTTAATTTCCTTCATCTAGTTGTTCTTTCTCTGCTGCCTACAAACATGCCCGAGTCTCTCATCAACCTTAAAAAACTCTCACTAGGTCTTCCCATACTTGATAGCTATCATCTTATATTATCTACATGTATCATACGTCTATCATTCTATGTATCTCTCCTCTCTATCTCCTTGAAAAAGCTGTCGTCTTTCTTTGCCTCTAAGCCCACTTGATCGTTTTCTTCTAAACCCTCTAAAATCTGGCTTCTGGTTTCATCACTCAACTGAAACTATTCTTTCCAAAGTCACCAGTGCTCTCTTGACTGCCAATTCTAAGGGCCTCTTCTCAAGTCTCATCCTTCACAACCTCTTTGAAGTGTTTGACAGTGCTGTGCGTCCTCTTCTCCTGGATATTTTCTCAGGTTTTCATGAGATCACTCTCTCCTGGTTCTTTTCCTAGTCATCTGACTGTCCCTTCTCAGTTTCCTTTGCTGGATCAATATCTGGGTCATGCCCACTAACTTTGGCATCCTTCAAGGCTAGGTCCTGAGTGTCTCCTCTTTCTCTATTTACTCTCTTACTTGCTGACCCCATGGATTCTATGATCTCTATGAAGATAACTACCAGACTGATATATCCAGTCCCAATCTTTCTCCTGAGCTCCAGTCATGTGTCTCTAACTACCCTACTAGATGTTTCAAACTCAATGTGTTTAAAACAGGACTCCTCTTTACACCCAAACCCACCCTTTTAAATTCTCCTATTTCTTTTTAGGTTACCACCATCATTCTCATGATCCAAGCTTACAACCTCAGTGTGTCATTCTTGACATCTCATTCTCACTCCACAAATACAAGCAATTGCCAACTCATGCTGTTTCCATTTCCACAACATTCTAGACATTCTGGCATCTCTCTCCTCCTTTCCACTTGCACAGACACCACTCTAGTTCAGGTCCTCATTGCCTCTTGCCTGGACTGCTACAAGAGTCTCTTGGTATTCCTATCTCAAGTCTCTCTTTGTTCCAAATCATTATTCACATAGCTACCAAAATGATTTTCCTGAAGTTAGCTTTCTAGTTAATAAACTTCAGTGGTTCCCTATTACTTTTAGGACCAAATATACTCTATTCACCTGGAACTCTGTGAACCCACCGTGTTGCTCCTAACACCATACTACATCTCTCACTTCCATACCTTTGCATGTGAGACACCCATGCCTGGAGGATACTTCTATCTCTTAGAATCACTAGTTTCCTTCAAAACTCTGTTGAAGCATGACCTTCTAACATAAGGCCTTTCCTGATTTTTTACAGCTTGTTAGGTCTCCTCTCTCCTCTCCCTCCCCTGATGACATCAACTCAAGGTTCCTTTGTATCAGCTTTCAACATGATCTGGATGTACCAGTATAAGTGTACTTTGTCTCCTCTGTAAGAATATAAGCTCCTTGAGGACAGGGACTGTTCATTTTTGTATTTATATTCTCAGCATCTAGGACAGTGCCTGGCAGACAATATGTATTAAATAAATGCTTGTTTATTGATTAGCTACATATAGATATAGATATCTATATATCTATATCTATATCTATATCTGTAGTCACCCAGACTACAGTTCCATAAGGAGCTTATGACTTCTTCGGTGAAGACAGGCAAAACAAGACTCATGAATAGGGCAATCAAGTCAGGAAAATTTGAAACTCAGAAATATAAGGAGTAAAACCCTCATGGTTTCACATTGCAGCAACTTGAAAAGTGTGATTTAATCAATCACACAGAATAAAACTAAAAAAAAAAAAAGAGAAGAAGAAGAAGCCTCTCTAAGTAAAAGGCCATGTGTAACAAGAATTATCTGGGACAGGTCTGAAGAATAAATCATCCTATACTCTAAATAACCATAGTTGTCTTTTTTATGCCTAGGAATCAATCAATGGATCTAATTTTTCTGAAAAGGGGAAAAATATCAATAGAGTCACCAAATTATGTCTTCTTACTCCTAGGGCAGCCAAGGGAATCTGGGTCACTTGTCTGATAACAAGAAATAGACAGGGGTCCATAAGAGGCCTATAATACCCTCTGCAGAAGTTCTGAAGTGGAAACTGAAACAATCTTATACTTTATACGTTGGTTGAGCATTTCAGGTTTCACCTGAGAGGAACCTGTTTCTATAAAGACAAACACCAGTAAGTAACTTACCTAAATTTGAGTGACAGAGCACTGATTACTGGCCCACCCATGACCTTAGGGCAGTGTTTTTAAATGAATCTTCCTTCCCTCTGAAAGATAAATTGTACTTCTTAATCCACCAAAAAAACATCGGACTCTTAGTTATTCAGGGAATGGTTATCCAGTTCACAGATTACACACGTCCTTTGCTTCCCTTCTCTTTAGCTGTGGACATTTTGGTCATCACCCAGTTAATTAGCAACTCACTTCAGAAAAGGCAGGGGAGCTGAAAGGATGCTATTTGAAGAAGTGCATTTTGATTCTTAATACTTCTCTTTGAAGTCTGGTGAGAAAGGATGGTGAAACTATTAGAGTGAAGTTTTAAAATTTTCCATGGATTTTAATCATCTATATTCCTTTAACTTCAATTACCTCAGATAACTGGGAGTTAACTATATAAATGGCTTTTTAAAAAGTAGCTTAAAAAAATAAGATAAATTGTTTTAATCATTTAATAAACAAAATGCTTCTAAGAAACTAGAAAGGGGGCTGTTCTGTCTGGATAATTAATGTTTCTACAAAAAGGCCTTCAGCAGGTCACCAAAATTAAATAGGCCTTGGCTCACTTTATGCACTGCAGGTCTGAAAAGCCCCAGGAAACAGATCTTTGTCCAAGTTATTCCATGAAAAAGGGAGTCTTTATTGAGCCAGACCCAAAGGTAAGATAGATGACATCAAGATGAGGTTTGCTCACATCTCTGTCACCTTTTTTATGTCAATTCAGAATAGAGACTATTCCTAGTTAGCCTAAGTGTCAGGACTGAGTTTGCTTGTAGCTAACAGTCAATTATCTGTATGATTTAACTATGTAATAGATTACCCACATAAACATTTTAATCCTGGAAACATCTCCCTACCATCTAGTACATTCCCAGAGTAGTTTCCTCATCAATTGGTGTGAGTTCAGGGAATGTTGTAGCAATGGGACATACAAGGAAAGCAATCCTACACCTTCCCCCCACCTTCCAAAAGAAGTCAAAACCTTAAAGCATATCTACCTTCCTCCTACTTAGATCCACAAGACCACTACTCAAGCACAAGTACTACTGACTGACATACCAACTCTTCCCTCTTCCAGTCTCTGTGTTGATGAATAGCTAGTTGTCTAAATGTAAGCTAAATCCCTCCCCCAAGACCCACTTCCCATTTTCTCATTCCCATTCATCTCAACCCTACTCCACTCATGTCCCAATTCCACTCTGTTGGCCTCATCGCTTATGTCTCTTAGAATCCCCACTCCAAAATGAACAAACCTCCCTTTACTTTAGACCTCTTCCTTGTCTCTTTCTACCTACTTACAGAGACCTGGCTATCCCCAGATGACATTATATTTTCTCTCTTACCCTTCTCTCTCCCCCTCTTCCCGACAACAATCTAGTCCTGGAAGAAGAATAGAAATATTTCTTGCTCCCCCCTGCCACTAGCACTCAGCAACATCTCCTTTGAGGTTCACTCTATTCAAATTTATTTACCCAATCAAGAGTCTACTTGAAGTTATATATTAGCTCCTAAGATATCTTCACCTCTTTCTCAAGGAATTCAGTACTCAGGTCAGTTTTCCTTTCCATCCCAACTGCTAAGCACCGTAACCTCTCAGTTCCTCAATATTATCTATTCCCATGAACTACTTTTCCACTCCATCTCAGCTATGCACAAGACGGTCACCTCTTTGATCTTGCTATCTAAACTAATAGGAAGCATGGCATTGCTTTGAATGAAACATCAATGATGTGGCATCTAATTTTTATTAAATATAGTTCTCTATGCCAGGAACAAAAATACAGCTGTAATAAAAAGGAACATATGATACTTATAATATTGTAAAAGATTAATACATAGGACCAACTTGAAGATCACTAATAGTCTCTGAACCAGTCTTTGAGAACCTCTAGTATAGAATTTTGAATATACTCTAAGCAGTCAAGGAAAGGGATGATAAGCTTTGGTTGCAGGAATACCAAAAGGTCTGAAGCTACCTGTTGAATTCCAGTAAAACAAGATATCAAATGGAATCTGGTACAAGCACCCACACCCACACACACACCCACACACACCCACACACACACACACACACACACACACAAAAAAAATACCTCATTCTTCCAAGTTGTAGTAATTTTGTTTTCCTGATCTTTAATCACTTCCTTAGAGGACCAGATTGAGTATGTGATCATTCTCACTGCAAAGTAAACTTTTCACATCTAACCTAAAAATAGTTTTCTCCTGGGTTGGAAGTACCTGGGGATGCCAGCCCTGTCTGGATCTCCTGCTTAGTTCTGAATTTGACTCCAGTTTGAATGGATGTTCCACAACTGCTGACATCACCATCATCAGATTCAACCAAGAGTATGTGCCACGTGCCTTGACCCAAAGCCGGAACCACACCCATCCTGCTGTCACTCAGCAGAGCAGGGCTTACATTCCATAGGAGTCCTCTAAACTGACTCCCCAATTTCATGCCCACATCATACATCGCGCATGCTGCTTTGAAACCTGCTCCTATGCTTTCAAGCAGAGATTCAAGTATCTTCTTAGAACAGAGACATTTTCTTTTCTAGCCTCTTCTCTTTAGAAGAAAGTTATTAAATCTAACCTGGCCTATTGGCTACCAAAATTCAACTTGATTCCCCTCCTGCCACCTCCTTCCAACATGGGAAATTCCTATTTTTGAAAGCTGCCCTATTCTTCTTCATTATCAACTCCTTGACTTTTTCCCTCAGTTATCTGGGAATTCAAAGTTTAGCTACAGACATAGAATTCATGAAAACCAAACAAAAATGGAACTGAAAGGACAAACAAGAGTGTTTTTCTTTTAAACCAACTGCTTAATTTACCTGGGATCCTGGGCATATTAAGCAATACTTAATTTATTTCTCAAGATCAACTACACAAAATGACAACAACTTTCTACATTAGTAGCTACATTTTGTAAAAAGAAAAAAACGGGGGCTGAGGGAAGCCAGAGTCCCAACTTATTCCAAACTATACACTGAATATCATCTTAATAACGGAATTCAATTCTATATACCAAACCATCCATATTAGTTGAGTTGCCCTATATACATGCATCATGCTAATTAGAGGAGCTGTGTCTCCATGCCATGTTAGAGGGAACTAAGGTATTAGAACAAAGTACACTGACATGCTATTTGAACAAATTTAATACCAACTGAGGGAGGAGAGAGGAAAGTCAGGAAGCAAGAGGTAGGAGGAACCAGGGCTAATTAGGTGCCAAGAATTTAAAATTTAAAAAAAAAAAAGAAATTAAACAGCTTGGAATTGAAAAACCAGACAGAAAAGATGACTTCCATAAAACTGGAAGCTAGTATCCTGACTTCTCACCAAATATGCTTAATCTTAAGTCATGGATGATTTTATACATGTACATGTGACTCCTTTTGCACCCTAACATCTTTATACTTCATCTTTTGCTTTCCTTTCCTTCCTCCTCCATATATCATGTGTTCCTGCCCCAACTTCCCATTTTTTTCCTCCTGTTGGGTCTTTTCTCTTTCAAACCTTTCTGAAAACCCTGTTTAATGTTGATCACCCTATTTTTGTCCTTTATCTTCTGCCTTCCCATATGACACTCAATCATCTTTGGATAATCTTATCTCATTGTTGTGGAGAAAACTTAAGAATTAGTAAAAATTAATGAAGCACTAAAAAAAAAAAGGTTTTAGATAAGAGAAGTTTTAAATTCCAAGCTGTTTTCCTAGGAGGACCAAAACAATTAGTTCAGGAAGAAGAGGCAATGATAGTTTTCAACTGGCTCAGACGCAGTTATTGTTTTAACAACCCAATCTCATTCCATCAGAGCGTCATCCGCTGGGCCAGAGGCATTCAGTCAAAGCAGGTAAGGGAGCTAAAAGTGACAGGCACACAAACAGGGGGAAAAAACAAGGGAGAAGCTAGGGAGAGACAGAGAACAAAGAGAGAGAGAAGAGATAGAAGAGGAGAGAGGAGAAAAAGGGGAGAGAGAGGAGAAAGGGGGAAGAGAGAAAGAGACAGAGACAGAGAGAGAGACAGGAAAACGAAGACAAGTGAATTTTGGGGTAGGATGGTGGAGGAGAAGAGGACAGAAAGATACAGAGAGATAATGCTGAATAGGAAGGAATATGAGATGAAAAACAGGGAAATCATGGACAGTAAAAGAAGAGGAGGATGGAAAGGGCAAATCAGAGAGATGAAGACAGAAAGAATAAAAGGAAAACAGAGAAATGTATTGAGACAGAAGGACTCACACAAACAAAAAGAGAGACATCAAGGGCAGGCAGGAAAGAAGGCCTGGAAAACAAGGGGCAGATAGGGAGAGACTGCCATGCCTAGCCTCGATCTATCCATTTACTTCCTTACACTGTTATCAGTAGCTGCCTTATCTATTTTCACCTCAGGCAGAAGACGCCCCGCTGCCATGGGCCCGGGCCCCCCGATGAGGGACACCACTCCATTGCAGTCAACTGTGCTGTTACGTTTCACGCTGCGTCGCAGGCTGGGAAAGATGCGAGAAGAGCGACTGCCCTGGCTGTAGCCACTGTAGCCGCTGTAACTGCTGCGCCGCTCGTGGGCCCGAATAGGGATGAAGAGCGAGTCTCGGCGGCCTTCGCTTTCCTCTACAGTGCTGTGCTCATCGTCTGCAAACTCGTTTTCAGAACCAGGGTCTCGGAACCTCCCAGGCGTCTTAAAACTGAAGATGCTGCTCTTGCTGTTGTGGCGAGAAAGGAACGGGGAACCCGGAATGCTGAGCAGCGACTGTGGGAACCAAAGAGAGAAAGAGAGTGAAGGAAGGGGTACAGGGATCTCCTGAGTCAAAGCGCAGAGCAGAGGTAGATGGACGTCTCAACCCCTTACCCCCTGCCATGATCAACGTGACACCTCTACAGGTTCCATTTCTGTCCAGTGGGAGACAGTCTGGGCTCGAACCCGCCCCCTCCCCCATGCATACCACCCAAGTGACCTGGGGTGAGTTAATCATCTTCCCTACTCTTCAGTTTTCTCACATATGAAATGATGCTGGAAAAGATGGTCCCCAAGGCCCCTTCCAGGTCTGCATCTATCATCCTCGATGGTAAATTGCCACCACTGTCCCTAAGCCCTATAATGAATTTATCTTTGATTTAGGAAGTAAATAATCCACAGTCTCTTCATGCACTGATTTGATGGTCTTCTTTTGTTCCTTTTATGTGTTTTCCACATGGTTCCAAATCAGTATGTATCTGTCTTAGGTTATAAAGTCAGGGAGGAGAGGGACTGTGTCTACGCAGTTGTCTTTGTGCGTTAGTGAACCTCCTTCCAGAAGATTACACACAATCAGATGTTTAATAAATGTCTTGTGTCATAATGAAGATGACAGAGAAATCATTGAGCAATATGGAGCTCCATTGATAAGAATCCCATCTATCAGCCTTGCTTCCTCTAACCCAACTTTCTGGCTCTATTTCCCTAATATTGCCAGCTCCAGGACCCTTCCAATAAAGTCCACAATTTGTATTCTTTCTCATTGTATTTTTACCCAATACTCTTGTCTCCTATTCTAACCCATTTTCTCTGGAATATTTTCTATACTCATAATTCTTTGCCTCTAGTTTGTCATTTCTTTCTTTCTTTCAGCTTCTTACAGTGATCTGAAATGAGTCAATGACTTTGATCAGTACAAGTCACAACAAGGAAGTAACAAAATTACAAACAGCTTTTTGTAAAATTGTTTACCATAAAACTGACCATATGTTGTCAACTTCTAATTATGCATGCAGAAAACATACAATGTGGATTATCCAAGAACCTTAGGTATATTCTATACTCACAAGCTGGGTTAGGATCATTGCCCCATTTCTCATGGCAAGTTTCTTTTCTCTGGAGGTTATGGCTATGGTGGGGTGGTTATCCATGATTTTCTATTATACCAATGTTCCTTTTCACTGAGGCACATAATTAAATATTAGCTCCCTCTTTTACATGTCATGTATTTTATAGGATGAACCATGCTAAGGATAAATTATTGTACCATAACTAATGTAACAGACTATTCTTGGTCTTAGAGAAACTGGCAAGGAAGCTAGTGACCTATTTCACCTGGTATGATACAGGTTCTGATCAGGGCTTGGAAATCTGGATGTTAAGGTATAAAATGACATACAACAAATCCAAGCTGAAGAAGCTTGATTACTTATTCTACCCTGGGGAGCTGACACAGTAAAAAAAATGGTGCCTCCCCTCAAGCCCATCCCCAGGTGGGGAGAGCAAAATACCCATGATAAAAATAGCATCTTACATTTATGCAGTGCTTTCCAATTTTCTTCTAAAGAAACCACGACAGTTTTGGTCATGAGCTAGGTAGGACTATGGGATAACTCAAAAATGGATTAAGCAATCAAGTCTGGTTGTTGAATCTGGGAAGCTTTATCTTTCATTTGAGACTAGTAAATGCCTCTTCTTAGAAGAGCTGAGAGTAATGCAGTTTGACAACCATTTGTAACATGCTGCTTGGGATTTTAAGGAGCCTAACTATTAGAACTGAGTTATTATTAAAACAGAAGAAGAAATGACCATTTGTCCTTGTTGCCTCTCCAGGACAGTTCAAGGAAGTCATAGGAAAACACAAGTCCCAGGACAGGGAAAAATATTCCTATTGGGCTCCCAAAGTTACTGCAGGCAGTTACGTGCTCTAGGAAACTATAATTTTTGATGGGAGAAAATCAAGAGAAAGTGAATGTTTTCATGCAGTCAAAAGACGAATTTTATTTGTGAGCTATGGGGCAATTGGGGCACCCCTCTGCTAAAATACATACGTTAATCACAAATGGTTTGGCAGCAAAAAGCTAACAGTACCTCTATAATTTCACAGCACCAAGGCTCTCATTAAATGACCCAAAGATGGCTCTCTTAATTATAACAATGTTTTGATCACACTGTACCTCAATGAGGGAATGCACAAAAAAATGGAAAAAGGTGAAAGTAAGTTAGATATGACTCCTGACCATAAGAAAGGCCAGAATAGGGTGAGATCAGAATCCTAACATTTGATCAAAGATATAATACACCCTGACAGTGACCCACTCTGGGAAGAAAGAAAGAGCCTGGACAGAATGACACATAAGGGGAATCTCTGCTGCACCTGGATCTCTAAAACTCTTCAGCATTTCTTTATAGCAGGAAAAGAATGTCATGGCCTAGAGAAAGCCATTAGACTTGAGAGACGTGTGTGCTCTTGGAAACACTAAGCAATTATCCTGAGGTAATACTAAGAAGAAGAACAATTATCTGGTGTAATGGAAAGAGCACAAGGCAGCAAGCAAGCTGGAAGTTTCTCTCCTAATCTACCCTTCAGTTTTCTGATGGGGTCAAGACTGGGCCAAAAGAGCTACTAAAAGAATGACACATTCCCAGAAGTGCCGAGAAAAGAGAAAATTCTATCAGCTTAGGATGCTCTCAGTGTAGAAACTCCCTCCAGAGAAGCACATGGGTAATTTATCTATAATTTGCCATCTTGAGATTGGAGAGTAAGAGATTTGCCCACAGTCACATGGCTAGTGCTGGCAGAATCTGAACACCAGGACTCCAGGGCCAACTGATCCTCTAGCCACTGGAGCAGTGGTGTCAAACTCAAAAAGAAATTGGGGCCACTAAATGCACATAAGGATCCCGGAAGCCCCATATTGGTTTAGAAAACCACATACTAACATCTATCTTCTTCTGTATTTCTATTTATTTTATTAATATTTCCCAATAACATTTTGATCAGGTTTGGGCAGTGAGTGTCAATTAGACACCTCTATGTCAATTAGAGCTATCTCAAAGAGGGGGATGTGATTCCTTAGGAGCTGGTATGTCCCCCACGCCCCTCACTGGGGATCTTCATATACAGGCTAGATGACCACCAATAGAGGAGATTTTCATTCAGATATGGATTAGACTAGAGGGCTTCTAAACTACTTTTCAACTCAGATCCTATGGGTAATTTGGGGGGTGGGGTAAATCATCACAGGCTAATGGGTTGAAGGAACTGGGTATGGAGAAGACAAAAGGTAGGTAGGTATCTTCAAGTATTTGAAGGGTTTAATATGAGTTAAAGGTCTACCATATGGAAGAGATATCAAGTGTGTTCTGTTATGGCCCCAGGGGTAGAACCGGGAGGAGCAGATGACTGTTACAAAGACATTAATGTAAGTTTGATGTCAGGAAAAGCTTGGTAACAATTAGGGCTGCCCACAAGTGGGGTGGGTGGCCCACAGAGGTGGTGGGCTCCTTCTCCTGACAGGTCTTCAAGCAGGGGATGGATGACCACTTATTGGCTAGGTTTACAGCAGGGACTCTTGTTTTTGTGTATGGGTTGGCCTAGATGGCTGCTCAGGTCCCTTCCAGGTCTTATTTTATGTGGTTAGAATAACAGTGCATGTCTGAAACTCAAAAAGTGTCATGTTTAATTAAACTCGGCTCATGATTTAAAAGTTTTGTCATTCCTATTTTCTATATATGATCATATATAGTTCATAACAAGAATTATCCAGCATTAATTCTGACCTACACCAGCCAGGAAGAGAAATTCTCTCCTAGGAAATTTGGGACAAATCTAATCCTCTAGAACCTGCAGCCTGAGAGTATCATCTGACTGCCACTGGAGTATACCTGTCAATGATGAAAACATAAAATCATAGAATTATTTCTCAAGCACACAAATAGGTTGAGTAAGAAAAAAAAAAGCAGAAAACCTTCTTCTCCTCTCCCTCTTTCCTAGAATGTAGTCTCCAAATTGGTTCTAGCTACAAAAGGAAAGAGGAAATAAAGAGGAGGCATATAAAACTTAGAGCTTCCATGGGATTTTATCAACACTGAGAGTGTTTCTGTGAGCCAGTTTGTAATGCTTGCCCCTTCCCTGGGGCTAGTTCCTTAGCTAGTATGCATTAACAAAAGTGACTGACAAATCTAAAAGGCAAGAGGCCAACTCTAGTTTCCTGGTTAGCTACTACACTGAATGCTTTCTTGGTATGGATGTTGTACTCCCTGTTACCCAGTGTGGAGCCTGAGTTCAGTCTGCAAAGACTTGCTTTAATTGTACCTGGTATATCTGCCTCTATGGACATTGTCCTTATTTTAACAGGACCCAGCCACTGCCCCACCCTTCAGCCCAACACAAAGGATTCTGGCCCCCAAAAGCCAAGGTCTAGATCATCTGGCCTGTACTAACCTGCTGTGGCAATACTCAACATGAACAAGTATTTAACATAGCCCTCTATGTAAATTCCCTTTTAACCTGGTTCCATTTAAATTCATCTCTAATTTCAGAGTATTTCAGCTTCCTGCTACAAACGACAATCAGGGGGCATTTTGGAGCAGAGTGAAGTATAGGAAGGCAGCACTAAGGATTCAGGGATAAGGCTAGAGGACGTGCAGGCAAAAGAGAAAGAACAGTTGGCCTTAGCAGTTAGAGGATTGATGGGGAACCTGTAAATCATTGAAAGTCATTCTTGGCCCATACAAAGAAGTACTCTACCTGGTTCATGATAGAAAATTTCCTCCCTATCCTGTTGTCTGGTAGGCGAAAGGCCTTCCTCCTCATGCCATCTTCTGACTCTGATTTAAACACCTTCTCACTGTCCCCTTTCTCTTCTCCCTCAGAGAGCTCCTTCTGCTTCCTCTTCTTTCTCCTGTTACGTCTCTCTTTGGCACTCTTTGAACTGAGTTTGGAAACTTCCGATGAGCTCCGAGACCCCCTCCCTCCACCTTCTTCTTCTATAGCATCTTCGGAGACAGTTCCAGCTGAAGTGGCCATTGCAGCAGCCTGTGGGAGTAATCACAGGAACCAAATCAAAACAGGAGTAAGCAAGCAGTGGCAACTGAAGAGAAAAACCTACAATTGCAGACAAACTGCTCTACCAGAGATTTTAAGCAAAAGATGAAGGGATGGAAAAGGAGAGGAAAACAAGCCTCTTTAACAGGCGGACTGAAGTTGGGGCCTCACAGTTAAAATTCTTCAGTTTACGCTGCATCTGGAGCAAGTATATCTAAGGGCATTTGAACAGAATCTTAAAAGATAATGATTCTAGGTAGCATTCCCATCTATGCATCCTAAGTAAATAGTAAATATTTACTATAGTAAATAGTTGGGCCTTTTCAGCACAACAAGGGACCACCAAAGAAGTTCTGAAAATGAGTGTTAAGAAACTCTTTTATGATCTCCAGAGGGAAGACAGAGAACAAGTACCCATCCAAAAAGAGGTGGGGGAGGGGGGCAGCTAGGTGGCGCAGTGGATATAGCACCAGTCCTGGATTCAGGAGGACCTGAATCCAAATCCGGCCTCAGATACATAACACTTACTAGCTGTGCGACCCTGGGCAAGTCACTTAACCCCACTGCCTAGCCAAAAAAAAAAAAAAAAAAAAAAAGAGGCGGGGTTGTAGAGACATTAAGTCAATCCCTTCAGATATTTGTTTGTTTGTTTTTATCTCCAGTCATTAATAGATCCTAATAAGAAGCAATCTGGTTATTAATAAAAGTGAAGTTAAGTGGAGCAGCCATTTGTGGTTCAGTCATTTCCATCACTCTGCTGATGCCCTGCTGCTGCGAGGCTCATCACCAACCTGGGCTTCCTCTTGTTGCTTTTTCAATTGTTCCAGCATCGCCTTGAACTCTGCCTCCTTTTGCTCTGCTTCCTCCAAAGTCGCCTGGTTCTGCTCTTCGTAGGCCATGGCCACCACAGCCAAGATAAGATTGACCAAATAAAAGGAACCCACAAAGATAACCAGGACAAAGAAGATCATGTATGTTTTTCCTGCTGCTCGTAAGGTCTGCAAAGACAAATGTCATTTTCTGAGTCAAGTGTATCGAATGAAGGCACTGGAAAAACATTCCCAGAACCAAACAATTCCTGGGGAAATTTTTAATTTTTTTTGAAAGCTCAGAAATAGATTTTACTTCCCCAAATGGCTCCTAATCAAGTGCAACATGCAAAATTTAAGACATTAGCTCATTTGTTCACTGGTCATCATTTAAAAGTAAACATTTCATCAATTCAAATGCTATGAAACCATCAGAACCAAGCTATTCCTGGGGAAATTCTTAACTTAAAGCAAAATAAAACAAAAGCTGCTCAGAAATTGATTTCACTTTCTTGCTCTGGTGCCAGAGAAGTAGTGCTGGATTTGAGAGCAGAAGGTATAGGTTCAAATTCTGGCACTGCTATTTACTATCTCTGTGACATTAGGGAAGTCATTAAACATTTTTTAGTCTCAGATTCTTCATCTATAAAATGAGAGAGTTGGATTTAAAGCCTTAAAAGCCCCTTGTAACCCTCAATCTGTGATTCTATAATCTACTGCCTTCTCACCAAACAATGGATCTGCTTTCTATGTCTTGGCTATACCTATCTCTCCTGTTGGAAAGTAAGCTCCTTGAAGGCAAGGGGCTGCTATGCTTTTGTCTTTGTATACCCAGCACTATCTACCTAGAACATAATACGTGCTTAATAAATGTCTGCTTGCTTAGTAATTCTTTTCTGTGACCAAGTCAAAATTTTGGGTAGTGGCTAATTAAGAGGCTCTAATATTCAAATTAATAATTAAAAGGCTCTAATTTAATTAACTGAAATGCAGGTCATGAAAGAGGGGCACACAGAATAACACAGGGAGTAGGATGGGGTTCAGGCCTTCTTCCCCTTTCCTTGACCGGGAATGATTAGACCACACTCTGGTGCTGTGTTCTTTCTTATCTATATGACTACTTATTGTGTTCTCACTTTATCACCAACAAACATTAAGTGCCTTCCCATGCTATGTGGGAATCACTTTAGTTGTTCCCACTCAGGAAGTCTAACTTGGGTTGCCTGGGTACAAGTCAGAAATGCACTGAAGATTTGACCTGGAGTCTTCGATTGCAGAAGCCACCCCCTCTCTTCCTGAGGGGTGTGCTTCTCTTTCTCCTCCCGCAGCAGCTGGGCAGCTGAAAGCCACACAGAATCATAGCATTTTGACTCTGGATCATATGACTCCAGCCTTCTCAGTTTTCAGAGAAATCATCTAAGTGATAAGGTTCTATGACCCAGTGGAATACAAATTTATCTTTCTTCCAGCAACAAACTGAATATTTCCAAATAGATACCAAAGTGCTGAATGTAAACAAAATGAAGGCCCTTTAGAGCATGAACTATGCATTATACTTTGTTATACTATATTTATTATACTTTAAAAACATCTCCTTCAGTGTCTAGCATGGTGCCTTCCTAGTACACAGGAGATCTCAATACATTTTTTGATTAATTAAAAGTCCCGAGCACAAAAGCCTGAGGAGAGGCATAACTTACTCCTGGGACATACAGGAAAACAGTTGAAATTGTGAGTACTTCCATATACAGTGAAGCATCTTCTTCTCTGGCCACCATTTTTGGGACAGGCCAGGCAGACCATGCTTTATTCCCTGCCCAGCTCTGCTTCTGACTCTACCAACTTTCCAACCATGATTCAGCTGCCTTCTCATTCTGGTACTACCCTCAGCCTGAAACATCCCTCTGTCATACTGGCCCTCTTCTCCCCTTGGTGAATTCCCTTTCAGGGGCCCCATCTGAGCCCTAGATGGCCATGCTTGCCCATTCCCCTCCCCGGGAGTGCTTCTGACTCTGTGGACTTTCCCACCTGGCACTGGGTAGGCAGCTTCACACCTCCCTCCTCAGCTCCCTTTATGTGTTGTTATCTCTTATTAGAATATAAGCTCCTCGAGGGCAGAGGCTATTGTTTTGCTTGTATGGTATCCCCAGAGGTTGGCACAGTCCCTGACACATAAGTACTTAATAAATGTTCGATGCTTGTTCGGCAAAGAAATAGGTGATAACTAGAGAGCCCAGATCTAAGTTGATAAACCATTACTGGGTCATTTAGGCTAGGAAATGTAATCCTACAACCCTGCCTGGAATTTCTCATCACATTCTCACGGAGAATGCCTCCAAGTCTCTACCCAGCATGCTGCCATGTAGACCCTCTCATCAAAGAAACTGGTATTACTCACCAACTGATACAAGTTTTCCCAATAGTCCTGGGTCATAAGGCGAAACAATGCCAAAAAGGCCCAGCTGAAGGTATCAAAGCTCGTATAGCCATAATTTGGATTCCTTCCTGCTTTCATACACAGGTATCCTTCAGGACATTGCCTGAAGAGAGAACAGGAAAGGATGGAACTTTTCAACTTGGTCAATTCAATTTAGTTTAAAACAAGTTATCATGTACCATCTGCAATTCATTCAATTAAAGATCACTCTAAAACCAGCAACAAGTCACTACCAAACCACGGAGCACTGTGCTCAGTTCTGGGCACCAGTTTAGGAAGGCTGTCAGTAAGCTGGAGAATGCCCAGAAGAAGGCAACCAGAATGGTGAGGGGTCTTGACCCCATGTTACAGGGGGGAAAATTGAAGGACCTGGGGGTGTGGTGGGAAATGGTAGCTCGCTTCAAGTATCTGAAGGGCTGTCCTGAAGAAGGCTTTCTGCTGACTCCAAACGACAGAAGCAGGAACAATGGTTGGAAATTACAAATACAGGTTTCCTCTTTTTTGGAGGTCTTCAGGCAAAGGCTGGATGACTACTTGTTAGATAGTCTGAAAGTGCAGGGGATACTCTCACGAACTTTGTGTAAAGCTGGGCTAAGAAGCTGAAAGCACAAAACCTCAGAAGAGCAAAAAACATAGTAGCAGTTATTCACTAGTTCAGATCTCCCAGGCCTCAGATCAATGTGAAGTTTGACCAAATTCAGTCCTTGTTTATTTAGCCAAGCTAGAGTCAAAACCAAGGAAACATAAACAGAGATTCTTAGTAACCTTTTATCCCTTTAACATTTGCTACAGCAGTGGGATGTTAATAGCCTCAGATCGGTCATTGACGTTGCTCCTCGAATTGCTGACAGATCCCCTAATGCCTGCTGCAATGCAGGTATTAAGAGGGAGCCTCTTTTGTTGCTGGTCACCTTACACTGTCGATCTCCAGAGGAATACATCTTAGGTAAATTCTGAGTAACATCTACAAATACTGGCTCCTCCCTCAGTTTTAAACCCACCAGCAAAATCAGATATTTATTCCATCTTTATGCTGTCAACTACATTAAGGAAGACAGAGAATCTAGTGAGTACAAAAGAAGGGCAGGAATTTAATGTTCTGGACCCATACGTTATCCTATTACTGAAATTTGTGAATATAAGCTTAAAATGGAGAAAGGCCAGGAAGGTAGAAAATAGGTAACCAATAAAATTATGTTTTTATTACTGATGTCTGGGGATGTTTTCAATGATGCATATCATAGCCCATCCGTACAAGGCCATCCTTTGGAACTCTTGTCCTTATTTTCCCTTAAATCAACCATAGGAGGTCAATCCAATGTGCTGGGGGCTTTCCCAGAATTCTTTCAAGATTGGATATATTCCAGTGGATCATCCATCATGTATGCTGTCTTTCAGTCATCAGTTATCTGTCTCTCAGCATGTGACTGGTCCATCATTTTTTCTGGTCTCACATTTCTCTGCCTTCTTGCCCCTTTTCTTACATAATTCCTTGTTGTTCATATTCTGCAGCCTACACATATGCATCATGTGCTTCTTCACCATCTTATGGGGGACCTTCAACTTTAATTCTTCAAAGACTGCAGTATTCCATGACCTACAGTGATATAACATCAGGGGAACACTATTGCTGCTAAAAAAAAGATGGGCCTTTGTTTCAGGAAGAAGCCTGAGGTCATCTGTGCAATTTCCCAAGGGGAATCTAGTCTACTCTCTTCTTCCTCTTCAATTCTGAGCCTAGCTCATTGTCCATTTAAAGTTTACCAAAGGATTAGCTCTCTGGGGTGTATATCATTATCTGTATGATAGGCATTCTTTACCCACTTGGTTTTTCCTATATAGAGAGTTAAGCATTCTGCTTTTCAATGATTGTGGATGCCACCTATTCATTCCTGGAATCATCAGGACAAGTGAGCCAGCTGGACCTGGATAGTGCAGAAGTTTTTTCCTCAGGAGCTTCCCTAACACCTGGTGCCCCCGTAAGTGTGGCTTCCCTTCCTCTTAAAAAGCCCTCCCACTTCTTAAACCTATTCTAGGTACAGGAACTCATAGGCTCGATGCTAAAGTCCAGTCGGGACACATTTTGGTAGCTCCTGGAGCAGGGTGCAGGGTGGCAGCACATGCAGACCAGGTCTGTATGACACCCTTCCTACTCCGTGTAAAACACCCCCCCCCCACACACACAATTTATATATTGTTATTTAGGCCAATGTTACTACACCTGGAGCAAGAGACCTTTGACCTGACTACTCATATCTTCTACCTTACTCTCTAAGTGCTACTGAATGACTTAACCACTGTAACCCTTTTCTTCCCCAACCCCTTTAGAAGATCGCAAATTTCCCCAAATCTCCCAAATGGAAAAACCAGTGGATACCACTTGAAACGGGTCTTTTCCTTCAAAGAAAAAATCTGCTCGACTGATAAATGGTGGACCTTACCTCCTCCTTCAGAAGTAGGGTCAGCTGAGCAGATTTTTGAGGGGCAGCTTCTAGGATTCAGGGGTTGTCTGTTAGGTTATGAGGGACAGGAATTATATTCTGTAAACTATACCAAACAAATGACTTTGTCTTCATCTTTGTGATTCTGGATTGAAAGGCTGAGGTAAGGTTGAGGAAAAGGGGATGCCCTCCATCTTTTTTTTTCTTACACAGGTCTGATCATGTCATTTTCCTGTTCACAAAGCTCAAAGTATTCCTTATTATTTCTAGGACAAGATACATACTCACTTCTTTGGCATTTAAAGACCTTCCCAATCTGGCTCCAACCTACCTTTTTAAATTGCTGTCACATTATTCCCCAATACAAACTCTATATTTCACCCAAAACTTCCCTATATATAGCAATCTGTTCTCCCAATCCTATGTCCCCTTCATGTCTGAAATGAGACGAACTGTATCCTCACCTCTTGGAATCCCTAGGACACTCTCTCTCTCTCTCCCCCCCCCCCCCTTCTCCTCTACCTCCTCCTCCTCCTCCCCCATCAGGTCCCATGGGTTTACTTATCACCTCTATGCAGATGACTCCCAGATCTATATATCCTGGCTTGGTCTGTCTCCTGACCTCCAGTCCCATATTACCATATTTTTTTTTTTTTTTAAGGCAATGGGTGTTAAGTGACTTGCCCAGGGTAACACAGCTAGTAAGTGTCAAGTGTTTGGTCTGAGGCCAGATTTGAACTCAGGTCCTCCTGACTTCGGGGACGGTGCTCTATCTACTGCGCCACCCAGATGCCCCTCTATTCAACCTTTTTAACTGGACATCCTGTAGACATCGCAAACCCACCATATCTAAAATGGATCAGGTTAACATTCCCCTTCTCAACTTCTCTATTTCTGCTGAAGGCACCACCATCTTTATGGTTACCTGTACACAACCTCACTCAACTCCTTCCTCTCCCTCACTCTACACATCCAATCATTCGCCAAGTTTTATCTATTTCACCTTCACACTATCTCTCTCTCATCTATCTCCTTCTCTCTGTTCACACAACCACCACTCCACTTCAAGCCATCATCACCTCCTGCCCAAAGTATTACAATAGCCTCCTAATTCATCTCCTCACCTCTAGTCTTTCCCCTCTCTATGTCATTCTTCATGCAGTTGCCAAAGTAATATTCCTAAAATATAAGTCTGACTACATCACTCTCCTTCCCAATAAACTCTAAGGGCTTCCTATTACCTCAAATGTCAAGCACTAACTCCCCTGCTTAGCATTTAAAGTACTTCACAACATGACTCCAACTTATCCTTTCAGAAATATTACATCACATTATCTCCCTGCTTGTGCTCTATGGTTCATCAAACTAGCCTGCTTCCTATTTGTCACACATAGAATGACCTTCCCTGTCCAGTCCCCATGCCTCTGCACAGGCTACACCTGTCTGGAATGCACCCCCTCCTCACTTCGGCCTCTTAGGATTCCTAGTTTCCTTCAAAGCTCAGCTCTAGTGTCATGTCCGACATGTGATCCCCAAGTGCCTAACCCCTTGAAATTATTTTGCCTTATTATGTATATATACCTTGAATGTACTCATTTACTTGTGTACCTACTGTCTCTCCTGATCAAATGTATGCTGCTCCTTGAGAGCAGGAACTGTTTCAGTTTTGTCTCTGTGTCCCTAGCACCTCACACAGCGCTAGGCACATAGGAAGCAAATAACAAATGTTTGCTGACTGATTGATATCCAGTTGTTAGTGTTGTCTTCCATTGGCCCAGATTATTTTGGATGTATTTATATTAACTTACCTGTACAGACATTGCTTCTATACTTCTGAGAATGTATTCTCTTTCCTTTCCTCCTTGAATTCCCAGGGTCTAGCCCAAGGACCTTGCCCATAGGAGGCACTTAATAAATGCTTGATAAATTGTACCAAAATATGAATCTAATTTAGAAGGCTCTGAGGCCTGATACAATTACCACAATGTTCACAATCAGTCAGTCAGACAACAAGCATTTGTTTAATGCTTACAATGTGCCAGGCACTATGCTAAGTCCTGGGGAGCATCCAGAGGAGCTCACCAGTCATACAGAATCCCTCTTAGATGTGGTCTCAGTGCTGGACCTCCTCTATCACCAGGGAGAATGCCTTGGACGAGCCGAGATATTAATAAGTAGGGGGTCACTGAAAAAAGTTATTGCTCTTGTTAAATCTCCCATTTCTTACTCTTGAAACATATTTTTTCACCATCCTTCCCTACCTTTTCCTTTACAGTGAACTCACAGATTATCAAACTATATGTGGATTTATTTTGGAGGGTCTTATCACATTCTTTATTGAATTTCTATATTTCCTTATCCTTTGCAATTGATATGACTACATAAGTTGTGATGATTTTCAAGGTGATCTATTGACAAATACCATAAAAACTGAAAATATTGCATGAAATAATGGGGTTTCTTTTTGAACGCACAATAAAACCAATTCTGCCTACTGTCTTATTTGCCCCTCTAAGAAAACCAGGCCATTTTATATTTTTCTCTGTTTCATGGGTTTTGTTGTTGTTGTTGTTCAGTCAATTCAGTCATGTCTTACTCTTTGTGACCCCATTTGGGGTATTCTTGGCAAAGATAATGGAATGGTTTGCCATTTCTTTCTCCAGCTCATTTTATATCATCTGATGAAACTGTGGCAACAGGGGTTAAATAATTCACTCAGAGTCACACAGTTAGTAAGTGCCTGAGGCCAGATTTGAATTCAGGTCTTCCTGACTCCAGGCCCAGCATTCTGCCCATTGAGACACCTAGCTGTCCGTTTCATGGGTTGCCATGCCCAATAAATTCATCACAAAATGGCTAACCTATACATACAGAGCTAGCTCCAAATGTAGAGGTGGCCTATTGCTGGGACCATCCCCACATTGGCATGGTAGAGACCAACAGAGCTTACAACACTCCACTAGCATAGCCTTCAAGAATCTAGAGCTGCCTACGAACAAGGATTATGCCTCACAGTAGGACTATCATCTACTATATATATAAGGACTAAAGAGTTATATTTGTTTAATTCTTTACAATTTGCAAAGTACTTTCACAAGTCATCTGATTCCCCACATCAGTTCTATGATTTAGGCAGGGCAAGAATCTTACAAAAGAAGAAATGAAGACATTGGGGTAAGTAAATGGTAGAACATAAAAACCAAAATCCAGTCAGGTCTAACGGTTTGTTCTTTTTTTTTTTTTTCCTTATGCCACACAAAGGAAAGGGCATGTGGAAATGTTGTCTATCTTCAACAAAATCTGAAACATTATTTTAAGGGAGGAGAAAACAACCAAATGGGTTACTTACCCAGCATCAGAACTGTTCCCACAAAGTAAAGGATCTAGCATGCCAGGTATGGTGTAAAAATTTGCTAAAAAATTTGAAAAGACAGAGAATAAATTAGACATATTTAGATAAATAAGCATCTTATCTTCTGCAAAAACTTTTTTGCCCCAAACATTTTCAGTACATATAAGTTTAACTCTTTCCTGATAACAATGAAATAATAATTTCCTTCCATTATGGATTTTCCTGCATACGACATACACTGATGAGTCTTCGAAGATTCTTGACATCGTGAAGGACTTCTCAAATTAATTTGGCACAACAAACAACTGATTCTGAAATACATTGACATACTACATAAACGACAGTCCATGGTACTTAGAAACATGTATACTATCCTCAGGAAAAAGACAGGTTGGGAAAAACATTTTTTTTTAACAATATAGAACTTAAAACTATTTTCATAATAGGAAAAACTGACACGTAAGTATTTCTGTAAACATATCTTGATCTATAATTTAATACAATATCCTTTTAGAATGAGGAATATCACTAGCATTGAAATTTTCTCATGAAATCTTTCTTCATATTATGCAATACAACAGGGTTCTATAGAACCCAGTTTGGGAATGTGTAAATATACACGTATATATGCACATATGTATGCATACACACAAACATACGTGTGTGTATCCTTATCCTTACCATCCTACTTCCCTCAACATCCCAAACCTAGGCCATAGTCACAGTGGACCACAAATACATTTTCTGAATCCAACTCTTTTCTGTTCTTCCATCCCTTCCTCTTCATTGTCTTAGTACCAGGCATCTCCTAAGACTACTAACCATGGAAGTATCTTGTCTGGAAGAGAAGTCACTCTTTCCCTAATGCTCCCTTCAAGTATCCTTCCTATCACTTTCTTATGGATATGCCACTCTAACTAGACTTCTAAAGGAGATGCTAAGACAGGGACAAGGAAGGAAAGAAACAAGCATATATTAAGCACCTACTATGTGCCAATCATTGTGCTAAATGAATTATAATTATTATCTCATTTGATCTACAACAGCGCTGAGAGGTAGATGCTATTATCTCCATTTTACAGATGAAGAAACTGACACAGAGATTAAGTGACTTGCTCAAGATCACACAACAGCAAGAGAGGAAGGCTGGATTTGAACTCGGGTCTTCCTGACTCCAGGCCTATTACTCTATTCCCTGTTCTACCCAACTGCCTCTACCACTTTTTCCTTTATTTATGAATCTGCTTTCCCAGTTCTCTTGAATACAACATGTCAAACAAGAGTCAATAGCACTGCCCTACTATTAACATGATCAAAAACACTTTCAGTCTAACGTCTAGCTGGAAGTGAGATTAATTAATTTTCTTAACTCAACATGGTTCTATATATGGGTTCTTTCTAAATGAATCTGTCTTAAGTGACCACTCTTTAATGCAGAGGCCATGAAGCTCCCCTCTCTGGGAAAAAACTCTCAAAGCATGATTGTTCCTTAGGCACATTCCTTCTGCAGCTGATGCATAGTAGAGTAGCTTCCTTGCTCTTTGGCCATTGAAGACCCCTCACTAATAAAATCTGCAACACCTCTAACATGATCCTGTGATCCTAAAAATAGTAGCTTACATTTAAATAGTGCTTTAAAATTCATAAAAACACTTTAGAAAAACCTTCACAGCACTTCAGTTAAGTAGTAGAAAATAGACAAACTTACCATAGGTAATAGATGGCAATGGAGGGGGACAGATGAGAGACAGGATGGCACTAATCAAATTTAGAGCTTAAAGAAAAGAAGTCTCAGGGCAACTCTTATTCTTCAAGGGAAAATGTAAGGCCTCTTTTTTTGAATATTTTAAAGGGGGAAAAACCAAGAGAATGACTATTCTGGTAAAGTCTGAGTGCTGTTTGGCTCTTGAGGAGATGACTTGGATGCCAGGTCATCTCTGATAGCTGTGAATAGACTACTAATAGACATTCTGTAACTTATCAAGCCTATCCTCTGGGGCTCCCTTCTTAAGAACAAAACAAAAAACAAATAAAACATTTTACGAGTGCCTTTGGTCTTTATATAAACATGAAGCCCCTTCAGATTGAATTCTCCCTTTCCACAAAGAAAACAATTAAGTAAAAACACCTGATAGCAAGGACATCTGAATACACACACGCACGCATGCACAAGCACACATACACGTACACACACACGATTCTACCTCAGTTGTCTCCTGCTTCTTTGCTATGAGGCACATGTTTCATAACTGTTCTTTATTGGTTTTTAAATTAATTATTTAGTATTTGACTTCCTCCTAGTTTGTTGTTTGTTTTTTTAATAATTTACATCGTTGTAGTCTGGTGCTTCCTTCTTGGAACATTCACGTTCTAAGCCCAGTACAGATTTTCTGACCACGTAAGCCAGGAAAAGACTGTCTTCTTCCTACAAAGAGGGAAATACCTACTCTTGTTGTTGATATACTCTTCCCAGTCAAAGCCTTTGGTGCCATTTTCAAGGAAACTCTCATTGAAATTGATGGGCCACACAACACACTTGTTCCGCAAGTTGCCCATGAACAGCTGTAGTCCAATCAAGGCAAAGACACTCAGGCAGAATACTGTTAAGATCATCACATCAGACAGCTTCTTGACTGACTGAATAAGGGCTCCTACAATGGTCTTCAGACCTGAGGAGAGAGAAACATCAAAATTAGACTAACTCTCTGGCCCTCCCGACCTCCCAGCCTCCCTTTTAAGGTCTTCTCCAGAACTGGGCCCTGGCTTAACCCCTTAAACCAACAGGAACTCATTCTGTACAGCAGCAATGGAAAGACAAGAGTCTTAATGCTTCAAAATATGGCATCACTATCAAGCCCGGGAACATACGCAGGAGAAGATGTTTTGTTTTAAGCTCAACAATATTTAGAGAAAAAAAAAATTGTCATTATTGCTAACCCAGGGCCCCTTTATAATTAGAAATACTCTTTTATCTTTACATTATAGGGAAACCCAAGATAGAATAGGAGCTAGAGGGAAGATAAGGAGCTAATAATAAATGACAACTTTTCAAGAGTTTCCAAGTTGGATAGCTTTTCCCAAAAGTTCCCAAACTACCAAGACAGCTGCAGGATTGGTTCAATAATAACAATGATAATGATAACAACAACAATAACAATTAGTACTTGGAATAATGTAGTCCTTGGAAGTCTTCAAAGTACTTCACTACTACTACCTCATTTTGTCCTCACAGTAATGCTGAGAAATGAGTACTTTTATAATCTCCATATTATATTTGAGGAAATCAAGGCCAGGTTTGAACTTAGATCTCCCTGATTCCAAGCCCAAGGCACCCTATCCACTATCCCACCTAGTGGACTCCACTAATGATCCCATCCTTGTGTTACACCTACTCTTAAAGGCAACTCCTCTTTCTGCCATTTCTTTTCTTTATTGAAAGCATGCCCTGACTTCCCCAGTTAACCTCTTCTGTCATCTAAAAATAAAAAATAATGCCAATAACCATTTAAATTGCAGATTTAGGATCAAACCGTGGTTTGAATTTGAAACCACAGCTGAACTGCCCAAAGAGGGCCCAAGAAGAACAGATCTGCAACCACATCTTAATCTTTGGGACTTTTTTAAAGGCAACGTGGACTAAATTCTAGCATGAAAATACTAAGTGGGCTGAAAGGGTGAGTGGGGAATGAGCCTAGATACACTGCCCCTACTCCACATCTACCAGTAAGATGATTAGACAGAGAATTAAGAGACCTCAGTCCCTAATCTTTGCTTGGTCAGTGTGATGCTAATTAAGTCACATAACTTCTTAGTACAGTATTTGTAAGAGCTTCTCTGTTTATAAGAATATGGTGGAAGTAAAGATGATATATATAAAGTAATATAAGCTGTTTTAATTAAAAGTTTTAGGTTCAAGATACTGCTGCTATTATGCACGGAATGGAGTAATACATTACCCCCTCTATAAACTCTATGGCTCACCAGTACTAGCCTGCTAGCTGTTCCTTGCACAGGACACGCCCACCTGCTGCCTCCATACCCTTGTATTAGCTGTCCCCTATACCTGGAATATTCTCCCTCTTCACTTCTCTGCCTTCTTTTAAGACTCAGCTTAAATGCTACCTTCCATAGGAGGCCATCCTCTTCTCCCCAAGTCCTTGAGTTTTCCTCTCTAAGGTTACCTTCCTTCTACTGTATCTATTTTGAATGTCAATTTATTGTACATGGTTTTTCTCTCTGTGCCCCCTTCCCCTACTTCCTTGAGGGGAGGGACAACATTTGTGTATTTTGCCTTTCTTTTCATCTTCAGTGTTTAACATGGTAACTGGCACATTGTAAGCACTTAATAAATGCTTTTTGGTAGGTTGATTGACTATTCCTATGTCTTTCTCTGCACTTGGCTAACTGAAGTCTAAGACAGGCTAATGGGTAGGTATCTGTTCATGGAAAATTTTAGTACAATGGCAATTATGAAAAACATTCTCTCCTCTATGTTGTTGTTACTGTTATTCATGTTCGATTCTTTGTAGCCCCACTTTGGGGTTTTCCTGGCAAAGATACTGGAGTGGTTTGTCATTTCCTTCTTCATCTCTTCTCTATGCGCAATGCTTGTCATGGCGAATCCAAAGATAAAGAGGGAGGCACAAACGAAATGCCTCTCCTCCAAAAACATGCCCTACAAACCCAGTTGGGGTCAAATATGAGAAATATCACAGCCATGGCTTCTCTTAATCCTTCTAGTAAAGAATACTTGCTCTCAAGTCAGAAGACCCTGTGTTCCAGTCTCACCCCTGACATTTTACTACATGTGGGATGTTAGGCATTTCATTTTAATTTCCCTGGGTTTTTAGCTTCCTCATCTATAAAGTGATGGGGTTGGACTAGATGGATCCCTTCCAGCTATAGAGATATGGTCTTATAAGACCAGGTAGGCCCTTTCCTATTCTCCCTCTTATGGGTTCAGTGATCATCTCTATGAATGATTCTACCTGCTTATCCAGCCCTAGCCTCTCTCCTAGACTCCAGTGTTGCATTATCAACTGCCTCTAGGACATCTAAAACTGGATCTAAGGACATCTAGAACTAGAACTAAGCATGAGAGCCTGCACTGTTCAGACCAAAACTGAACTTACTATATTTCACCCCAATCCTCCCTTGTCCCAAATGATCATTGCCAAGGGCACCACCATCCTCCCAGGCTTACAAGCTCAGTCATCCTTCATTCCTCATTTGCATTCACCTCACACAACCAATCTGTCTCCAGTCTCGTCAATTCAGTGTTCACACCATCCTTTTCATACATTCTCTCCTTCTCTCTCACTCATGCTGGCTCTTCTGTAATATTGCAACAGCTTTCTGATTGATTTTCCTGACTAAAGTCTCTCCCGACTCTACCTCATCATGTACTCAGCTACCAAAGTAATCTTCCTAAAGCACAGGTCTGCTATCTCAGCTGCCCATCCCCCCAGTAAACTCCAGTGGCTCCCTAGTACCTCCTGGATACAAGATTAAGGCCTCCATTTGGCTTATAAAGAAAGCCCTTCACAACTGAAGCTTTTCCTACCTTTCCAGTCTTCTTATATTACTTCCCTTCACATACAATGTGATTCCATGACACTGGCCTTCTTCTTGTTCCTGCCTCCACATCTTTGTACTGGCTGTCTTCCCTACTGGAAATGTTCTCCCTCTTCATCTGCCTCTTTGCTTCTCTGGCTTCCTTTAAGACTAAGCTCAAGTCGTACCTTGTACAAGAGGCCTTTCCTAGTCTCCCCCTTCATCCCTATCCCCACCCCTAGTACCTCCCCTCTGACAGAGCTACCATTTATACCGTATAAACTTATATGTACATAGCTGTCTGTAAGTTGTCTCCCTTATTAGAACGTGAGCTCCTTGGGGGTCAGGAAATGTGTTTCTGTCTTTCTTTGTATCCCCAGTACTTAGAACCTAATAAGTATCTAATAAATGCTTGTGGACTGACTGAAAAATACAGGTTTTCAACTTCCTTATATTCAGGCCCATTGATAGATTTGAGAGGGTAAGAAAGACCTTAAATGATAGGATGCCCTAAAGGGCACTGTTGTACACAGATGTGATTTTGAAGGGCAGATTAGCCCTATATACTAGTGTTGGAGAATTATAGGGACACAAAGAACATTTTGTTATTTATGAGGGAGCTCCAATAAATAACCTATAAACTGGCAAATGGCTCCCTAGAAAAATCCAATCCCAAATTCTTTCCTCTGGAGCACTGGTTGGTACACTAAGAAGTTGTCCCACCATCATAGGAGTGAGGAAGACAAAATGAGAGGGCTTGTCTAGAGATCTAAGAAACAAACCATTTTATCATGACTCCTACAGTCTGACTTCTTTCTTATGGGCTGGGCAGTATTGGAGAAGTAACAGCAGAGTCTAATCCCAGTTCTGTCCCTAATTAGCTATGTGACTTTGGGCAATTTACTTAACCTTTTTGAGACCTAGTTACTTCAAATGCAAAATGGAAACAAAAAATAGATGCTTTAGAGGTTGATTTTTGGGATCAAATGAGATAACAGATGCAAAAATACATTAAAACAATTTTAAGCACTATACAACCATAAGGAATTGTTTCTAACTATTCTGACTGGTTCCAAATCCTGGCATCAGGATTGTCATGGCGAGAAAAGTTTGAAAGGTAGACTGTGTCTCAGTTATACTTGTATCTCCCTTTTCTCCCTCAGTGTTTATCACATTGCACTGTATATAAGAGGCATTTGACAAAGGTTTATTTCCTGAGTGAATCTTGGAATCCCTTGATCATATGACTAAATGTGTTCTAACAACCCAGTCCTATGAGGGTAAAAGGAGTATGATGGCCTCCAAGGTCACTCTAGGGGCAGCCATGTAAATGGCACCTATAATCACTCTTGGCAGTGATTGGAGAAGTCTACCACACACTTCCCTATCCTCACAGGAGCTACTGAATCTCTAGCAGTTGGCCACTCTCCTGCTGAACCTCTCATGGCAAAAATAAAATAAAATAAAAATCATTCCCCAAGAGAAAAAAGCTGTTAAGCTTGATTTAGAAAACTCCAATAGAAAGAATAACAAATGCTTCCTAAGGAACTCAGAATTCCTTTCAGATTCATTGGTGCAGATTAGAGAGGCATATTTAAGAAAGATGTGAGGGAAATTGAAAATATACAGGAGTGCAATGAAAAAGTCACATAAGAGCTCACTAAGCCCTTCTGACTCTAGGTCAAAGGTCACTGGAATTATTCAATATAAGTCAACCAGTCAATAACCATTTATTAAGTGGTTACTATGTGCCAGGCACAATGCTAAATGCTAGGGATAGGCAAAAACAGTCCCTGCTTTCAAGGAGCCCACAATTTTAAAAGAGGAAATATATAAAGAAAAAAAAGCTACGGTGAGGCTTAGTTAACGGCACCATTTGAATCTATGATATCTTTTCTTCATCTTCACCAAAGAAAGAACAGGGATTTGATGAAACCATAGCATGAGGGATTTAGAAAAGTTAAAAGGAGGGTCTGAGACATAGTGGGTGGAGGTCTTTAAACACAGGAGAGATTCTCTTTAGTTTGGGAGGTTCTATTTGAAGGCCAGGGCTAAACTAGCTGACCTATAAAGGTATCTCTGAGCCCTAATAAATGACATATGGTGTCTTTGCCACAAGCAAAGATGGGGAGGTAGTAGTTATTAAGAGTGTGAATGCTGAAATGGGGAAGCTCCTTTATGAAATGATCCTGAAGAACAGGAAAGACTTCATTCCAGTAAGCAGGATTAAGGCAAGTTTGTACTGGGTCATTAATTCAGTTCTGGACTCCTAATGTTATCTGGCTATCCTGTGAACAAAGCCAAAGGGAATGACTCATCTCGACTTTCAGGATGATAAAAAACACTGGAATGGGTTGCCAAAGGAAACTGAAAAGTCTTCATCCCTAGAGCTTTTTATGAAGATAACAGAAGATAATGGTACCAGATGATTTTTGAGATCCCTCTTCCATTTCTATCTTGTGACTCTTATGAGTGACCTATGAGTTATTTATTAGAATTAATAAAACAGAATAGTACCAAAAAAGTGTGTTGAATCAATACCAATTACTTTGGCAAAAGAAATACTTTGATTAGCTCCACTACTATTTTTCTAAAACTATACTAGAAAAAAGGGAAATACAAACTCTTCGGGGCATAATCCTTTTCTAGGATTTCAGAAAATTCTAAAACTCACATTCTCAGAATCATGCCCAGCTACGAATGAACCTATAAGACAATGGTTTCTATTAATTTAATTTCCTCTCTCTCATTGACTAGATATCTGTCATGATGGGCCAAAAACAACAAAAATGTCATGAAAACTCATCACATTTTCTTTTGAACCTGAAATAATCTCTGACGTGAGAATGATTTTGGCTTTCAACTAGTTAAAATGAAAATAACACAGAAATCATGACCATGGCTTTACAGTCATTATTATTCCCACATTACAATTGAAGAAATTGAAGCAAACAGAGATTAAGTGACTTGCCCAGGTCACACAGCTAATAAGTGTCCTAGGCTGCATTTGAATCCAGGTCTTCCTAACTCCAGGCCCAATGCTCTAACCACTGTGCCATTAAGATAATGAATAACTCAAAAGTTATAGTGATATGGATCTATGGTGCACAGGATTCATTCGAAATGAATTTATATGGATTAAATTATAAATATATAAAAATTATAATGGATTAAATATCAATTGTTCAAGCTTCTTGCCAAAACAGACAAACTTATAATGATTTAGTAAAAGACCCCTCACTGATAGTCAAAAGTTTCATTTTGAGTCCACCAATCACCCTCACTTGTTGGTCCTTTCCATGCCACCAATTTTAAATAGAAACAACCAGGTCCTCAAAGGCATAAGTGACTTCTCTAGGGCGCGACCACTACCATTCTTCTCAGAGAATCTTAGCTCTGTAGCCCCCTTATCAGGGCAGTTTAATGTTCTATGAAAGTGCTGGGAGGAGAATGACAAGCAGGTTTCCCAAGCAGGGGTTTTACCAGGGTAATAGCCCAAGCAGGGCATCTGATTATTCTATGCTTATCTACCTGCTTCTTCAACAGCTACAGATACCACAGCTGATATAAGACCTCCTAAATAATTGCTGAAAATAACTAGAACTGACCCAACTTGACATATCCAGAATACATTTTATACTAGTAGTTTAGATACCTCCTCCCCTGTCCTTCCTCCCCTCAAATTATAAAATCTCCTTCATTGAATCAGAAGAATAGAAAAGAAGATAAGTTCTCCCACCTCATCCCCTAATCTTTAAGGTACAACACTGTCTTGAGGCAGTAAATATAAAAGAAATCAGGTAAAATCGCTGATGGTATTTTCAATCAGCTCTCTTCCATCCCCCCATCAGCGGATTCCATCTTTTCCTCACCAGTCTCTGCTCATTCTCTCTTTGTACTGTCCCACAGACCCACCCTATCTCTCTTTCCACTCACACTGAAGTGCATCTCCCAAAACTTACCTTGGGTTTTTGTAGCTTCTATTACTATAGGATTTTTTGTTTGTAGTGAACCCTAAACATGTATGGTTGTGACTACATTCTCCTATTTCAGTGAAATGAGAAACAATAGAATGAATGAAGAGGGTAGGGCTTATTAAAATTAAGGCAGAATGGGTAAATATTTTCACCAGCTCCAAGATTCTTAAATTTGTCAACAAGACTGGACTAGATAATCTGCCTTAGTCTCTTTGATTCAACAATTCCATAAATATAACAATAATACATATGATCATGTGAATAATAGTCAATGAGCAAAGGAAATGGTCAAAGCAATAGTCAATGAGCAAAGCCATAGGAAGCCTATCAGTTGCAAGCAATGAAATAATGGTTAATGTTAAAATATTCTAATTCCACAGGGATGAGAAGCAAATATCTTATTCTCAGAGAAGAGTTAGTTTTAAGGCAATTTTGCGAATATTCTAAGATCCAAGTGTTTCTCAAGTGCATGCTTAAAAAAAAAATCACATTCAACAAAATATCTACCAGGGTACCCTGGCAACACCCCCATACCCCGCTCCAATCAGCCTGGATGGTGCAGTGGGTGCATGGTTGGCAAGTAAAGTGAGAGACCGACACCTAAGATATGCAGAGACAGCCACGTCAGAGACCTTCTCCTGGCAGTCATGCATATTGCCAAGCACACAATCAAATGTGCACGTGCCATTTCAGAATTCAGCAGATAGGAAAATGTAAGGGAAGGAAGAAATGGGACCCAAAAAAAAAAAAAAAAAGTGCTGTTAGGTTTAAGTGTTCTCACCTGGAATTACAGAGATAGTTTTCAAAGCTCGGAGAACCCTGAATGTTCTCAGCGCTGAGACATTGCCCAGGTCCACAAACTCTGTCACATATCTGCAGTAAGGGAGGTCACACACAAAAACAAATGACAAATACACACACCAAAATAAAAACCAAAATGACAAGCACAACAAAACAAAAAGTACAGTACGTCACAGCAGGGCCCTACCCCAACACCTAACACCAACCCCAGGCCACCTTACCTGGGATTACTGAAATAGTTTTCAAAGCCCTCAGTACCCTGAAAGTGCGCAGAGCTGAAACATTGCCTAGGTTTACAAACTCTGTTATATACCTGCAGAATCAAACCAGAGGTGACTTGTAATGGTACCACCGGGCAAGGTATTGGGAACAGGGGGAAGGAGGGACAGATACTAGGATTTTATCTTTTGCATTCTTGGAAAGGAAAGAGGTTAAAAATGTAAACACAAGTTAAACCACATTAGGAAAGAAACATCCAGGAAAGGAAAGCCCAGAAACAAAAAGAACTTTGGAACTTGGAAGGAACAGAGGCAGCTAGGGGAGGGGGGCTTTCCCCTGGCATTGAATTGTCATTGTTTCTCCTGGGATTGTCTCGATCAGAATGATTTTGTTTTCTACTCTTTTCTTTCTAAAATGAATTTAAAAGGAGACAGAAAGAAGAAGTGGCTGGATCTCTTGCAAACAACTGTATAGCCAAGGAGGGGCAAAATTCAAGTTGTGTGGTCTCCTGCTGAAAGGGGCCTAAAATATAAGAGTTCCACAGCGGACAACAGTAAACGTGTCTACACGTTTGCAAACCCTTTACTCACGAACTGGGGACGTGCCCAAAGACATGTCTGATCTATGACATATGAAAACAGTACACAGGAAAATCCCAATCATGGTATAAGGGTACATGCTCATTTTATCATCTTGCTGTGCTTCATTTAAAAATGTTCATTTTAGGGATAGCATTTATAGAGGACTTTAAGGTTAGCAAAGTGTTTTATACTATTATCTCATGTGATCCTCACAACAACTTTGGGAGGCAGGAGTGATTATTATCCCCATTTTACAGATGGGGAAACTGAGGCAGACAACGGTTAAAGGACTTGCCCAGGGTCACACAGCTAGTGAGTATCTGAGGCCAGATTTGAACTCAGGTCTTCCTGACTCCAGACCTAGTGCTCTAACCACTGCACCACCACATTGGTCATCTGTTTAGAAATGACAACATGGCTTGTATTACTGAAAATGAGGGCAAGGACATGAGTTAAAAATATAAGCCAGTGTACATTTTCAATAGTGGAAATATATTAGTAATCTCAATACAACAGAAACTCAGCCTTCCAGGCCTCTCTGTGCAATGGGTCTCATTCATTACTCATTTTCTCACATTACAGCAGGGGCATATGACTACTCTACCCACACGAGTAACAGACACAACACCCCTTGTATGCCACCATTCTTTCCTACCTCCCTCCCAACATGCACCCCAGGAAAATTAAAAGCTGGAAAGAAAAAAAAATCCATTAAATATTTTCCATTGTCAGTTCAGTTTTTCAAGGAAACGCATTTTCAGTGATAAAACCACAATCATTAAGTGCATCAGACACACAGGAATAAGGAGCACCATTGATCTTGAGGAAGAAATCTTCTAAGACCCTAAAACATGGCTAAACTAATCAGTCCCCTTCATTCTGCTGGCAACAACAACAGCAACAAAAAGGCTCTTCCTCCTTCAGGAAGTGACTGGTTTGAGATTTGTGGGTTAGGATCTCGCCTCTTAAAATCCCCAGCATCTCCTCCCAGGCTTCCTGGAAACGTACATAACGAAACAGACTCAGGAAATTCACCCCCATTCCCTCTTCTCCGGGCCCCTCTACCCTCCTCCCCCACTTCAAATCCTATCTGGGTCCTCACCAAGGCCCCCTAGTGGTGAGGCAGGAAGGAAAAGAAAACGAGTGGAGAGGCAGAGTGCGGTCTTCTTCGTTTGATCTGTTTAGGATTCGGGGAGTATCTCGACCACATTCCATCTTCATTCAGGCAGAGTTACTGCATATCCACAACCACACACACACACACACACACCCCAACACAATCATGCACAAGAGGTACAATCACACCCAGAACAACAAAGTAAACAAGAAACTTACGCCATCATAATGACACTGAAATCTAACCAGTTCCATGGATCCCGTAAAAATGTAAAGCCGTCTATGCAGAAACCTCTGGCGATAATTTTCACAAGTGATTCAAATGTATAAATCCCCGTGAATGTGTACCTGTCACAGAAACGAGTGGATTGAGGATATTTGTTTTCTTCAATGGACAGAAAAAGTCATTGCTGGCCATTTCAATGACTTAATCCCTCCCACCCCCAAAAGATGAAATAGTAACAGGTGAAAACAAAACCTCTGATAGTATAATGAAATGTTCAGACCCAAAGAAGCACCTCCATGCTGCCCTCCAGGGATGCTCCAAGTACTGTGACTCTGAACCTAGGAGAGGCAGCACACACCAAGGCTACTCTGAACTTTGGGTGGGGGTTAGGAGGTGGGAATGGGGGGGAATCTAATTATAGGAAAAAGAAAGTATGGGAGGACACTCAGTGTAATGGGTGGTAACAGCAGAGGGACAGATAGAGAGCCAGGCTGGCAGGTCACAGTTAAGGACCCGGTTGAGGGTAGGCATGTAGTTTCCTTTTATTTCCTTTTAGTTTAGTCCCCCACTCTCCAAGGAGTTTAGAACATTGCTCGAATATCTTACTAATCATCACCTTTCCCTATGAAATAGTGAGGAGGTAACAGCTACTTTCTTGTCCTTGAAGGAGACATCAAGGTAGATGACAAATAAGAAAGAAATCAGTTACTTACTCCACATTCTTCGACCAGTCTGGAGGGTTACTAAAAGTCATGAATACACAGTTGGTCAAAATAGTGCACATAATGATCATGCTAAATACTGTAGAAAACAGTCAAGGGAAAATACACGGTAGCAGCCATGTTCACAAAGCATACACACTTCCACAGTACATCAAGACATCAAATCATTCAACCCTCAGAAGCCTGACCAAGGCAGGATAACTACAGGTCACAGGGGAATGAAAACCAGCACATCACAAATTCATTCAACATCTAACCAGGGCTTGAAATGGGGGTGGGATGCCATTCCTTCCTTTAGAGACAGCCTGAAACCATCCTGCTCCCTTCTGGTGGACTAATCACTTTCTCAGCACCCCCACCCTCACACTGTGGGAACCTAGGAAAAGGAAGAAAAAAAAAAATCCACTAAATGCTTTACATTGCAATGATTCAAATTGCCTTCCAAGACTGAATGGCAAGCCACCAATCTGCCCTTCCTACAAAAGACTGAGATATTTATTTATTTATTTATTCATTCATTCATTTATTTATTTATTCATTCATTGAGATAAAAATGCTAAGGAAATCTGTATTCTTCACTATCCATTTACCAAGAGTTGCTTACCCAGGGCAAATGGTTATTTGGGAGGCTGAGCACGGGTAACTGCTTACATTTTTTCCTGACAATATATTTCACATGCAGAACTTTCAGCATGAGGAAATCACACAGCTCTAAGGTCTTGAAGGGTTGGATGGTGCCTGAGGTGAAAGCAGTGCCTAGGGCCCCTCTAGCACCTCCCTATGGAGATACCAGCTAGAGGCCTGTCAGCTAAGGATCTCGAAAATATCTGCACCCATAGAAAACTTTTAAGTCTGAGGAATGCTGACGATTTTAGAAGCACCCAGGGCCACACAAGGGTATTAAATGACTTCAGCTGACACATTAATCCAATCAGCCACCTTTTCCTATCCTTTTCTGGCCCATGGCTATCAGGAAAAGTTACTGTGTCACTGAATCCTCTTTGATTTAAACTCAGGTTTAAAGTAGCAAGTGTTGCCAAGGGTATTCAAGCTGTCATCTTAGCAAGCACAGAAACTGATGTTTCCCATTTTATGCAAGCTGATTTTTTTTTTTCCTGTTAACAGCTTTCTCTATCTTTTTTTCTGCTACTGGTGTTTTGTTTTTTTTTCCCAGAAAGATTAAACCCACTTTCAACCTACTTCTCCCAGAAGGCATAACAAAAAATGAGGAGGTTGGTCCGGATGACCTCTAGGGTCGCCCTCCCAGCTCTAAGCTCCCTGATCCTGTGAAAATGTTACTTGGGACCAGAGATGACAGAAAACCTTATACACTGCTGTTCCTGCATCCAGTGAGGGAAAACTCGATGAATTCTTTCTCCTAGCATAAACTTCCCTAGGGCTTATCTCTCCTTTTTTGTTTTTGTATTGTATACTTCAGTTGTGTCTGACTCTTTGTGACCCCATTTGGGGTTTTCTCGGCAAAGATAATGGAGTGTTTTGCCATTTCCTTCTTTACCTCATTTTACAGATAAGAAAACTGAGGCAAACGGTAAAGTGACTTGGCCAGAGTCACACAGCTAGTTGTGTCTGAGGCCACATTTGAACCCATGAAGACGAGTCTTCCTGACTTCAGGTCTGGCACTTTCTCCACTGCACCACCTAGCTGCCCCCTTCCCTCCACTAATCAATACCAATCCAAAGATTATTTTATTATTTCTGCTGCTTACCTCCAAAAATAATTAAAAGAAAGCAGCTGAGCAACTTCTAATTTTAATGGGCTAAACAGCTACTAACTCTCTCATCTTATCTTATTGGAGACAAGGATAACATCTTCAGGAGCATCTGACAGGAAATCCTGGACAAATCTGTCAGTCCCAGTTAAACTGCTATCAGAGTGATAATGACTATAAAAGTATGAAGCATCTAAGTAAAGCTGCTAATTCTTTTACTTAGGTTTTCATATTTGTCTTTGATCTTTCTATATGAATAATTTAAGGTAAATAAGAAATGTTTTTCCCATTTTTAAGGTTACTGAGACAAATAACTTAACATTATACACTTATGTTCACAGCATGGCACATGCCCAAAAGGATGCACATTCCCCAGAAACCTACATCTTCTAAATTCAGTCTTTAAGAAATGAGAAAATCAAGGGAGGCCTTAAGTGAGAGTGCCACCAGTGTTCAGTTTTAATATTTGTAGAAAAGGATATGAATGTATCAAAATTTTAATAGCTATTCTCCTCAACAGGTTAAAAGGACTTAAAATGTACAAGGCAGGTGTGGCACTAAATCGGAAGAGTGTTTTCCCTCTGTTTAGTACTACAAAGGTCTGTGAAGAAAGAAAAGAGAGAAGAATTATTAAAACGTTGTTAGCACAAAGCATAAACTTGAAAGCCACAATATTTTTCTAGACAAGGATTCAACAAAAACAATTTTCTCCCCTGAAATGGCTTCCTTTGGCAAGAATGTCTCATATGTTTATCATTTGCCCCTTCTTCTCCTCTCTCCTCCACCCTCCCATCCCTGACCCCTCCCCCAATATTGTGCCAAACAGTTCCAGCAGTTTACAGGATAAATTTCGTTCTTTTAGGATGACTACAAATCCTGTGGACCAGGCCAAAATGGGTTTGTTGTCTTTTCTGGACACAACATAGAAGTTTACCAGTTAAAGTGCCCTGTTCCCAGAGTTCCATCATTTGATGAGAATTATCATGATAAAAGAGGTCAAGAGATCCCTCTAGTGAAGAAGTTCTTAACCTGTATGTCAACTTGGATAGGAAAAAAATTACATCATTATTTTTACTAACCTCTAACTAAAATTGGCATTTCTTTCCATTATGAATGCAGGCAACAAACCACAGTACAGTAGAATCAGGCTCTAGCAGATTGCCCGTAGGGGCCAACACAAAAAAAAGATTAGGAACCCCTGTTCTAGTGCATTAAGTGAAAACTTTTCTATCTGGTTTTCACAGAATTCCAGAGTTAGAACAGACCTCAGAGGTCATCTAATACAACCCACATGTATATAGCCTCTTCTTTACATCACCCAAAAGTGGCCACCCAAATTTTGCTTGAAGGCCTCTAGTAAGAGGGAACCCATTACCAACCAGTACCAATCAGTAACCTATCCCACTTTTTGAGAGCTCTATGATTAAGAAGTCTTCCCTTCTACAAAGCCTTAGTCTGCCTTTGTAGTCCAATCGAGCCCCATGGACCATTATCACCAGTCAAATCAGTTTCCATATTGTCTTCCACATGTTATAATTCCTGCTTTTGTGCCTCTGCTTATACTACATAGTTACTCTTAAAATGTTATTTCTTTTGAGAGAATATAAGCTCCTTGAGTTCAATAATTGTTTCATTTTTCTCCTGGTATATCCACAGTGCCTCGAAGAAGGGAAGAAGGAAGGAAGGAAGGAAGGAAGGAAGGAAGGAAGGAAGGAAGGAAGGAAGGAAGGAAGGAAGGAAGGAAGGAA